GACACAGAGACAGACAGAGAGAGACACAGAGACAGACAGACGCACAGAGAGACAGAGAGAGACACAGACAGACACAGAGACAGACAGAGAGAGACACAGAGACAGACAGACGCACAGAGAGACAGAGAGAGAGACACAGACAGACACAGAGACAGACAGAGAGAGACACAGAGACAGACAGACGCACAGAGAGACAGAGAGAGAGACACAGACAGACACAGAGACAGACAGAGAGAGACACAGAGACAGACAGACGCACAGAGAGACAGAGAGAGAGACACAGACAGACACAGAGACAGACAGAGAGAGACACAGAGACAGACAGACGCACAGAGAGACAGAGAGAGAGACACAGACAGACACAGAGACAGACAGAGAGAGACACAGAGACAGACAGACGCACAGAGAGACAGAGAGAGAGACACAGACAGACAGACACAGAGACAGACAGAGAGAGACACAGAGACAGACAGACGCACAGAGAGACAGAGAGAGAGACACAGACAGACACAGAGACAGACAGAGAGAGACACAGAGACAGACAGACGCACAGAGAGACAGAGAGAGAGACACAGACAGACAGACACAGAGACAGACAGAGAGAGACACAGAGACAGACAGACGCACAGAGAGACAGAGAGAGAGACACAGACAGACACAGAGACAGACAGAGAGAGACACAGAGACAGACAGACGCACAGAGACACACAGCGCCAGAGTTATAAACCTCTTTATTCAGTATCTGGTGTGTGCGACGTTACTGTTTTGCGGTTTCCACACTGGGAAAGTGGGTTTAAAACCGACTAAACCGGAGCGATGAGTGTGTAAGTGGAGGAGTGTGAGGACACTCTGCTATAACCCTTCTGTTTTCTTGCAGAAAGTGCTGACTAAACGGTGCTTTTAAAAGCATTTTAAGATCTAAACCGACAGCGCGAGTTGAAGGTAACACGGATGTAGATTTATTTAGCGCCTTTCACGTCGGGAGGATTTCCCAAAGCTCTTCACGTGGCATCTGAGGGGCAGTTCGTTGTAGCCCAAAGTCAACCCAATACTCGCCCCCAAAAATAGCCCAAAGAGTGGAGGGGAATCTTGTGTTAATGTGAAGGGTTACCCATGTGTATGTGTGTGTGTGAGAGAAAGAGAAAGAATATGTGTGGGTGTGTGAGAGAGAGAGATTGTATGTATGTGCGTGTGTGAGAGAGAGAGAGAGAGAGAGATTGTATGTATGTGAGAGAGATTGTATGTATGTGAGAGAGAAGAGAGATTGTATGTACGTGTGTGAGAGAGAGAGATTGTATTGTATGTGTGCGTGTGTGAGAGAGAGAGAGAGAGAGAGATTGTATGTATGTGAGAGAGAGAGAGATTGTATGTACGTGTGTGAGAGAGAGAGATTGTATGTATGTGCGTGTGTGAGAGAGATTGTATGTATGTGCGTCTGTGAGAGATTGTATGTATGTACGTGTGTGAGAGAGAAAGAGAGACTATGTATGTGCGTGTGTGAGAGAGATTGTATGTATGTGCGTGTGTGAGAGAGAAAGAGAGACTGTATGTATGTGCGTGTGTGAGAGAGAATGTATGTATGTGTATGTGTGAGCGAGAGAAAGAGAACGTATGCGTGAGGTTATGTTTTGATCGGTGGAGTGCCTTGACGCGTGTGGAAGCCGTTCCCGTGTTTAACTGTCTCCAAACCAACCAGACGAGCGTTCCACGCACGTGCGCCGACCCAGGCGGAGATCTCCCTGCGTCTGGCATCTCTCCCTGGAGGGACGCACCCGGCCAGGGAGAGCGAAGCTGTTTGAGACGTCTCGAAGACATGATAAGCTGCTGTATCAAAATGCGAGGATTATTATCATTATTATTATTAGGTGCAGGTTGGCAAGAGCCAACGCTTGGGGACTCCGGAGTGTGCGTTGGGGCACATGATTTGGCGCTATTTGGTAAGCTTCCCACTGCTTGTCCAGCTCGGACTGACCTACTCACCCACCCACCCATGAAGGCTTTGCAAACTGTTGTTGTCACATCGTACGGTGTCCTTGATTCCTCACCAGATTGTGACCGTGAGCCAGACATCTTTCCCCCTAAGCCACCCCACGCCTTTCTCGGGCCTGCGAGCGGGGATTGGCGTTTTGTCAGAGAGGTGTGCGGGCGTGTCCGGAGGCTGTCCTCCTGGCCGGGCATTGACAACTGGCCTGTGGACGAGAGATGTACGCAGAGAGGACAAAATGTATAATAATGATAATAATAATCCTTGCATTTAATACAGTGCCCTATCACGGTGTCGGGATTAAAGCTCTTCACAGGATATTATTGTGAAGTGGATTGACTGTGTATTTTGTGGATGAAATAAGGTAACCATTTGTGCACAGCGGTGTCCCACAAACAGCCATGGAGTGAGTCACCAATTTTATTGGGGGACTGTTGGCCAGGACACTGGGAGAGAGAAACTACCTTCTCTTTTTGACTAGTCCCATGGGATCTTTAACGTCCACCTGGACAGACAGACAGGACCTTGGTTTAACGTCTCATCTGAAGGACGGCACCTCCAACAACGCAGCACACCCCCAGCACTGCATTGGAGCGTCAGCCAAGACTATGTGATTCCAAGTCCCGACTTGGGGCTTGAACCCACAATCTTCGGACTCGGAGGTAAGAATGGTACCGCTGAACCAGACTGACACACAGTCCCGATTGCTTGAAGCGGGGAAAATTTAACACGATTGTTACCTCTGATTGGGCTTAGTTTAGATGTCTCAGCCTGGCTGAGTTGGTTCAATTCCCGCCTATGAATTGGAAGGCTCCAGACCAGGACTTGAGGTCGTAATCCAGGCAGGTATCGGCGCACGACTCCATTTTAGGTCTTTCACCGAGACGTTAAACCAAGATCCCATCTGTTCTCGTGGTTCAGATGGACTTCGAAGCATGTGACGTCTTCCTGATGGGAAAGGCGCTATACAAAGGTACGTTGGTGACATTGAAGATCCCATAGCGCTATTTTGAAGAGCAGGAAATTCTCCTATTCATCTGAAAAATATAATTTCTTTCATCTAAAAAAATCATTGACTATTCATCTCATTACTTTTTCTGGGAGTTCCTACACAGTTTTAAGCTACTGTGTTTGGCTTCAAACGGTCACTACACTTCAAAGTAATTTGTTGTGCAGAGCGCTCCGGGAAGTTTTGATGTGACAAGGTACTACGTACGTTGGCTGCAAATAGTATTCAAATTGCATTTTAATTTATTCATTGTTGCATTAAGTTTTTTTGTTATTATTTTGTCATTTTCCTCTTGTTCTCCTTCACTAACAGGAGTTCAGAATGGCCGTGGATTGGATAGGCTACACTTATGCCACTTTGGTGACAGTAGGAGGCATCCTGGGTTACACTCGGAAAGGTACAGTACTTTGTAAATAATATTAATTATTATAATAATAATCCCTACATTTGATACAGTAGTGTAATCCTGCAGCTCTGGTTTAGAGCACTCACGTCGCAAGCGAGAGACCTGGGTTCAATTCCTTGGGCAAGTTTCCTTACTTGACACGACTCTGTTTGCCGAGCAGTAAGTAGGAACACCGTTGTTAGTCGATTGGCGGATTGCTTTTCCGGGGCTAATAATTCCTTCAAAAAACAATAATAATAATAAATTGGTCACTCAATCCACGACTCTTTGTGGGACACTGCTGTGCGCAATTGGCTGCCACCGTTTCGCCCACAAATATACAGTCGATTCACTTTACAGGATATTCTGTGAAGCGCTTTGAGACGTCTCGAAGACGTGATAAGACGCTATATTAAATGCAAGGATTACTATTATTATTATTATAGCGCCTTATCATGTCATTGAAACATGTCAAAGCGCTTCACAGAATATACCGTTAAGTGGATTGACTGTGTATTTTGTGGGTGAAATTAATATTTATAATTATTTATTTGCTGCTTGACAAGAGCAGTTGGTAGTGATCTGGACGTTAAGCAATAAGATGCCTTAAAGTCAGAAACGTAAAGTAGCATTTTATTGTTTTTTTAAGTGCGGGGACTTAAAATCCTATCAGTTTTTCGAAAACGGCAGATCTTCTCATCCCTTTTCCCTGCCTTACCTCATGCTTCCTCAATAGCATTAGTCTCCTATGTCTGTCTTCCTTCCTCCCTCCCCTCTCGACCTCTCTCTTCTTTAATTCCTCCCCATCTCTTTTCCTCTCCCTCCCTCCCTCCCTCCCTGTCTTTCTCACTTCCTCTCTTGGTCTCTGGTTAAAAATGAGGAACATTGGACTGCAGCAAGATATCGTACCAATTGCACTGTTGAGGGAGTAAAGTTGAAGGAAATAAATTGCATTGATTTTTTCCAGGCAGCGTGATGTCCTTGATCTCCGGACTCCTCTTTGGCTCACTGGCAGGCTACGGTGCTTATCAAGTTTCAAGCGCCCCACGTGACGTGACTGTTTCCTTGAGTAAGTTTATGAAGTTTACGCAAGCTTTAAACTTAATCTGAGTCCAAAAAGATAAAATAAGGTTAGAAATAACAATCTTTACGTTTGATGTATGCCTGATCGCATCAACAAAATGCCTCAAAGCGCTTCACAGAATTTTACTATGAAGTGTAGTGACTGTGTACTTGTAGGTGAATTCGGCAGCCAACAAATAGCTATTAATCGTCGTCCAGGACACCGGGAGGAAATGCTGTATAGGGAAAAATTTCCGCTGGTGATTGACTGCACAAAACACACAGTTACTGCACTTTACAGTATATCCTGTGAAACGCTTTGGGACGTGCTCCCAATATGAAAAGTGCAGTGAATGTAAGGATTATGCAGAAAAGAAAGTGATGAGGATATCAGGGGATCCAGAGAGGAAGACAGAGAAGTCTAAGTGAGATACAATGAGTCTGTACAGTGTTGGCACAGCCGTACGTGCAGCACTGTCTACAACTCCGGTAACCAGAGAGCAGTTTAGTACACACAAGAATTATGGGCATCTGACCCCTGAGGAGGAGCTGTGTAAACTGGATTGTTTACACTGCAAACAAGAAGCTTAGGGTAGATTTTATTTTTTTCTAAATAAAGCCAGACAACGCACACAACCTCAACAGCAAGGGTCATGGACTCGAGCTCAGCAGTGAAAGTTTAAATCTAAATAACGATCCAATTCAAAATACTTTTCCCGGAGACCATAAGTGTCTGGTGTAGATTGCCTCTGTGGAGGTGGGAATGGATCAGAGGGAACTGGGTAGATTTTTGGTGAAAGAAATAATAATAATAATAACCCTTGCATTTGATATAGCGCCTTGTCACATCGTTGAGAAAGTGCTTCATATAATATATTGTAAAGTGAATTGACTGTGTATTTTGTGAGGGATCAGTGTTGTATTTTCCAATGATCTGACGAGTCAAGTGAACACAATGGCTTTTCAGTTCCTGGCCTCACATTCAAGTTTCTGGACAAATTGTTTGTCCAAACTGAGATAACTTATATATAATAACCGTGCACTTCATGGCTGTTTGTACAATACAATATAATTTACATTGATATAGAATGTTTCACATTGGGAGGAGGTCTCAAAGCACCTCACAGGATATACCTAAAGTGTAGTGACTGTGTTTCTAGGCGAACGCAGCAGCTAATTTGTACAGCAATGCCTCACAAGCAGCCATGCAGTGAATGACCGATTTTACTTGGGGGATTGTCAGTCAGGATGCAATGCAGCACAAACCACAATTCGAACCAGTTTACTTTCTGGCTTAGCCCTGAAAACAGATGGTATATTTTTTTCCCAGTAAGCCTTTGCGTTTGCTGCCAGTGTTAATGACTACATTCAGCTCGTTGGTTACAGCGAGGCTTGCTGATACTGTCACTTTAACACGGCCGAAACATTTGTTAAAGACGTCCAATGGCACTTACAAAGGACCCTGTGTAGAGCCGGGCTGCTTATGGTGTGGGTGTACAGTGGTACACTTCTGATCATGCATTCAGTCATCAACCGCAGGAAACATTTGTGAGAGCGATTGTCAGGATCCTGCCCCAATAACATCACGTATATTTCATGTTTTGTTTTGAATAAAACGTTCCTTCCCCTATTGTGTGTTTGTTTGATTGATTTTTTTTGTGCCTAAACATGTTTTTTTTTCTCTCTCCTCCTACATCAGTCACGGCTGGACTACTGACGGCCATAATGGGAATACGCTTCAGAAAATCGGGAAAGTTTATGCCAGCTGGTCTCGTGGCTGGTATCAGGTACGAACTCAAACCAGCGCTCAGATTCTGCACTTCAGTAAATTGAGAAGAACCAACTAATAGTAATAATCCTTGCATTTGATATCGCGCCTTATCACGTCTTTGAGACTTCTCAAAGCGTTGAAGGGGGAGGAATGTACTGCAAAGCGTAGTGACTGTATATTTTGTGCACAGCGACGTCCCACAAGCGGTTGTGGTTTGTGAGTGACCACATTATCATCATCACCACCACCATCACCATCATCATCACTATTATTTATTTATGGTCGAAGGGATCGTGAGCCCCGTTTCGGAAATGGCGCCCTGAATGAAATAATAATAATTATTATTAATTATTATTATAAATGAAATTTAAAAAAAACGCAGGTCCCGCAAACTCCCTCAGACCCCCAGAAATAGTTCAAAAGAACTGAATGTCAGTTCAGTTCAAACTGTTCAAAAGAAGTGAATTGACTGTATATTTTGTGGGCGAAACGCAGCAGCCAATTGCGCACAACAGTGTCCACATTACAGTCGTGGATGGAGTGACCAATGTTTTGTGCGGGAGGGATTATTACACCCGGAAAGCGATCCGTAATTGACTTAACAACCGGCTTCCTATTTACTGTTAGGTAAACGGAAACGTGTGGAGTAAGGAAACTTGCCTAAGGTTTCCCTGGCCGGGAATTGAAGCTTGGACCCCTCGCTTGCGAGGCGAGCGCTCTACCCACTGAGCTGCGGGACTAAACAGTTAGTCGGTGGCACTGTTGAGATGGCAGGTGGTGACCTCCAAGCCACGTGTCTTGGACATCAGGATCTAGGCTGACACTCCAGCACAATGCTGCTTGTCACTGCGTTGTTGGAGTTGCTGTCCTTCAGATGAGATATTAAACCAAGAGGTTAGATGGACACATAAATGTTAAATGTTTCACCCACAAATTATACAGTCAATTCACTTTACGGTATATCCTGAGAAGGGCTTTGAGACGTCTCGGAGACGTGAGAAGGCACTATATCAAATGCAAGGATTAATATTATTATTTTATTGATGAATACTCCCCCAAATAAAAATGGTATCAGATGCGAACTCAAACCAGGGCTCAGATTCTGCACTTTAGTAAATTGAGAAGAACTAACTAACTAGTAGTAATAATCCTTGTATTTAACAATTCAGAACTGCGAGTGGGGAACATTGCTGTGCACAAATTGGCTGCCAATTTCGCCAACAAATACACGGTCACTACGCTTTGCTGTATATCCTGTCAAGCTCTTTGAGACGTCTCGACGACCTGATAAGATGTTGTAGCAAATGCAAGGATTATTATTATCTGATTATTAAGACCGATTTTTAAAAAGATTTTATTTGTTTCTTCCTTGCAGCTTTTATATGGTTCTGCGGCTTGGCTTCCTGATGCTTTAAACCTTCAAACAACTCACTAAACCCGACAACAAATCAACCCAAACTCTTGTACTTTGCGATCATGTTTCCAATTTTAGCGAAAATATAGTCCCGTAACTTTTTAAAGCTACGATTCTGAGATAGTTACTGTCTTAGTTTTGCTTTCAATGGAGAGGCGCTATGTAAATGCGAGTTGTTGTTGTCTGTAAATCATTGTCTATTGCAATTTTGAAGAGACGGGGGAATGAAAATGACACATGAAGTTTCTGGGCCTGATTAAGTTTGCAGAGATTATTCACGATTAAAACCTACTGGCTGAAAAATAATGGTCCTGCGACATTTTTGTTGTCTCTTTGCTTTCTCTCATAACAGCTGTTGACAAGTGAGATGTGAATGAAGAAAGCCTTGCAACCAATCTTGTCTGATCTCATTCTTGGCTGGGACACTGGAAGGGAAAAACTCTTTTCGAGTCACGCCATGGAATGTTTACTTCCCAGTCAAGATGTCGCAATCACAGGAATTTACTATTAACCAGTGACTATTTGTATGCAAACAACCAATTTCCACACAGCAATGTCCTACAAACAGCCATGAGATGACTCCCCAGTTTTGTTCGGTGGGGTGGGGGGGATTCTTAGCCCAGGAACCCTTTCTGAGAGAAACTCCCTTCTCTACCACAGTGAGAAACTCAGATCATTTTAGCATGAGTGTTTTAAAATACCTGCAAGCATGTTGATCTATTTTATTTTAGTTCCTTATGAAGGTGCACGTGAGCTCGTTGCAGGTTGGTCTCTACAATACAGTACAGTGAATCCTGTGAAGCCCTTCGAGACAACGGGGTAATGTGTTATATCAATTGTAAGGATTGTTACTATCGCGGGAGTCTATTCGCAGTCTGGTTTGAGCACTTGCATTTCCCCACAAAATATAGTCAATTAACTTTACAGTATATGCTTGAAGCGCTTTGAGATGTCTCAGAGACAATCGATTTCTTCTAATCCTCCAGTGCCAGGTACAGCTTTATACATTTTTGCCCAAACTTGTGTGAGGCCGAGATAATGAGAAAGTATTAGGCCGTCTGACAGGACAGGGAGCGGAGTATCCTGCATCGAGCCCTCTCTTCTCAGCTAACAGAAACGTGTACAGACAGTGATTAGACATTCGGAGCTGCAGCTACAATAACAACTTGCATTTATATAACACCCTTCAAGCCTGGCAGCATCTTGAAGGGTTTTAACAGCGGTAATAATCCCTTCCAAAAATAAGAATGACAATTTGGTCGCTCAATCCACGACCGTTTGTGAGACACTGCTGTGCGCAATTGGCTGCCGCGTTTCGCCCGTAAAATGTACGGCCAATACACACTTTACAATATAGTGTGTGAAGCGTTTTGAGACATCTCAAAGACGTGATAAAACGCTATATCAAATGCAAGTATTATTATTATTAACTCTCGACTTCAAAGTCCTCACCTTCATATGTAAATCCATTCAGCTCCAGCACCTACTGATCTCTCTGACCTCACTGCTCTGCTTGCCTCCTCCACTTACCTAACACGGGTTTGCTGTGAATCCTCCCATGCCTCGTGCGTCACCATCAGTGGCCGAGCCTTCAGTCACTACACCCCAGACCTCTGGAACTCCCTGCCTCCATCCACCCCCAACTTAGCCTCTCTCTGTCTTAACACCTACTTCTGCACACATGCCTACCATCACCACCACCTTCTTCCGTCTGATTCTCTGAAACATTGGGACGTTAGTCATCATGAAGAGCACTGCATAAACATGTGTTTTATGTTTTTCAAAGCAATACAGTATATTTGCCCCAAAACACCCGTCAATCCACTTTACAATATATTCTGCGAAGCTCTTTGAGACGTCTCAACGATCTAATAAGATGCTATATCAAATGCAAGGATTATTATTATTACTGTAGATTGGTTATGCAAGAGACCCGACTCTTTCTGGCAGCTGGAAGCTGAGAAATTTTGAAATCAACAACAAAAACAACTTGTATTTATATAGTGCCCGTCACACAGGGCAGCGTCCCAGAGAGCTTGACAGTAGTGGAGCATGAAGATGGGGAAGGAAGGGGCAAGGCGGAGGGATAGAGGAAGTGTTCGAGACTTTCGGGGCGTAGTGGCTGATAGCACGGCTGCCAATAGTGAAAACGGAGGGCACGAGGGACGTGCAGAAGGCCGGAGCCAATCGATCGGAGGCAGTGTATTGGGGGGTAAGCAAGTCGGAGAGGTAGGGAGGTGCCAGGGTATGAAGGGATTTGAAAACGAGCGTGAGGGTCTTGTAATCGATCCGGTTCAGCGATAGGGAGCCAGTGGAGCCTGACTGGAACCGGTGTGAAATTCAAGACCTTGCAGCACAAATAAGAGGGAGCGAGAGATGGGACGAGAGCAAGAGTTTTGACACAACTTTTAGTTTCCGTCACAATTTGCCACAGGGTCAGAAAATTATGCTTTGGCTTGTTGAGTGGTAACAAATGACAATAAAACATCGGCTGCGAGTTCTAATTGATTTAATCTCCCTTCCAGTTCACAGTGAGATGTGAATCTGTGTCATATGTAGGGATCAAGCAAGTTATGCACAACACACCATTTGGAAGCCTTTTATAATTCAATTGCAACAAATTATTTTAAGCATTGAAATAGATTTGATATCAGTCATTAAACTTGATTTTAGTCGATCATTTGCAGTGTTAAATGATTAGTCACACAATATATTCATGAGTTTTACAGTCTGCCGAAAAGAAATTAATTGTGCCGCCAACTTTTTTTGATGACTGGTTGAGTAGAAAATTCCACCTGTGTCTGGAATCACTGTTAGTAACGAAGTGTGCGAAATTGTTGGATTTAATCTCAACTCTGAAACCCGTTTACTTAAACAAAAGAAACCTACAGAAAAATTGGCGTCAAAATTAAAGGCTGTAATTAAGAATTCGACAAATCCTGGATGTTCTGAAATGCCCAGTTAATAAAGTCAATCTACACCCAGCTGGAAGTTTACCCCACGTTTCTCCTTCCCTTCTCAAAAGCGAAGGACTTCTTTCACAATCCGCATGTACTCTTGGTCGGGTGGCGGTTTCCTTGCACTGCCGGGTTCCAGGAACTTCTTGATGGTTGGGATGCTGCTTATCTTTGACTTAAACGCCTGGAAGGAAGTACTGAAGTTAGGATTCCGTTACAGCAAACCGCTCAGATCCGTGCCCAGATCGTAACAAAACCCTTCCTTACCCTCGCACGCTGTGGGCACTCACTGTCCGAACAGACATTGCAAGCGCCGATTGTCAGCAGGACATTGCTTCATAAGAAGTGATTTAAAGTGCTGATAGCAAAAAAAAAACTACATACAATACCGAATTAGTGTTACATCAATACCCGGAATATTCACTTATATATTGTGACCGGTGTTTGTGCTCATATCCTCAGCAAAGACATTCATCTCCCATTCTTTCCCCGTTATTTTAATGTTTCCCATTTGTCTGATTCGCTTTGTGAAATGCTGCGATAAACTCGGCTTCCATATTCTAACAACCCTCTGTGTAAAACATTCTTCTCTTCCATGACCCGAAATGTTGACTCACTTTCCTTTCTCGATAGATGTTGCCTGACTTGCTGAGCGTTCCCAGCGACTTCTGTTTTTGTTGCTATAATCCAGGCTGACCGATGTCCACATTTAACGTTGTTTGAAATGCAAAAAGTAGGAAGTTTCCACCAACATAATTTGCAAAAAAAATTAATTCTCAAATTTGAAATTGAAGAATAGTCTGTGGGGGGGCTTTCAACCATTCTGCCCCTGATTTCTGGAACTCCATCCCCGAGTTCCTCCCTCCTCACCTTTAAAGCCATCCTTTAAGACCTTTCTTTTCAGCTGTGTTTTGTGGTCACCTTTCCCCCTCTCCCCCATTCCTTCCGCAGCTCCCTCCACCCCATGTTTGAGCTCACAACCCGCTCCGTCAAGTCCTTTACACTATATAAACTGTTGGTGTTATTTGCAGTAAATTTATTTGAAGTCCCGTCTGCCAGTTCAAAGCGGACATTAAAGTATTAAAGTTCCTATAGCTCTCCTCAAAAAGTGAAGGCACGTTCTCCCTGTATCTTGGTCAACAATCCCCCCCAAAAAATTGGTTCATCACTTCATGGCTCTTTGTGGGACATTGTTGTGCTCCAATTGCATTCAACTGCAAAATATACAGCCACTACACTTTATGGTATACCCTGCTGTGAAGCACTTTGAGACATCCTCTCAACGTGTTAGGCTCTTTATCAAATACAAGGAGCATTATTATTATTTATGCCTGAAACACTTGGTAAAGCTTCAGACCTTAGATCTATTGCGCTGTAGACAGTACCTGTAGTTTGGGAAACTCCGATAGAATTGAAGGAAACTTTTCTTCGATCATGAAGATCAGCTCCAACAACTGAACATCGGCCACACTGAGCTTATCACCGATCAAAAAGCCACTGGGGTTTTGATTAACGGCCTGCAACAAAAACAGTACAGAATTAACCAAATTTACATGTAATTGCGGCTTGAAGATATATCATCAGATAGCCTCACTGCCACAAACTGGTATTACATCAACGACGACGGCAAATTACATTTGTATAGAGAAAATTTGAATGTAATACTCTTTACACACACACCCTGACCCACCTTCACACACACACACAAACACACACTCCCACCACACACAACACCCCCCCCCGTCACACACAACACACCACCTACCCTCACACACAACACCCCCCCACCTCACACACACACCCCCCCTCAAACACAACACACCACACCCCCCCTCGCGCACACACACGCGTGCGCAACCCCCCACGCACACACGCGCAATCCCCCTCACGCACACACGCGCAACCCCCTCACGCACACACGCGCGCAACCCTGAACCCGTGCGCGACTTAGGCATCAGGTTTAATCCTCAGTTATCCTTCCTCCCCCACATCCGGTCCCTGAGCAGCACCGCTCCCTTCCACCTCCACCACATTGCCCGTCTCCGACAATACCCCAAAACCTGCCGAAACGCTTGCCCATGTCTTTGTCACCTCTCAACTGGACGACTCTAACCCTCTCCTCACCGGTCTCCCCTTCTCCACTATTCACAAAATTCAGCTCATTCATAACTCCGCCGCCCGCATTCTCACCCGCACCAAACTCCGTACCCCGATTACTCCAGTCCTCGCCACACTCCACTGGCTCCCTGTCACAGAGCAGATCGACTTCAAGATCCTCACTCTGGTGTTTAAATCCCTCCATTCCTTGGCACCCTTCTATCTCTCTAACCTCCTCTCACCCCACAGCAGTACCCTCTGCCTCTGCTTTACTGGATCCGACCTCCTCCGTGTCCCCCGAATCCTCTGCTCCACCATCGGTGGCTGTGCCTTCAGCCACTACACCCCGAAACTTTGGAACTCCCTCCCTCAACCCCTTCGCCTCGCCCCCTCCTTCCCTATCTTCAGCTCACACCTGAAGACATTTCACTTCGGCCGCGTCTCCGGTCACCTTACCCTCCCCCTGGTTCAGCCTCGGGCTCTGCCATTGTTAAGCGCTCTTGGACGCCGCCTGGCGTGGAGGGCGCTATATAAACACAAGTTATTGTTGTTGGTCTCTCATGGGATTATTTGGGTACCTTTTCATATACTGGTAAATATCTATCTTGGGCTCGTTTTTTTATAAGTGTAAGACTTTTCTCCTGTTCTGCAGGAGGAAGGAATATCAAGCGCATGATGAGCTCCATCAGGTCCTCAGCTCCTTCCACGTACATGTCTATCCTGCAGATAAAAATGAGTGCCCATTAATTTTAATCTAACAATAGTTACCGTTGGTTAAAATATTGTAAAATTACATTTAACATTGGACAAGGATAGCATTGGAGAATCCTTATTTCTGCATTGGCTTTGCTGATCTCACACTAATTTGGTTCGGCTAACAGGACAGGAGTGTCTGCCTGGGTCTGTTGGTAAGCACACTCACTCCTGAGTCAGAAGGTTAAACTCACACACACACACACTCGCTCACTCACACACACGAAGACAATCACTCACACACTCACAAACACACACAATCACTCATTCACACACATACACACATTCACACACAAACACACATTCACGCATTCACACAGTCACTCACACAAACACAAACACTCACACACACACAAACACTCACACACACACACAAGTGAGAACCGAGGCTTGATTCCTGGGTGGGTGAAACCTTAGGCAAGTTTTCTTACTCCATAAACCTTTCACTCCACCCAGCAGTAAGTAGATTTGATCACTCAATCCACGACTGTTTGTGGGACACTGCTGTGCGCAGTTGGCTGCCGTGTTTTGCCCACAGTGTATTCTGTGAAGCTCTTTGAGATGTCTCAACAACGTGATAAGGAACGGCATCAAATGCAAGAATTATTATTATTATTATTATTAGGTTGTAGTTTCAAGCCCCATGTCAGGGCTTGGAACCCATATAGTCCAGGCTGACACCCCCAATGTGGTGCTGCACTATCAGAGGTGCCATACTTCAGATCAAACATAAAACCGAGGTCTCATCTGTCTACTCCGGTGGACATGTTGAAGATTCCTTTCTTGTTCGAAAAGAGAACAAAGTTTCTCCCAGTGTCCTGGCCAACAATCCCGCAAATAATATGCATAATTACTGAATTGGTGAAATGGCGTGACAAGAAAAATCGAGGCGAAGCTATCACCTTTCCAAGGAAACCAATTGCTGTTGTTTGAATGTATTGTGCTTTTTGGAGCTCCTCTGTGACTACGCAGACAGGTCTGAACCTGCCAGATCTTGAGATTGTTTCCAAAGACCTACAACACGTGCCAATTACTGCAGCAACTTTCAATGCTATATCCAATTTCTAAAGAGAAAGTGCTTCACCACAAAGGTTAAAGCAAAGTCAACAATACAAGGGCATCAATGCAATTTCGTCTATTGCAAAACACACGGGCACTATGTTCTGTTGCTCTATTCAGTGATTGGTGGTTATGAAAATGCTAGCGTTAAAATAGTTGTTTAATTTCTGAAAATGTAAACTTCTAAAATTTCATAGTTTGCCATTGAAAGCACAAACTGGCAACTTTGCTTGTCCAGCTGGGACCCCTCTACCCATTAGGGCTTTGGGTTGCAAGGTTCCAGCGATGTGTCGCTCCAAGTCCTGCAGATGAGCCAGGTTGGCTGGTCTGTCATCAAAAGTGCCTGGAGTATTGCAGAGCCAACTGGCTCAAAAACTGGATGTGTGAGACTGTCACAGAGGATTGACTCAATAAAGATATACTTTTGTATATTGCAAATGTAAGTGACTGCAATGAGCATTGAGATTAATGCTAATCTAGTGAGATTGCTTCTTGAAAGAAACCCTAGTTAAAAGGTTAATGAAGTCTTTTGCAGAGATTAATATTACTCTGACTAGAACTCTATTTCACTATTTGTAGACTGCTTGTTACACATGTTCCTTTCACTCTCCCTACACATTTCAGCTAGCAATTATTAAAAAAAAGTTGAACTAAGTTTGCTAAAAGCACAATAGCTGTACTGTACTGTAATAATTCCTTTCTTACGGATATACTCCCAACTTTTATCGTGACCATTATTTGCGTGTGATGAAGTGTAGTGGTAACTGGATTAAATATTTTAACGTTATGTAGGTGACAAATTACAGGTGTGGTCTGGCTCAACAATAGTTCCCGGTGCGCCCGTTGTGAAACAAAGAGATGCACAAGAGAGGAAAGAGTCAATTGTGGAGTAAACGTCCAGGGAGTTTTATAATTATTCCATGCAGCAAAATAGCTTTTGTGGCTAAGAGCAAGGACACAGCCACTTTCCTATCTTGCCCTTTTACAAATAGGATGAACAGAAGAATCAGATTTGAGGTTTGGTGAAAATATTCTGGATAGTTTCAATGTAAAAATAATAATACTCCTTGCAATTGAGACAGTGCCTTTCATGTTGAGTGGACATTTCAAAGTGCTTCATGGGATGTAATTCGCAGTAAAGTATCGTGATGGTGTATTTTGTAGACCAGTTGAGGAAGGTTCAACCTTTTTGGTCGGTCAACCAAATACATTTTTCTTCATTTAGGGGTGTGCTGTGAGTTTCGTGGCTCAGTAGTTACTGGAAACTACATTACACTGGGGCACGATACCTGTGGCGTGACCACGATTAAGAAAAAAATGTAATAAAGAAACATTTACTTGTTTGGCCAACCAAAAAGTTTGGCCACTACTGTTTTCGATGAACACAGCATCCAATTTGTGCACAGCAACGTCCCACAAATAGCCATGAGGTGATTGACCAATTTTATTTAGTGGATTGCTGCCACTCACACATGGAGAAACTCCCTTTATTCAAATGGTGCTGTGAGATCTTTAACATTCACTGCACAGGTAGATGAAACCTCGGTTTAACTTTTCACCTGAAGGGCGACACTTCCAATAATGCAGCGCACCCCCCATATCTGCACTGGAGTGTCAGCCTAGACTTGGTGAGTTCAACGTCCTGACAAGATATTTTGAACCTTCTAACACACAGTGCTTCAAGCTATGTCAGGTTGACACCCGGCAGCTTAAAAAGATGTTACAACACCACCGTAGTAAGCATTGTAATAACATGCAGAACGTTAATAACATCAGCTCTGGTTCTTATTTCAACAAAACCAACGGTATTACAACATCAATTGATGTAGCGCCTTTCACATCAGGAAGACGTCTCAAAGCCCTCCCCATAACTGATTGACAGCCCGAGCCAGGTGAGGGATGGGGAAAGTTTGAGAAGATGCTTATCTGACTTACTGTGCTCTCTCCTGGATGTTTTTTCCATACAGATTGTTTTTTGCTGCAATATAATGCAGAATAGCTTTGGTCTGAATTAATTTCATTCCATCGATCTCAACCATCGGTACTTGTTGATACATCAAGGCTCCATCTGTTGAAGGAAATGAGAACAGATGAACGTTTAAGGCTAACCGCATTGATCATTTCCTGTTTAAAGTGATGGAATTATAGGTGAAGTTGTCAGATTAAACATCTAACGGAGGCAAATGGTTTCACGGCAAAAGCATTCAACACTTTAAAGATTAATAACATGTAGAATTATGTTACAGAATGTACACCTTTTGCGGTTCTGAGGATTAAAAACATTAATGAAAATGCACGATCAAATTTCCTTGGAACAAAACCCCTCTGAACAGTTAAGATTGAAGATCTAGAGTTCTCCTTACCTGCCATGAGCTTTTCATATTGTGCCCTGGTCTCAAGGAATTCTTCCTCAAACTGTAGAAAAGAGTCACCAAACAAGATCGGATGAAACGTTTTATTAAAAGCTAGTGGGTAAATCACTGCAACACCAAGCAATACAGGTTACAATGCGGGTCTCTGCTGAATAAGCTGATCTGAGTTGGAGCAATGTTTAAAATGCTACAGTTCGCAAGATTGCTGTCCCCAAACTCCTCACTACAAGGTGCACGTGTAGGTGATTCATGACGTAGAAAATTATGAACCATGTATAACTGTGATCCCAAACACCAGCTCGGATGTGGATCTCTGACTGTGTGCAATTGGCTGCCGCGTTCGCCCACAAATATACGGTCAATTCACTTTACAGTGTGTTCTGCGAAGCGCTTTGGGACGTCCTCCCGACGTGAAAAGCGCTATATCAAATGCAAGGATGATTATTATTATTATTATTATTATTATCCAGCGCCTTGGGATGTCCTCGTGACGTGAAAGGCGCCGTACAAATGTGATTTGTTGTTGTTATTGTTTGCTTGAACACATCTTTTGTATGTTTTTCACGTGTGAACACATGAACCGGTAGAGCTCAATCACATTCATTCCTGCGATCCCTTCATCAGTTATAATCCCCATAAAAGCAGAGGGTATAGAGGGAACCCTGGTCAAAAGAGAGAGGATGTTGTTACTGTCTTTGATGAGCACCATCTTTGGGATGCTGTGGGCTGAGTGGGACCCAGACTGGAGTGGCTCGATTATTGATATAATCAGAATATAATAATAAAATACGTTTCTTTTTCACCACTTTCTCTTAGCTTCCTACTGTGCCTCTGGGAAATAAAGGGAACTAACTAAGTTTCTCTCTCTCTCCTCCTCCTCCTATCCTATCCTACCAGAACAGAAAGCGACCAAGTTTAGACCTTGACCCGTACTGAATTTGCTGATCTCAGCCCAAGTACGACTGTAGGCACAGCAATTAACCTCTGCATTCCCTGAGCAGTAAAAAAATCAGTAAGAAACAAAAGTGCCTGTTGGGGGGGTGGGGGGGGTCCTATATCGAGCAATCGCCTCGTAAGCAAGAAGACCTGGGGGTGTGGGGGGCACTGAGGGAACTGGCTCCATGATTTAATAAATCACAAACACTCGCAATCCAGTCTGAGACACGAACTTTAACGTTAACGCCCTTGTTTTACAATTTGATTTGTTTGCTCAGCCGTCACCATGCTATTCTTCAATGGCATGGTGACGGCTGACCAGTTTAACATACGTCACGTGGACATATTCTCTGTCTGGAATAAAATGTACACTCTCTCCCTGGAGGAACACATCCCTAATGCTTAATCCTTTTTACCTAATCCAGAAAGTATTCGGCGCATCTTGGCAATGCTTGGGAATCCCAACTAAAACTACACAGCTTGCCATAGAAAGCACTGTTAAGTAAGTTTCCAGCGAGAACCAAACTGGGCAGCTGTCTAAGGCAACAGCTTCTAGTCCCAGTCTGGCATCTATGGTTGGTGGGGAAGTTTGGAGGAAATCTCCCCGGTTTGATTCAGGATTAGTCCAGATCACACTGTCAATTGGACGTCATAAAATGCCTGGGCTACAGTTGGGCAAATAAAAGGTGTCAGAGGGGCAAGAATGACAACAAAAAGCAAAGGCGTGGGTCAGCAATGTGACACTGGCAGCGAAGCCTTTTGCGTATGTGGCGTAAGCCATACTTTCGGGAGGCAAAGGCAAAGAGGGGATAAGGAGGGCGCGGCACACAAAAGTGGCAGATTGTCTTGCTCTTAGATCACGGTTGTTAACAGGAGCTGAGTGAGAAGAATCCCAGCTGCCGGCGACTGGTCTACCCCTACAAGTCCTGCCAAGGAGTCAGGCCGGCTGTGCCGTCATCATGAGTCAGCCAAATAAAGAATATACTATTTTAACACCTGTACAGTGGCTATGCAAGCGAGAGACCTGAGTTCAACTCCAGACAGGGCGAAACCTTGGGCAAGTTTCCTTACTCCACACACCTAACAATAATCCCTCCACAAAACACAACGCTAATAAACTGATAATTTTCAATCCCCGACTGTTTGTGGGACATTGCTGTGCGCAATTGGCTGCCGCGTTCGCCCACAAATATACAGTCAATTCACTTTACAGTGTGTTCTGTGAAGCGCTTTGGGACGTCCTCCTGACGTGAAAAGCGCTATATCAAATGCAAGGATTATTATTATTATTATCAAGACAAACCTGATTCCGACATCACCTGGAGCCAACTTAAATCAGCTCCAGGGAGAGCCCAATTGTCACTACCGGAGGAGAATCGATTGAGATTTGAGAGTGCAAGTGATGCGTAATGGCATCCAAAATTAAGGCTCAAGGTCAAAGTGCTAATTATCTGCAGCCTGATTAATTGGCTGCCATGTTCACCCACAAAAATACACAGTCACTACGCTCGCACTGAATCTGTGAAGCAATTTGAGATGCCCTCCCACCGTGAAAGGTTCGTTATTGTATTTCAATTAGAAGATTGTGGGCGACAGAATTACAACATTAGATTTCGACCAATTAAGTTGTGCCACTCAGGTTAAATTCCTCGTTCTGTCCAACAGAAAGCCGCGCTGCATTCTCAAATCGTTTTTTTTTTTGGTCCTGATGGGCGTCCGACACATATGGAAACCCGCCACCAAAGCTTCGGGGTATCCCAACAAAAGGAATCCAGGAGGAAACCAGGAGGAAACTCGCTTGCCTTTTCGACTTGAATTGTGCCAGTTCATTTCAATCCCACAACTCAGTACCTTTTTTTTCTCGTCTGCTTTTGAGCTTTTATGCACTGCGTGAACCGCATCATCGTCCGAGCCAAAAGGAAATGAGTAAATGTACGCTTTGTAACTGTGTTCTTAGTTAAAGCAATCGTTGATGAATTTAAGCTCTACTGAGACACTACTACGCCACATACAAAAGCAAATAATTGTCCTCGACAAATTACATTCAAACACAATCAAATGCAATAAGTCTTATTCACAACCTCGATGCCAGCGGCAGCCAGAAGCCAACGAATAGACTCCATCTTTCCTCTTCCATTGAAATAGTGAAGTTTCGGCTTGCTGGACATGATGTTGGTTTTCTGAAAATAAACGCAAGAAGTTTAAAGTCTCTCTCTCTCTCTCCCTCCGCGCCACCCGCCCCCCGAAAAGCCTCCCCTCCCTTCCAGAAGGTGGATGCACATTTTTTTGGGGGGGGAATGGTCATTCCTGACATGCGTCCGCGCATAGACACATAGACATGGGAGTAGGCTATTCAGCCCCTCAAGCCTTTTCCAGCATTTTGTAAGATTACAGCTCAGCTATACCTCAAGTCGTTACCCGCCTTTGGCGCGAGTCCACCTTAAGAACAAGTCTCCCACTGTCTGAGATCAGCAAAATCTTCCCGCGCATTCCTGCTGTATGCAATTGAGTATCCACACAATCACGGTATATTAACTTAATAGCTGCTCAACATTTTGTTGCAAAAACATAATTCTAATATGGATATATAGTACATATCAAACACTTTGACTTTGTGTCCAGCATTTGGAATTTACTCTGAGTGATATTCTTGCAAATCAAACACTCTCCACCGAAAGGTGCAAACCCCCAGGAATTGCAAACAGGTCCAGGTCCTGTTGCAAAATCTGCAGGAGTCTGGTTTTGCACAAGGAGTTAACTCCAGTCAGAAAGGCTCAACTATTAACACAAGAAAATACAAATGGGCTATTAACAGGTGAGTGGGATCATGCAATGCTGCAAATGACTGAACCCCTCCAAACCTTTCAAACACTAGGACTCACTGAGAATAAGGTGAGGTTGGAAATAGATAACAACAACAATATTGCAGGTACTTATCCTAAACATATTAATCCTTGCATTTGGTTTAGAGGGGTGTGGGGGTGTGGGGGGGGAAGAGTTGGGAGAGCAGAAAAATCTGAACAGCACCCACCCCCACCCCCAAAAAAAAGACATTAAACCTCCTAAAAAAAAGTTGCATGTGGGATCTTGTGACACAAACACACACACACATATATACACATATACACATATATATACACACACATATATATACACATATATCAATGGTGAAAGGAGAACATGTTTTGCAATAAGGGGGAGAGAGGGGGAGAAAAGTGCAATGGGTTTCTCGCACACAGATGTAATAAGGAAAAGCGCAGAGCAAAGTATGGGTCACGGCACAGAACAAGTTCAGCAAAAAATAAAGGTAAGGAGCAAAACCAGTGCAAAGTCAGGAGCGCAACTCACCCCCTGTGCACCTGTCAGTCACTCAGCGCTGCACTGTCCGGATCACCCGGAGCACAGCCAATGGCCGCGCGGCTCATTTGCATAGCGCAAGCGCTGCCGGGATAGGGAGGGCGGGCGGGCGGGCGGGCGCTTCACCGTAACCGAGAGGAGGGCCGGCCTCGGCGGGTATAAATAGCGCGCGGCGCAGCTAGTGAGTATCGGGTGTGAGGGCGATCTGGCTGCGACATCTGTCACCCCATTGATCGCTAGGGTTGATTCGGCTGATCTGGTTGGTTAGGCGGGTGTCCCCCTTCCCTCACAGCTCCATGTGCGTCCCTCCCGAAGCTCAGCGCTCGGTCGCAGAGGACGACCCCCTATAGAAGAAGGGCCGCTCCCGCCGGTCTAGGGTATATGACGTAGCTACTCCCCTGCTATAGACCAAACCTCCAAGACCATTTGTAGGATCACGTAGGGAAGTCAAGCTCTCTCCAAGACTTCAGACACATCCAAGTCAGGCACTGCACGTGGCAGTCTGCCGTTCTTTTTTTTTCCCCCTTTCTTTTTTAAGACCCCCACCCACTCCCTCCCCCCCCCCCCCCCCCCCCCCCCCACACTCCCTCCCATCCCTCTCCCAGAGGGAGGTATCCCCGAGCTTTCCCGAGGCTCCCGACCGCCCACCCGCCCGCGGGGGCGAAGGGACGTGGACGGAGCTCGAGCCGCTGAGCGGAGGGAGGCTTTCACGTTCTCTGCTCGGTGTATACTTTTCCTCCCCCACCCGACCCCCACCCCACACCCACCCCACCCCACCCCACCCCATCCCCACCCCACCCGGGATGCCGAGCCGAGGGGAGGAGGAGGAGGAGGAGGAGGGCGTGAGCGCGGTTTCAAGAGGAAGGTCTTCACGCGTGACCTGAAGACGGGGAAGGAGGAGGGGGTGTGTGTGTGGGGGGGGAGAGCGTTCCGGAAGAGCGTTTCGGGACGCAGTGGCTGAAAGCGCGGCCGCCGACGTTGGAGCGGAGGGACGAGCAGGAGATCAGAGGCAGTCGGGCGGGCGGGTGGGCGGGCGGAGGCGGTGGGCTGATGGGGGGTGGGGGGGGGGGGGGGGGTAAGCAGGTCGGAGAGCGAGAGAGGGAGGTGCAGCGCGGCCGGAGCTGGTGTGTTTGGGGTATGGAGCGTGGTGGGGGGGTGAGCGTGCGGTGCGGGCGGCAGAGCTTTGGTTGCGCGTCCGCTCTTGGAATGGCTCAGTCTCCGCCCGGGTGGGTGGTCCAATCGTTCCGCTGCCGAGAGCCGGACTCAAGACGTCTGGAAGAGGTGATGAGGCGCTATATCGAATGCGAGGATTATTATGATTGTTGTTGTTAATTATTATAGTCCGCGCCATGACCGGCACTGCCTACCACCACCTCCGCAGCGTTGCCAGACTCCGCCGCTGCCTCACCCCTCAGGCTGCCCAAACCCTCACCTCAAGGCTCGATGACGGGACCTCCCTCCTCATCGGCCTTCCCAACTCTTCCCCTCACAAGCTGCAGATCATCCCAAACTCTGCCGCTCGTGTACTTTCACGCTCCGTGACCCCATCACTCCCACCCTCGCCCGACTGCACTGGCTCCCCATCCCCCAGAGGGTCGAGTTCAAGATCCTGGTCCTCACCTTCAAGGCCATCCATGGCCTTGCCCCCTTCTACCTCTCTGACCTGCCGACTCCCTACCAACCTGCCCGCTCCCTCCGTTCACCGGGCTCCGGTCTGCTCCATGTCTCCCGCCCGACCCATCATACCATCGGTGGCCGGACTTTCAGCCTCTCTGCCCTCACGCTCTGGAACTCCATCCCACGGTCCCTTCCCCTCGTTTCCTCCCTTGGCTCCTTCAAGGCCGGGCTCAAGACCCTTCTCTTCGACTGTACCTTTGGTCTCCCTCCCACCTCTCTGTCTCCCCTCACCCCTACACCACCCCTCCCCCCATGCTCGGGCCCCGACACCTGACTGTTCAGCGCTTTGGGACGTCCTCCCCACGTGAAAGGCGCTCTATAAATGTAATTTTGTTGTCCTTGTTATCTCGAGGCACTGTCGGCGAGTTAGGACTCGTGCTTTGAAAGAGGGGATGGAGCGAGCGAGCGAGCGAGTCAGAGGGACTTTGGGGATGGAGCTCCCGAAAGTGGGGGCAAAATGGCGATGGTGGGGTGGGGGGGGGGGGTCGAGGTGGGTATATGAAGCAAGTTCTCTCTCGCCAACCCCTCTCCCTCATGCTCTCGGTCTCTCCCCCTCTCTGTCAATCAGCTACGCTCTCTCCCTCCTCTCTCATCCCCTCCCACTCTCTCTCTCCCCACTCTCTCCCCCCCCCCCCCCCGCCCCACACGCACACTTTCTCTCCTCTCCCTTTCTCTCAATCAGCCACGTGGCTATAAAATAATCTTATTATAACATGACACATAACACATCCTTCCCGCTCTTCAGTCAATTTCTCCTCTTAGCCCCAAAGCTCCTCTCCTCCACCGTCGACCAGCTCCTCCGCTGCGCTTTCAGCCGCTGTGTGCGCCCCCGAAACTCTGGAACGCTCTCCCTCAATTTCTCCACCGTGCCCTTTGCTTCCCCACGTTCCAGGTCGTGAAGACCTTCCTCTTAAACCGTGCTGACGGCCACATCCCCTCGGCTTGGCTTCGCGCTGGGCCACTGTTAAGCGCTCTGCTCCTTCCCCCTTGTCCCTCCACACACCGCCCTTCCCACCAATGACCCTGTCTTCCCCCCCCCCCCCACCCCGCCGCCCCCATCCCTCTATCTCCTGCATGAAACCCACCACCTGTTCCATTGACCCTATTCCTGCACAGCTCCTCCCGTCTCTCCCACCTCACTGGCCAATGTCATCAAACTTCACCCTTTCCTCTGGTACAGTACCCCGACTCTTTCGAAACTACCATCAATTTCTCTCCCCCACCTCCTCAAGAAAATCTGCACTACACACACCCCTCCCAACGCCTCACCTATTGCCCCACTGGCAACACGCCCTTCCCTCCGAGGTAGTGGAGTGTGATGTTGCCTCTCAACTTTGCTCCTTCGTCTTGGGAGACCTGTAGTTCAGCGGTTGGAGCATTCGCCTCGCAAGGGAGAGACCTGGTGTTCAATTCCCGGAAGGGTGATATGTTGGGCAAGTTTCCTTACTCCACACGCCTCTGTTTACCTGGCAGAGGAACCCGGCTGTTAGTCGATTCCTGGATCACTTTCCCGGGGTAATAATCCCTTAAAAGAATAATAAATTGGTCACTAAATCCGTGACCGTTTGTGGGACACTGCAGTGCGTAATTGGCTGCCGCACTTCGCCCACAAAATATACAGTCAATTCACTTCACCGTATATTCTGTGAAGCCCTTTGAGACGTCTTAAAAGAAGGATTATTATTATCTTCCAATCATTCCAACAAATTTCCATTTTCATTTCTGTACAGGTCCTTCTTGCCGGCCTTTGCCCTACCGACACAATCAGGACGGCCACGGTCAATTATAAGTGACATCCTCTCCATCTGCAGCCAGGGCTCCCTGTGTTTCCTTGTCTTCGATTTCTCCGCCATATTAGATGTTGTTGACAACTCCATCATTCTCCACTGCTTCCACTTCGTCTCTTCCAGGTGTCAGCCCAACACAGTTGAGAGCACGTTTGTCTAAATCAGAAGATACGTTCAAGCCCCCACACCAGGACCTCAAGCTCAGTCTGCCCCGACAGTGCTGTCCTTCACATAAGATTGTAAACTGTCCATCTTTCCTGTGAATGTTACGATTCCGTGGCACTATTTAAAAAGAGAATAGCAGGCAATTATATCTGCATTCAAATTTCCATAATCCTAAATATCTATATCAAGGCCTCCTCTGGTCTTCCTGAAGTAACCCGACATAGATAGCTCCACTCTCAAACACTGGAATTAATCTAGTCACGCTTTTCCTCCCAACAAATTAAATTATTTTTGAAATAGATGTAAATGCCACCTGATCTAGATTTACTGTATAATCTTAGAACCATAGAAATTTACGGGACAGAAGGTCAATCAACTCATCGTCTGTGCTGCCTCTATTAAAAGCGATAGTTTCAGTTCCATTTAACCGTTTCTGCCCTTTCCCCATATACTTACAGTTCACTCTTTTTGGATGTTTTAAGATCCCTTTTGAAAGCCAATATGGATTTTGCCTCTACCACGACCCCCAGCAGGGCATTCCCTATCCTAACCACTCTGCATAAAAAATATTCTAATTCCCATTTGCTGATTTGCTAACTGGAGCATATGAAAGGCGCGATACAAATGTAATCTTGTTGTTGCAGTAAATTGATGCCTTCTAAGTCACTGACTCACCGACCAGTGGAAATCATTTCTCCCTATTGACTATCAAAACCCCTAATAATTTTAAAGACTTCTATCGGGTCATCCCTCAACTTTCATTCTAACAAGAGCATTTCAGAGCATTCTGAATTTGGGCCAACTGTTCAGTCTTAATAATAATAATCCTTGCATTTGATATAGCGCTTTTCACGTCGGGAGGACGTCCCAAAGCGCTTCACAGAACACTGTAAAGTGAATTGACTGTATATTTGTGGGCGAACGCTGCAGCCAATTGCGCACAGCAATGTCCCACAAACAGTTGTAGATTGAAAATGACCAATTTATTGTTGTTTTTATTTTTTCTTAATTCAGAAGCAAGTAGTTTTCTGTACTTATTAAAAGAAAATTCAAGATGTAATGCATCAATTACAATAATTTTTAATTTCAATTATACAGGAGCCTGAGTTGATTCAGGCAACAGATGCCTTGGTTACAAAAGAAAATCTTTCAAGTGAATGGCACTGCAGAATTTATTGCAAAAATGATCTCAATTTTTTAAACCATATTAAACTATAGTTAATTACACAGAACATGAATGATAAATTTGTCTTTGTTACATATAAGGTTTTCAATTTCCTGTATTGCTATCACACATTCTTTTGATGAGACTACATCAGCTCATCAGGATTTGAAGGTGGATAAATCGACAACAAAGGACTAATATTAGACAATAGATGAGAAGCACCTTTGGCATGTTTTTAATTTGCATGTAAAGGTCATCAAAAAGAGCTGTCACACAGCAGAAAAACAAAAAGTAGACAACTTGAATTCATCTGCAACATCTAGTTAGTGGAAGAGATCAGGACTAGTCTTTTAACCTCGTATCTCCAAGTGAACTTGCAACACAAAGGTGTATTTCAAGTAAATTAAAATAGTGGCCACTTATTTAACATTGGAAGCAGATGCTACACTCAAGACCAAGGTTTTAATTCCAACACTGGCTGACTTTTGTACTTCAGTTACAATATAATAATAATAATAATCCTTGCATTTGATATAGCGCTTTTCACGTCGGGAGGACGTCCCAAAGCGCTTCACAGAATAGACTGTAAAGTGAATTGACTGTATATTTGTGGGCGAACGCGGCAGCCAATTGCGCACAGCAATGTCCCACAAACAGTCGTAGATTGAAAATGACCAATTTATTATTGTTTTATTTTGGAGGGATTATTATTACCCAAACTGTCACATGTATCAATGCTGTTGGGCTTTGTATGAAGCAGAGACTGGATGCTGGTATTTGGGAAGAAAGGAAATCAAATAGCCAATGAGCCATGATGAAGTAATAGATGGATGGAAATATCCTTTTTTTGGTCAGCCGGGTGCCCGACACGTGCCAAAACCCATCACCATTCTTAAGAGTATCCCAACCGAACTGAGAATTCCACGCAGCCCCCCATACACATGGAAATCCCAGAGATAGATTATCGGAATGAAATGCGCACTCTCTCCCTGGAGGGATGCATCCTGTGAACCTAATTCCAGAAAGTTCTAGGTGCAGGTTGGCAAGAGCCAAGGCTTGGGGACCCCAGAGTGTGCGTTGGGGGTAACTGCTGGAGTCTAACCAGCTAAAACTTCACAGCTTGCTATTGATATCACCATCTGGCAAACTTTCCCACTGCTCGTCCAGCTTGGGACCACCCCTTCAGGACAGTTTGGTGAAGAAATATCTTCAGCCACCCGAGGGCTTTGGAGTGCCCAGCCTGGAGCGCTCTTATGAATATTATGAAAATGAAATGCTGGATTTTTTAAAAAAACTTAAAAAGGTGTACCAATATTGCACGTTGTGAAACCTTCTTGCTCAATTAAAGATAAAACATTTATATCTTTCAATCAGTTGTCCAGCTTACACTTGAGTTAATTCATGTGTGCATGCACGTGTATTGCTTTAAAAAAAACACTTCTCTAAACATATTCTGTGTGCGAGCTGAAAGTTATTTATGCAAGCGATAGCCTTGAGTGCTACAGCTGTATATAGTTCACTGTGTTCCATTTGGTAAGCTCATGATCTTTGCCAAGTTATCAGGGAAGGCACCAAATGGAAACAGGCACTTTCCTATCGGCATGGACGAAAAACAGGAAGCAGCCACCATTGGAGAATTATTGGCTATATCTCTGCAACCAGTTATAAAGTGCCTTTAATGATGTACTGAGAACCAGCAAGTCCCTCTTTTATCAGGAATGGTGTGAAGGGAAGGAAGACTCTCAAGAAAGATTTTTTTGAAAAACTCCTAACTGTAAAATAAATTCTCAAAAAAAACCTCTGCAATTAGAAAAATAAATGCTTAATTACCACAGGTAAATTTGAATGGCATGCACGCGCTCTTAAACTGCTTAATGATGTGCCTGCAAATCAGGCCTTTCAGAGTAAATCCTTTGAATCCTAGATTTTGTATGAAAAAAAANCAAGAGTTGGTAAATAAATGGGTGCAGATCAGCACCACTACCCTGTCATTTGACAAACTCAATATATTTAAATACATTACACTTTTATATAAAAAAACTTTTTTTATATAATACAGTGGTACAATATATACAGAGGTAAAAAAAAGTAAAAAAAAGCACTGAATTACCAACAGGTTTGTAAAAAACTCATTATAAGAAGGCCTGGTTTTCGAAAGACATGAAGCACTATAACAATGTTAATGCAACGATAGCCAACGCTGGTTCTCTTTAAGTGCTTCCAATGCATACTCACGCCTCTTTAAATGCACTATTTTTTTTCCATTGTAAGATCCAGATTTGTCAACAAATAGCCATATAATTGATGCCAGTTTAATGTCATTTCCATGCTTGTTTTCACCGGTGTCCACCATATTTGGAAGACCAGTCGATTCGCCCATGTACAGCCTGGACCGGGGGTGGCCGCGGCAATAAGCCACTGCTGTTCTTGGATGAAGAATTGTATGAAGGACCTCCCAGCTGTGATCGGTTGGATTTCCAGGATGCATAGTCTGCAGAAAAGATGAATGCATACTTGGTTTTGTTACTTTCAAATCCATTTATACATAAATGTATAAGATGGAATACCTGCCCTTTCACCTCCTCCCAGACCACTATCCAAAGCCTCAAACACAGCTTCCATGTAAGACAGCGGTTTACATGTACTACCAACAATGTAGTATACTGTATCCGCTGCTCACGGTGTGGTCTCCTCTATATTGGGGAGACTAAGCAAAGATTGGGTGACAGATTTGCAGAACACCTCCAATCTGTACGCAAGGTCATCCCTGATCTTCCGGTCTCCTGCCATTTCAACTCACACTCCCATTTAGTCTGACCTTTCCATCCATGGTCTCCTACGCTGTTCCAATGATCGAAAGCAAAAGCTTGAGGAACAGCATCTTATCTATCTGTTGTGAACCCTACAGCCCTCTGGCCTCAATATCGATTTCAGCCACTTCAGACTATAACAGCTCACCTTCCCCCCTCCCCCTCTTTCTGTTACCAGAAGAGTTATCTTCTGCTATCATTACAATCATCACCCCAGACACTATTTGCCTCTCTCTGGTGTGTTGCCTGTTTTGCACTATTAACACCTCTTCTCCCCAGTTTTGCTTCAACCCAACACCCCCCCCCCCACCTTTTGTTGCACAACCCCCCTTTTGTTTTACACCACTATCAGCTCTTTAGCCCATCAACTAACACATTCTCTCCTTTGTCTTCTTTTTTGTCTTCTTTGTGGTCCTTGTCCCGCCTCCCCCCCTCAATTTGTCCTTAAAAACCTCTCCCTCCCAACATGCCCCAGTTCTGATGAAGGTCATGGACCTGAAACGTTGACTCACTTTCCTTTTTCCATAGATGCTGCCTGACCTGCTGAGTGTTCCCAGCTCTCTCTGTTCTTGTTTCAGATTCCAGCATCTGCAGTATTTTGTGTTTCATACACAAATTGTGATGGTTTCAGGAATCCAACCCAGTTCCTCTCGCTTGTGAGGCAAGTGCTCTAACCACTAAGTTACAGGACTCCAAATGTAGTTCAACTGAGCAGGTCCTTTATACTTACTTGAATTGGTTTCCATAAGTGGTGCTAATTGCACTCTTTGGCCAGCAGATCCCACTTCTTTCTTCAGAAATGAGGGTGTGTATGCTCCAGAGTGATCAGGTCCAGTGGTGTGACCTGAAATACATTACAGAACTTGTAGGATGCTGTGAAAAAACTACACATATACAAAACAAAGCTCTGGGAGTTTGCTCTACAGATTAGCACTGGTCAAATCAGATACTACAATCAAAATAGGATTCTGAATTCCTGCATGCACACAGATACATCTACAACTGAATTAGAAGCTGCAAAATAAGAACATAAGAATTAGGAGCAGGAGTAGGCCATTCGGCCCCTCGAGCCTGCCCCGCCATTCGATAAGATCATGGCTGATCTTCAGACCTAACTCTAATTACCTGCCCTATCCCCATATCCCCTAATCCCTCTATTTTTAAAAAAATGTATCAGTCTCAGCCTTGAAGATGTTCAAGGACTGAGCATCTACAGCCTTCTGGGGTAGTGAATGCCATAAATTCACTACCCTCTGAGTGAAGAAATGTTTCCTCAACTCTGTTCTAAAAGGCTGACCCTTAATTTTAAGACTGTGACCCCTGGTTATAGATTCTCCTACCAGGGGAAACAGACCCTCAGTGTCTACTTTATCAGCCCTTTAAGAATCTTACATGTTTCAATAAGATCTCCCCTAATTCTTCTGTACTCTATAGAGAATACAGCCCTAGTTTATTCAGCCTTTCCTCATAGATCAGTCCCCTCATCCCAGGAACTAACCGAGTGAATCTACGCTGCACCCCCTCCAGGGCAAGTATGTCCTTTTTTAAATAAGGAGACCAAAACTGCACACAATACTCTAGGTGCGGTCTCACCAAGGCCCTATACAGTTGCAGCAAGACTTCCCTACTCTTGTACTCTAAACCTTTTGCAATGAACGCTAACATGCCGTTCGCCTTCTTAGTTGCTGCTGCACCTGCAAACTAACTTTTTGAGACTGGTGTACAAGGACACCCAAATCCCTCTGCACACTAACACTATCTAATCTCTCCCCCTCTAGAAAATAATCTGTTTTTCTATTTTTTCTACCGAGGTGAATAACTTCACACTTCCCCACATTAAATTCCATCTGCCACCTACTCGCCCACTCCCTGAGCCTATCTATATCCCGTTGCAATCTTTTTGCATCATCCTCAGAGCTTACTCTCCCACCAAGTTTAGTGTCATCCGCGAATTTAGATACGTTACATTCAATGTCCTCGTCTAGATCATTGATGTAAATTGTAAATAGCTGAGGCCCAAGCACTGATCCTTGTGGCACTCCACTAGTCACATCCTGCCAATTTGAGAATGACCCGTTTATCCCTACTCTGTTTTCTACCCGTTAGCCACTCTTCAATCCATGCTAATATGTTCCCATTAATTCCGTGGGCCTTAACCTTGTGCAATAGCCTTTTGTGTGGCTCTTTGTCAAATGCCTTTTTAAAATCTAAATAAACTACATCTACTGGTTCCCACTTATCTAACCTGCTAGATACATCTTCAAAAAACTCTAAAAGATTAGTTAAGCATGACTTCCCTGTTGTAAAGCCATGTTGACTCTGTCTAATCTTGTTATGGTCTTCCAAGAATCCCATAACATCTTTAATTAAGGACTCAAGAATTTTCCCTACCACTGATGTCAGACTAACTGGTCTATAGTTCCCCATCTTTTCTCTCCCACCCTTCTTAAATAGTGGTGTTACGTTTGCAATCTTCCAATCAATGGGAACCGTTCCAGAATCCAGAGAATTTTGGAAGATCAAAGACAAGCCATCCACTATCTCAGTAGACACCTCTTTTAAAACCCGAGGATGTAGGCCATCAGGTCCAGGAGATTTATCAGTTTTAAGAACTGACAATTTACCAAAAAACATTTCTTTACTCATATTAATTCCCCAAGTTGCTCGCTAGCATTGTCTTCTTGGTTCCCCTCTATTCTTAGTGGGTTATATCCAAATGAGAGGAAAAGGAAAGGAGAGCGAACATTTAGTCTTCACTTGGCATTCACATCCACCTTCACCAGCTACACGGTCCTGAATCGCTACCACAAACAGTAATCTGCATTGAAGCTGAAACCTTCCTCGTCTACACAGCCAGACCTAGTAAGGAAAGTACCTCCAGACTCAGTTTATTATTCATCAAGCAAAATGAAGATATGCATCTGGCAGCATGGATGGGGATTTAAGTTAATTCAATAGAAATTAGGCTTGTTTTGGATCTTAGCTGGTCCATTGCAGAGAATGGGGTTCAAGCATTCCGCCTGACCTACAAAAGCCTCCGTGAAGGGCTTTGTGACTTAAAACATGTAAAAACAACGCGTTTCAACATAAAGTACTACTGTATATCAGATGTAAGGATTAAGAACAGTGACTTCTGGTACTGACTAGCAGGCTTTCTGCTCTAAAAATGCCTGGGTTCTAGGTAATCAGATCGCCGCTGACATCACTTCCAGCCACTAGGCAGAGGAAGCACAACCGACATCATGTTGTAAAGCATATGACGTTGACGGTTCTCATGCATACGCCACAAGTGCAATGCACAGCAAGTGATGTCAACAGCTTTGAGACGTCTCGAAGACTTGATAAGGCGCTATATGAAATGCAAGGATTATTATTATTATGATCATTATAACAGTGCTTCCTGTGCATAATGCACAGCATCCAGGAAGCGACTTCAGCAGGAACTTAATAGCTGCAAGTTGGCCATTTTTTTCATGTTTTGTTGTAACATGGCATTTGAGATATTGGACCACGTTGAAAGATTGTACTTTTGGAAAATAATTGAATGCAATGTAATCGTGCGTTTCTATATATGCCATGGTCTCAGATTGTCTTTCAAAGGCAGGTTGTTTCACTTGTTTTTTTATATATATATATATATATATATATATATAGAGGGTTAATTTCCTGAAAATAAAATGTCATTGGCCACAGTATTCAATTTCAGGAAAAGAGAATGTTCTTATCACATGGAAAATCTTAACTGACAAAAATTAATAGCATTTCACCAAATATAAGAATTCTTACCAGAAAGGAACATATAGAACATAATGCAACACTAGTACCTGCACTGCTTCTGTTGTTGGGAAGAGCTCCTACAACTACTCCTGAAGGTTTACTGGGAAGACTATGATTAGACCACGGAGTATGTACACTGAAATCGTGAACTGCATTACCAAGTGAGTTGTTTCTGCCATTTATTCCTGAAAATTAATCGAAGATAAAGTATGTAAGTCTACTAAAGTATTTTATGTTTAATGATTGCATCCTCAATGCTATAAAAAAAGCCCTAAGAACAACAACAACAAAATTACATTTATAGAGCGCCTTTCACGTCAGGTGTCGGGGCCTGAGCATGGGGAGGGGTAGTGTAGGGGTGAGGGAAGGTAGAGAAGTGGGAGGGAGACCAAAGGCTCGGTCGAAGAAAAATGTCTGGAGACCGGCCTTGAAGGAGCCAAGGGAGGAAGTGAGGCGAAGGGACCGTGGGATGGAGTTCCAGAGTGTGGGGGCAGAGAGGCTGAAAGCCCGGCCACCGATGGTAGGGCGGGTCGGGTGGGAGACATGAAGCAGGCCGGAGCCCGATGAAAGGAGGGTGCGTCAGGTTGGTAGGGAGTCAGCAGGTCAGAGAGGTAGGAGGGGGCAAGGACATGGATTAGAAGCTATGCATGTTGGAAAAGGACTGGGTGTGTCAGATCAGGGGAAAAAAATATTGAATTCTTGTCAATTATGTTAACTTTAAAACCGGAATATAGATTCCGTCTCTTTGGCTTTTATTTTAAACTTTGTGAATTTTAAAATCAGATCTATTTATGGAGTCCTGTAGCTCAGTCGTTAGAGCAATCGCCTTGCAAGTGAGAGACCTGGGTGAGATTCCTGGCAGGGTGAAATGTTGGGCAAGTTTTCTTACTCCACACGTCTCTGTTTACCTGGCAGTAAGTAGGAACCTGGTTGTTAGTCGATTGGTGGATCACTTTTCCGGGGATAATAATCCCTCAAAAAAAAACAATGATAATTTGGTTGCTCAATCCATGACTATTTGTGGGACACTGCTGTGCGCAATTGGCTGCAGCGTTTTGACCACAAATATACAGTCAATTCACTTTACAGTATATTTTGTTAAGCGGTTTGATACATCTAGAAGGCATGTTGGGGCCTTTTTTTTTAATAGAGATAATTCTGCAATATTACCCTCCGAAAACAGGTCCTGTAGTTTGATTACCACATAAAATGTGGTAACAGCCTGCCAAGACTCATTCAAAAGGTATTTGCATCAAAATGATCAAGGTACCACGGCCTTCAGACAAATGCCTTAGAAAGAGCCAGCGACAGGGATATGGGAAAAGGGAATGTAAATGGAAATAAAAGATGGTTCTTGAGGGAGCTGGGAAAGACACAAGGGGCTGATTGTACTTCTGTGCTGTTTTTTTATGGTTCTATGAGGGCAATGAGCACTTAAACACAGAAGTGAAAGGAAAAAAGAATTACACACCTTCAGGTGAGAAATAAAGGAGGAAAACTGGCAGATTTAAAAAATATTGAACAGGGATTACTGAACTGATGTACGTGGTGAGCAAATATGCGTGCAAATATTAACAGTAGCCTACATCAGTCAATGAGAGCTACAATATTGCATAGATTATTAATTTGCCTCTTCCCTCTTACTCAGAGGTCTCAATCTACCAAATTATTTTAAATTCCTCAATTGACAGAATTTCTGCATTTACAAACCTGGTAGATATCGGGATTGTTTTAAGTACTGATGTTTGGCTGAAGAAGCTCTTGATGTATTTGAATCCGGTCGAGGCATTACATTGGTTGCAGGTCCACTATTGCAGTTTCCTTTAGTATTTGAAGGAGGGAAGTCTAAAAGGCTTCCTACTCTGTAATAAAGGTGAAATAAATGATTTGCTCTTTAAAAAACAAAAAAATTCCTCAGAATGTGTAACAATGCTGCCTCTTACTTAAACAGTGATTCTTGACTGTGCCTTTTATCAGTTCTCATATTTGCGTTTTTGGTTAATGAATGACTGAAATCAAAATCTCCACAATCCGCCCAGTTGTTCACATCTTTCAGAACCGCATGATTCCATCGTCGAGAATTTCCTTTCGGCTTGGTGCTCGGGCACAGACTGTTCTCTGTTCTCGTCGCTTTCTGTTAATGCAAGTAATTCAGAAAGAACAAGTTAACCATTATTATTTAACAAACAAACATGTCATACTGAAGTATTTATTTTGGTCAGCTGGGTATCTGACATATGTGGAAACCCACCAGCACTTGTAATAAGAGCATCCAAACTAGACTGAGTGTTCCATGCATGCACACCTAAACATGGAATTTCCTGTGTTTGGGACAGAATGTGTACTCTCTCTCTGGAGAGACACACCATGTTTACCAAAATACAGAGAGTATTAGGCACAGATTGGTGAGAGCTGCTGTGTTTGTCTACAGATATGTAGTCACTACATTCTACAGTATATCCTGTGAAGCACTTTGTGATATTTCAATGACATAAGGCACAACTGAGAGGATTAATAATAATTCTTGCATTTGATATAGCGCCTGATCAAGTCACCGAGACGTCTCAAAGCTCTTCACAGGAATATACTGTGAAGTGTGTATTTTGCACAAACAGCCATAGAGCGAATGACCAATTTAATTTGGGTAATTTATTGGCTATGACACTGGGAGAAACTCCTTTCTCTTTTAGAATAGTGCCATGGGATCTTTGACATCCACCTGAACAGGCAGATGAGACCTTGGTTTTTAAGATCTCATCTGAAGGACGGCACCTCTGACAGTACAACACATCCCCAGCACTGCATTGGAGTGTCAGGTTAGATGATGCGATTCCAAGTCCAGATGTAGGAACTTGAACTTTCTGTCTCAGAGGCGAGAGCCCTACCATTGAGTCAGGCTGAGTATTAACAGACTTGTTACTAATTGTACAAATTAGATAAGGAAAAGAGAGCCAATAGATTACAACATTGTTATTCTTACACTATAAAAATTCTTACTTGACACAATTTAACATTTATTGTAGGAAGCAAATTTTGATGGAGTTTCTCTTGTTCACTTCTGTTAAGTGCATCAGGTAGCAGATTTGTTTTCTGCAAACACATGGGGTGCTGGGGGGGTTGCATTTGTTGTAATGATCTTGCTGTTGGATGCAGATAATGTAGAGGTGGGGGATGAGCTGGAGGTATTGGTTTCATCTGATGAGCTGAGTGTTTTAACTGCATGTCTCTCTGCTGCTTTCCCTATTCCACTTGCTGAGGTGTTCCCAGAGCCTGCCCGACATGGAAGTAGGGATACCTCAGGACCTACAACAAAATGGATAACTTTTCATATAGCAACAAGATACAATTAAAAATCATATGTTGAGAAACTCAATTCATGAATTCCATCACACAGAACAAGATTCCCAGCATTATCCCTGGTCTGCACAGAAGTAGCTGATCTCAGCCAAGACACAATACAAAATTACATTTGTATAGCGCCTTTCATGTCGGGGGGATGTCCCAAGGCGCTGATAGCAAAGAAGATAGCAGAGAAGGATGCTGCAATTATTAACCGTTCATTCCCGCTACATTTTTTATACTGGAATTGAGGCTTGACAGTGATAACAATAATCCTTGCATCTGATATAGAGCCTTATCACATCTTCTAGATGCCGCAAAGCGCTTCCCAGAATATAATGTAAAGTGAGTTGACTGTATGTTTTGTGGGTGAAAGCTCCTATGGTCTTATGCCAAGTGACAACCACAAGCCAATTGATATCCGCAGGCCACTTTTGAACACATCTGACCTGCCTCTTCCTGGGCAACTACAGTAGAACCCAATTAGAAAGTGCTTCATATGGGAGTGTTGATCAACATCTACTTACCCATAAAATCCAAAAAATGCACAACAGATGCAATGGAGTTTCAAAATGGCCAACTTCCAGATAATCGGATCACTAATGCCACTTCCTGCCCTGTAAGTATTTCCCTGTGCAGTGTACTCCCAAACTTCCACAGAAGTCACTGCTTATACCACCCCTCTGAATCATTAAATAAGTAACTTAATCTGCATACAACTACTGAAGATTTCAGAATCTACTTTTCCTTCCTCCCCCATATGCGCCACTCACACCGGAGCTTTAAATATCCCTTTAATATTTAACTTCAAGACAGAAAAAAGCTTATGAATAGTAAATCTCATTCGTAATAGAGAAGTTTGTTTATTTTTACAAGAATTCAGGAACTACTTTTGACATATTAGAATATGACCAAGGTCAAGTTGCTCTGCAGCACTTAAAACAAATATTAAACACTATATTCTACTGCTGCTAGAATACATAAAAGACAACTTATTTTTGAGGGTACTGGTAATTGTTTGGCTCAGCTGGATATTAGTGATAGGAAATTAATTTCCACATTTGTCATTAAGTATCAAAGTAAATTCTACTGGAACAGCAGGTAAGATAACAATATGCAAGGACATTCTCCTCTGCTCAACTATGTGCCTTATCATAGATAATAATCCTTGCACTTGATGTAGCGCCTTGTCACGTTGTTGGGATGTCTCAAAGTGCTTCACATATTGTAGAAGATCACCTGGCTTGCTGTTGGACGTTTCTTTGGATCCCACTGAAGCATATCTCTCATGAGGTGAATAGCTTCGCCACTTGCATTGGGAATTAATGTCTTCAGGTTATTTGGGACACACTGTGGCCAGCGAAAGTTCATGGCTGCTGAGAGTTGATAGCCTTCTGGCCAATCGTTCTAAAGAAATGTCAATGAAATGTCAGTTATCTAATTTAAGCAAAGTTAGGCTATTTCTTAAACATAGGAATAGGAGTGGGTCATTCAGCCCTCAAGCCTGTTATGCCCATTCAATTAGATCATGGCTGATCTGTACCTCATCTCCAATTACCCTCCTTGGCCCCATTATGCTTGAACATAAACAATGTAGCAGCAACATTTTGTTAATTACAGCAATTCATATTTATTATAATGCCTTACTTGGCAGGGGTCATCCCAAAGTGCTTCACACAGCTGACTGGGAGCCTGAGCTGGGGTCTGGGTATCTGAAGGGGAGGTGGGGAAGAAAGGTGACTGAAAGCACATAGAAAAGATTGGTATGAAGGCAGGCTTTCCAGTGTGTGGAGGAAGGGAGTGAGGCACAACTGTAATTCTCAGGAAAATCTAGCAGCAATTTAATCTACTGAATGTCCAGTAAATTTTGATAGCATTTAGTTACCTTTTTAGGTGTGCCTAATACTTGGCAAATTTTAAAAATCTCATCCACTTCACTTGACCCAGGAAACAATGGTCTTAATGTGTAGAGTTCAGCCATAATGCAACCAACAGCCCACAAGTCGATAGGAGAACTGTAATTTGTTGATCGCAAGAGAACCTCAGGGGCACGATACCTACATCAAAACCGGGGAAAAAACATGGTTTAAGCAATTTCTTCAGGATGCTGCTCAAGCCAAAATACAATCTGTTTAAAATGCCCCCTCTAATCTAGCATGGTTTCACTTATAGCGCTGGTGTTCTTCTGACCCAGAACTCGGCTTCCGGACCCAACTAACTGGCTTTCCACAATAAAAACACTGCACTTCTGGATCAGATCACTACTGACATTACTTCCTATGTGTTAGGTACTATGCATAGGAAATGCCACAAACACTTCTTACGTACATGAAGTGCTGTCAATGACCTGGAAGTCAGACCTTCTTTTGTGCTTTGCTTAGAACATGGCCACTAAGATATTGGATGCTGACAGTCAAATTGTTTTGTGTGTGTTGGGGTACTGCTGGAGCCTAACCAGCTAAAACCACATACCTCGCCGTTGAAAGCACTGCCTGCCAAGCTTTCCCACTGCTTGTCCAGCTAGGACCACCCTACCCAATAGGGCTTTGGCTTGCAGGCTTAACAGGATCTGAGTGGAAAACGTCCCTGCCCCAGTGACAGGTCTGCCCTTCCAAGTCCTGCCAATGAGCCAGGCTGGCTGGGCCGCAGACTGCCTGGCTCAGGAACTGGAATGCTGAGACTGCAACCGAAGGTGGGCTCAATTCTGACATTCCTTTGTCAGTTCAACAAAGCCCGACTTTATGTTCACGTCATAGCTCAGGGCCAATTGAAGCATCCCAACTGGTGCAGCGAACTCAGCAATTTATTACAACAAATTGTTCAAGCTATAGAAAACGTCAAAGTTTTCTAAAGCCTTAGTGATTATCCTCAGTCAAGCCTGCTTCTGATTTCATGTAGCACCTTCCCAATTTAAAAAAAAACGGTGAGATACCAACTAATGGCAAAGCTGACCGATTCATTTGACAACTTGGTGAAATGTTAGGAAGAGGAATAGAGTCCAAAATGTGGCCCTACTTTTTGTTCAATACCATGTTGGATAATTTGAGTGATGGTGTCTTGGCCTCTAGAAATTGGAAACACATAGTATACAACATCCTAGGAAGTATTGGTTTTTCGAACCAGAAAAGCCTTGTCCATCTGTGAAACATGGCTTTTATTCATTTCCCACTTGTACAGAAATAGTTCAGCTTCACAGCTGCCCATGACAAGCATTCAGGACTGTAGAACCACCTGCCAATTGAAAACAAGAAACAAAACTGCTAAATGTTTTGCAGCAGCATAAAAGTACATTACCATCTTGTAGAGACATAATCAGTGTAAGGCGGGCGAGATCGAATTTCACGAGCTAGGCCAAAATCAGCTATTTTTATCAGTTCTGGTCCCATACAAAGGAGGTTTTCTGGTTTCATGTCACGGTGAAAAAATCCTGAAAAATATAACTGGAATGAATATGGGAATTCAATCGTGAAATACACAGCTTCAATTTTAATACAAAATCCACACATTCCCCACCATTTTCTGCCTGTGACAAACTGAAAAACCCTGAAGTGTAAAACCATTATAGAAATAGATATGTGCAGCAGAGTAGGAAGAGGCAGACACTGACAGCGATCTACTGACCTACGAGCGCTAAAGCCAGATAGCCGTTGGAAGTGCCTCTGACATTAGCTGTTCATTTTCGCTCAGATCTCCTAACAATGCCAGCATTTCTCTCTCGCTCATAGTGCATAGCAATAGCCCTACACAAAACCATACAGCACAACCTGTATTAAAATCAGGTTGCAATCAAACCTGTTCAAGCAACCATCTCCATTCAGCACCCACCCCCTGTCAACCACAACCCTGGAACAGCACCAACAAACTCTCATTCAGACTACCTTACATAAAGGCCACTTTGGCCCAATCTCTTGAGAGGTTGTTAAAGATAGAGACAGACAAAAGAAAATTCCACTTTGCAAAAATCCCTAAGAGTCGCATACCTACAACTGCAACCAGACAGTGGTCAAATTTGGCAAGGTCATTACATTGGTGAGTCTTGGATACAATCACTGCATGTAAATTAAAAGACAGATATAGTGGTGTGATTAGTGAGTCCACAAGGTGAGATTCTAGTCTTCTTGCCAGCCTTTCACTCAAGCAGTTTTACACACTTACCATGTTTGTGTATAAAAGCCAATCCCTGAAGTATCTGGTACATGATGTTTCTAATGGAAGACTCTGGAAACATTCGGTTTCTGTGAATAAACAATGAGTTACACGTCTAACAATATCAACTCCTTTCAGCAGAAAGCATAAACAACAATAATCCTTATTCAATGCCTTGGGATGTCTTCCCGACGTGAATGGCACTTTACAAATGTAATTTTGTTGTTGTTGCATTTGATATTGTGCCTTTCACTAGAAGGATTGATAAAGTGCGCCTCCTGTAGCGTAACTTCACACGCAGAGGTGGATGCCGAGTGAGGGAGGAGGGAGGTGACCGTAAGTACAGTTAAAGAAGTAGGTTGGTAGATAGGATTTAGGGATAAAGGACGGGAGTTCCATAAGTTAGGAGCATAGTAGCTAAAAGCTCGGCCACTGATGGTGGTGTGGAATTGGGCGTACAGCAGGCCCACGTTTACAGAGTGGAGGGAATGAGAGAACGAGTGGGGTAGAAGGTCGCAGAGATCATGATCATCATAAATTTACTAATTCAAGTCCACATAAGTGATATAATATACAGACTTGACTGAAATCCTACCTGTCTTTCATCAACTGGTAAAGATTTTCCTTCATGTATTCAAAGATGAAATACAGTTGATCATTTTCTCGTACAACTTCTTTCAGCTTGACGACATTGGCGTGGCTTAATTTCTTTAGTGACTAGAAATAGAATCAAGTTGAATTAATGCTTTCGGAATAACATTATTCAGGATGAGAAAGGGCAGTTTGTGACAAGACCATACTTTTGGAAAAACAGCAAACAGATAAATAAGTCAAATAAATGCTGATTACTCCTTAATGCAACTATAAAGACTGAGGCATTTACACTGTATTATGTTGTGTCCCATGGACTTTCTGGTCACAGTCGAATTGACTGTATATTTTGTGGGCAAAACGCGACAGCTAATAGCGAGCGCACAGCAGTGTCCCACAAACAGTCGTTGATTGAGTGACCAATTTATTATTATTCTTTTGAAGGAATTATTATCCCTGGAAAAGTGATCCGTCAATTGACTAACAGCGGCATTCCTACTTACTGCTACCTAAACAGAGGCGTGTGGAGTAAGAAAACTTGCCCAACATTTCACCCTGCCAGGAATCAAACCCAAGTCATTCTTTTGTGAGGCAAGTGATCTAACCACAGAGCTACAGGACTCCACTAGATTTAAAGTTCTGCTTCATAAAGAGGTTGACATTTATAAAAGGGTTTCAGATATTTATCAGGTTTATTTTTAAATGGGAAATCAACAATACCAACTGCATGTAACCAGGAAGTGCATGTTGTGAAAACCTCAACGGTAAAAACTAGCTCTGGAACACAATATATCTAGCAGGATACTAGTAAACAAAAATCTCAAAAAGTCAGGATTCCACCGACTGCAGTTAGAGAGATGAGACTAAAAAATGGTAAATAACACATTAACATTCTTTTAAAAAAACTTTACATTATAAAAGTAATTAGTAAAATTGCAATTATTGTACTTTGCAAACACGTTTTCTCAAGAAAAAAGAAAAAAATCCCTTCTGCCACAAAATAAATAAGTAATGTGAAAAGAGATATTATAACCTTCACCTTAACTCTATTTCAAAACCGTTAACATTCACTTGATATAGCAGATTTCCTGTCAGGAGGACATCTCAAAAGCGTTTCATGGCATTTACTGTAAAGTGTAGTGAATGTGATTTTGTAGAACCTGGCAGTCAATTTGCACACAATGCCCCACAAACAGCTACAAAGCAAATGAACAATTTTATTTGGGGGATCATTAGCTAGGACACAGGGAAAAACTCCTCCTCCTTTCAGAATGGTGCCATGGAATCATTAAGGTCCATCCTAACAGGCAGAAGCAACCTCAGTTTAAGGTCTCACCTGAAAGATGGCATTCTCCGACAATACAGCGAACTCCCAGCACTGCACTGAAACGTCAGACGAGACCATAAGCTCAAAATCCTGACATGGAGCATGACCCCATAACCTTCTGCCTCAGAGATGAAGCAGAAGGCTACCAATTGAGCCAGACTAACAGAATTGCCTAAATGTGCAGTGAATGTGGTCAAAGGTACAAAGTTATAAGCAAATTTGCACTACAATGAAGAGCTTTATAAAAGGCTGCAATGCTTAGCAACTACCTATCTGAAACAAATTAAATAACAGCATAAACAAATCAGTAGTTTTTTTTAAAAAAAAGTAGTTACCTTGACTTCTCTGAGATTCATACATTCATCCCAAGAATAGAACTTTCTCTTCATTCTATTAAAAAAATAGAAATTGAATACTGAGGCCATGACTACAATGTGTATTTTTATTTTACTTTTTAAAAACACAGGTGGTGACTTGCAGCAATATGAAGTTGACCACAGTCAAACAATCCGCCATAACTTATCTATACATACACGAGAAAAACAGACACTTGGGCAAAATACCACTTGAAGTGCTGCACTTGTAGAACCATATGCCAACAAGTCAGCAATTCTGGAGGAATGGGGAAGGAAAATACAATTTCATATGGGTGTGTATAGTGGAATCTTACAACAATCTGAACTCCTATTTTTAAATGGCACACAATCTTTGTGGTACCCTCAAGTAGAGATGCCCCAGTAAACACTTCACACTGAGTTCCTCAAATACAGAACAATCATGAATCACACTCCACTCTCTGAATTTAAAGAAAGATGTGCCAGGAGGGACCACCCTAGGAAAAAGGGGAAACGTAAACCAAAGGACAAAATGAGGACTTAAGAAATATAAAATCTGAAAGAATGCTTACTTTTTAATAGCGACAAGCTCTCCTGAATCTATGCTTCTTCCCATTAGAACTGAACCATACGTTCCATCCCCAAGTTGTCTGATAGTGGTATAGCGATTCATGCCAACGCAGAGACTCCACAATTCCAACAGACTTTATGTATTTGAGATTCCTCCCTTAATTGCAAGAAGTTCACCCAGAATCTTCTCTGACTCCAATCATATATCACGAATCCATTCGCATCCAGGTCTAGAGCTGTTCCGACAGGCATATTTTGGAGATGCTCTAATTACCTGTGGATGAATAAAATTGGTTTTAAAATACAGAAATGAGATTTAGATTTTTTTAAAAGCACCAAACAGCTTTTCTGTGAAATAACTGTACATATGACGATTGCTGAAAATAAAAATCACTATAAATCACTATAAAAATTCCTATTTAGTTATAATAGACTTTTCTTAAGAGTATGAAAATAGGCAAACTTTGGCACATAATTTCAATTACTTCTTCTCAGACAAATCCGGGGATGTTTCATTTACTTTATGCCTCTGCCGCTGACAGGAAAAGTATTAATGCAAATGATACAATGCTATTGCCTTCAGAGGCAAAGAAAACCACATCAAATTGTGTTTTCTTTCCAGGGGCCTGAAATTCCACCACCTTCATCTTAAAATTTTACAATGTACAGAATCGTGGAATATTCCTTTAAAAAAGTGCCTAAGACATGATGTTTTCCTCCTGTTGTCTCTGGCAATGCCCACACAACTATTTTCCTATGGTCATGCGTGAGCTAAACTCTCAGCTGCCTCATACAAGCGAGAGACGCAATTTTCACATTCTTGGCCTCTATGGAACTTCAAAGATTTCCAAATGGCCACAGACAGAAAACAAGGGTGCAATTTTCAACTTCCAAACACATATCTGTTTTCAGTGCTGCCAAATCCACCCCAATATGTAAACAGAGCAAATGCCAACAGAAACCTCTGTGCGGGAAAATGCCACACAAACCAGTGAGAGTAAATTCCACAGAGACCTCAGTTCAGGGCGTTGCTTCAAGTTTAAAGTGTTCTGCAATACTCTCATAATATAAAAACCATAATGCGCACATGCACAAATTTGAGCTGCCCCCGGTCAGTCTGAAATCTTTCCATCCTGAAATCTCAACAACAGACTGAATACGACACGGGTATCCGAAGTAACTCCTCCATACGGGTACCGTGGCTGGAATGTAATACGCAATAAATAACGTACACGTTGCTTGGTTAATTGCTGCACAAAGTAATTACTATAGGCTCTCATCTTCCTGCCTGCATACAAATATTGAGGTTGTGGATCTGACTTGACTAAGAACTATGAAAGTGACTTTTTAAACATGCAAATATGTTATTTATAGCAATTAAACTTTTTCGGTCCCTCCCTACTTTAAGAAAAACATGCATGGATCATGAAATCATAGAAATAATAGCAAAGAAGGAAGTAATTCGGCTATCAAGCCCAAAATGGTGCTAATTCATCGACTGGAGCTACTACAATAATCCCAATTCCCTCTTTCACCATAGCCTTTGTGCCCAGAAACAAAAGCAAGTTACCATGGACTGTGACTGATCTCTGACCCTAACCTTTTCAGTGCGCAAATATTTGCTGCTGTTTCAAATTATTTCTGTCTTCCATTCTCTTCCTCCGCAAACACTTCTACCATTTCTTCTTTCTACCCTTTGTTTTTGCCTGGCTTGGTAGATTAATCCAATCACTTATCACTCTTCGGGTAAATATTCTTCTCAGATTTCTATTCAAAAGTTCTCCTTCCAGTTATCCTGATTTATATTTCCTCCTCAATCAAATTTACCACAAAAAAACCAATTAATTGACTACTCTGCTCAGAGGGCTCCGGCCTGCTTCTTCATATCCTCCGCCTTCAGCTACCCCGCCCCATCCTCTGGAACTCCATCTTGCAGTCCCTCCGCCTCGCCCCTTCCCTCCTTCAACATCTGCCTCAAGACCGTCCTCTTCGACCATGCCTTCGATCACCCTACTCCCCCCTCCACTCGCCGCAGCTTGGGTCCGAAACACTGATTATCCAACGGGACATCCTCTTGACGTGAAAGGCGCTATACAAATGTAATTTTGCTGTTGTTGGACTCTTGCTTCTAAATCAGAATTGCTTTTATGGATCAAGCCCTACACTAGGACTTTGAGCTCATAGACTATGCTGTCACTCCAGTACAGTGATGGAGCACTGCGTTCCATAAGACATTAAACCAACAGCCTGTTGAAGTGGATATTAAAAATCCCATAGCACAATTAAAAAAAAGGGAATTTCGCCCCAAGTCTGGCCAACAATTCTCCAGATAAGTGTTCATTCACATCTTGGTTAATTGTGGGTCATTGCTGTGAACACATTGTCTTCCACTTATGCCTATAACTAGTCCCTACATTTCACAGTAAAATCCCTTGAAGCATTTTGAGATGTTTTGAATACATGTTAAAACACTACTAAATGCAAGGATTATTACTAATCTCATTGTTTGTAGGATATTACTGGCACACGTTAGATGCCATAGTCGCCTAAATAACATTCAACTAATATTTAAACACTTATTCTTTAAGACACATTGAGGGATTTATTTTCCATGAATGGTGTCAGAAAAATGTACGTCATTAAGGATTGAAACATTCCATTCATAAAGATTGAGGTTATGTTTGACTATTTGCAGTGGTTCTTTTAACGTTGCACTAAAAATTAGATGGTTTTGCTATCTTCATTATTTAGATTTTTTTAAAAAAAGAGTAGTTTCCTATGATGCAAGCCTACCGATGGATTAATTATGCAAATCATGCTAAAGGTGACCTCCTTTTTTAAAAAACTTAACAGCACCACATAATTTTACTAATCCTCTTTACAACTGTCTGTTGTCATTTTCAATCAATGTAAATAACAGCTTTGATCAGGGTGCTAAGGCAGGCCTGGCGACAGCGAATCTAAATCCAGGCTGCACCTTTTCTATTGATTTGATATGGTTTGATAATGGGGTACCCAAAACTCTACCAGGCATTCAGTGACTTGGTGAGATTTTTGAACAGCAAGTCCAACAATTTATATTTAAAAAATAATGCTTGGTTCAGGGAGGTACAAACCTTACACTGGCACACACCCCAGTACAGCACTGGGATAGTGCTGCCCACTGGTGATTGACTGTATATTTGTGGGCGAACGCGGCAGCCAATTGCGCACAGCAGTGTCCACAATAGTCTTTGTGTGGAGTAAGGAAACTCCAAGGTTCCTGGAAGAACTCAGGTCTCTCACTTGCAAAGCGAGTGCTCTAACCACTGAGCTACAGGACTCCACAACAGCCATGTTGGATGTGCCAACAATAGTTTTGCGCTCATCGAAACTTTGGGTTCAGTCTTGTGCCTTCTTTTAGCCTTCTTTTAGGATTTTAAAACAAGGTACCAGCTTCCTGTTCAGTAGATGTTGAAGATCCCATGGTATTATTTGAAAATAGAAGGGAAATTATTCTTGACATTTTGGCCAACAATCCCCAGGATAAAATTGGTCAATCAACAACAACAACTTGGATTTATATAGCGCTCTCCAAGCCAGGCGGCGTCTCAGAGCGCTTTACAGTAATGGATCCCGGGGCCGAGCCAGGGGGAGAGGTGGGAAGGTGACCAAAGGTGCGGCCGAAAAGAAAGATCTTCAGCAGAGACCTGAAAATGGGAAGAGAGAAAGCGAGGCGAAGGGAGTGAGGAAGGCAGTTCCAGAGCCTCGGGGCGTAGTGGCTGAAGGCACGGCCGCCGAGGGTGGAGCGGAGGAGTCGGGGGACGAGGAGGAGGCCAGACCCGGAGGAACGAAGGCAACGGGTACTGTGCTGAGGAAAGAGGAGGTCAGAGAGGTGGGGGGGGGCAGAGGAGTGCAGGGACTTGAATACAAGGGTGAGGATCTTGAAATCAATCCTCTCTGGGACAGGCAGCCAGTGCAGTCTGACAAGGACCGGGGTGATCGGGGAGCGGAGTTTGGTGCAGATGAGAATGCGGGCGGCAGATTTCTGAATGAGTTAGATTTTACGGATGGTAGTGGATGGGAGACCGGCGAGGAGGGCGTTAGAGTAGTCCAGCCGAGAGGTGACAAAGGCATGGACCAGGGTTTCAGCAGCTTTTGGGGAGAGATATTGGCAGCAATCATAAAGGTTGCTTGTGGGACATTGCTATGTGCAAACTGGCTGCCGTGTAAACCTACAAATATAGTCACTACACTTATCAGTAATCAATTAAATGCATAAAATCATAACACAGCTACGTAATACTTCTTATATCGAGTGCAAATGTAGATTCTTAAACTTTGGAGATGTTAGCTTCAAGTTATTTTAACAAAAATGAATTTACAGCTGTATATGTAAAAAGTTAAACCAAATTAGAAATAAACAATTGGTATAATCTGTCAGAGACCAATGAAACTGCTGTTAATTTTTCAACATTTGTTTTTATTACAGATCGCCAGGTTTTGTAGACTGCTTACATTTTTAGTTAAACAAGAATTCAAGCAACAGCAACAACAGCCTGAGTTTATATAGCACCCTTCACGTGAGTAGTACTTAATGCCAATAATAATTCTTACATTTAATAATAATGTTCAACTACTAGCTAAAATATGCAAATATTTAACAAGAAACTATCCTATAAGCTTTTTATGGTTTGTGGGCCAGATGTACAAAAATATCCACCAACAGCTGGTAAACCGCCTTTAGATCCGTTTATAAGATTACATGATAATATTCTCTGATTAGAATGAAAATGAAATAGTACTGAAACTGGTGAAATGGTTTGTTTAAAGCTATTAAACAACTGTGCGACACACTTTGCGTCAGATCTCAACTACTTTCATTGTGGTACAACAAATTTGGTAACATAAAAAATAAAGGAGAGCTCTAAATGCCAATCATTTCAGAAATTATCACATCAGGTGACAAAATACATTGCTAATATAAAACAATGGAAAAGATGCAGCATAGATTCATAAGGATGCCATCAGCCTTATTCTAGAATTGATAAGCAAAGAATCAAGTTTTCCACTGGCACGCGGCCATAGAAGCAGTCATTTAGCAATTATACAGCTGTTGCATATAAAACCTTTTCATTAAATTTCTGCAGTAAACTACTCTAATCACATATTTCCCACAAAATACACTTTCCAGTACACCCTGTGAAGAACTTTGAGACGTCTCAACGACGTAATATATCAAATGCAAGGAATATCATCACCTAATAATAATAATTATTATTTATGTTAACCCTGGAAATGAGATAGATTTGATATGCTAACTATGTAGGATTTTCATTTCATTAAGCAACTTTATGTCTGTTCTTTAACAGTATAGTATACAATGTAGTATATTTTGACAAGATAGGAAATATTTTTAGATGTAGTTACAAATTCTCACTTGTTACATTGCCCCTATTGGGATCAGAGGAGATTTTTGTTTATTTTTGATAGGCCCAATATTCACAACATGCATCCAAAACAAATCTTTTTGATTTGTGATTTTCCTAGCACGACTTCTGGTAGTAATCTTTTTTAATTTTCCCTGCTTTTTTTCCATTTTCACCCCTCCTGTCACCAAGGAAGAAATTTAGCCAGGATTACGGTTTGCATTGTAAGTGTCAGCTCTCTGGTACTTTGACCCAAACCCCGATCTTCATGAAGGATAATCTTAGACAAAACAGCATTAAAAACTTTTGTTTAACAAAGTTTAGCAATATCGTACAGCAAATCAATGCAATGCTGTAAAAACAATAATTAATACATCATAGCAACCCAATCCACCTACTTACTTTATGGAATTAGTGCTCTGGAAATTAGAAATGGATGAGTACTCGAAGGTCTCCTTTGCTATAGCACAAACAAACTAGAACATTTTCTACAAATATGAATAATAATGGTAGTGCTGATGGCATGGAAATTTACCACTACCCACAAAAATATTTACTCATCGTGCCAAAATATACCCTTAGAAACAGTAGTCATTGAGTGTGTGTAGGTTGAGATTCCATCCACTCACTGAAAACTGAAATGAATACTATCTTGTGCCCAATTATAATATATAATACACAGAAAATATATAAAGAAATGCAAATTAACCTTGAAGACTAACCTAGTGCAGTGTCATAAAATACTGTGCAACCATTAATGACACTATCCTCATTAAATTATGAATTTAACTATGTACTCTAAAATTATTTCCATGTTGTTCAACTTGTTTTGTTTATTATGCAAATGGCGATGCCAGTATAAGCAGCCTAAATCTGTCTGTTCAAAATACTCTAGCTTCATGTGGAAAATTACCTGCTAATGTTTAGAGGATCCATGGCATACCTCAGTTACTAGACTGCTCCACAGTGTAACTATTTAGTTTATTGTAGGTGGGAGCTTTTGATCAGACTGGGAACTACTCCAGGAAAGCATGGTACGCAGCTGGGCATCTCTGAACCCTCGGGGCTGAACCAAAGTTAATAATAATCCTTGCATTTGTTTTAGCACCTTATGTTGTTGAGACATCTCAAAGTGCTTCACAGGATATTCTGCAAAGTGGTTTACTGTGTGTATTTTGCGTGCAAATGCGGTGGTCAATAATGCACACAGCAAAGTTCTGCAAACAGCTGTGAAATGAATAACCAGTTTTATCTGGGGATTGTTGGCCACGTTACTGGGGGAAAATTCCTTTTGCTTTTTGAATAGTTCCATGGGATCTCTAACGTCCATCTTAGCCAGCCTGCCAATTTCCTGTTGAAAAGTAAACTAAGTCACTCTGGGACATTCAACAATCCTGCTCCCTGTTGGTGAGGTCACTTGAGTAAGATAGCAGTTGAAGGAGTTGACAGATGTAATTCTCAAAATGTGAGGATTTTTAAATTTAAGGTTGAAAAATCAGAACGACCAGTTAAGCAGAATCCCCAGAATTTGCAACTTTTGAGTAACCACATACACAATGTCAAAAACGTGCCTTTATATAGCATCCTTCACACGGGTAGCGTCTCGGAGCACGTAACAGTCAAGGAGCCAGTGGATCCCGGCAAGAACTGTGATGATGAATGTGGAGCCTGTTATGGGTGAGGGCACAAGTGGGAGAGTTTTGAATTTTACCCCATGTCAGCAGATGATATCGCCAACAAGGAGCATGTAAATGAGAAAAAGGAGGCGACCAGGAATATAGCCTTGGGCAGTTAGGGATGCACAGAAAGTTTGGTTTAGATATGGGTTTCCACATGTCGGACACCCGGCAGACCAAAGACAATTACGGGGCAGTTTTGAGATGGACCGGGAGTTAGCAAAGTTTGATGGATCAAAGGTGCGTTTTTTGAGAAGATCAGTAATGTCAGCAGTTTCGAAGAGGAACAACAACAACTTGGATTTATAAAGTGCCCTCCACGCCGGACGGCGTCTCAGGAAGTGGGATGGTACTGGCAGAGAGGAACAGGTTGATTATGTCCACTGGTAGGGGGGTGGGGAAGACTATTGTTGCAGATTATCTGTACAATATCAGATCTAGATGTTAGGGGACTGCTGAATTAAAAGCATCTAATAGATATTAAAACAATGTTCAAATTTATTTGCAGATCTGTTGTTGTTGAAAGCGTGGTTAAAGAAGTAGGTCTCGAGTCCGAGCTGAATGAGGTGAGGCAGCGATTTGGAGGGACTCCAGGTTGGAATTCCAGAGAGCAAGGGCAGATAATGTTTGCTGACAATGTCACCACACTGAACAATAAACTTGTGAAACACGTGGAGTCTGTGACTTGATAAAGTGCTATAAAATGGCAAGTTCTTCTTTCATTCAACAACAAATTACATTTTGACTTGCAACGGTGTCAGCCAGAACAATTGTTCTCACAATTTTCCAATTAGACATCAGATTTTCACTCAAAAGTGATTAGATCAATATACATAGGAACACATACAACCTGAAACCATCACTGCACTCCAATCATTTAAGAAATAAGAAATAGGAGCAGGAGTAGGCCAATCCATTTAATAAGATCATGGCTGATCTTCTAACCTAATTCCATTTACCTGCCTTATCCCCATAACCCTTAATCCCTTTAGTTTTTAAAAATCTATTGATCTCAGTCTTGAATGTGTTCAATGACTGAGCATCCATAGACTTTGGGGGTAGAGAATTCCATAAATGCACTACTCTCTGAGTGAAGAAATGTTTTCTCAACTCAGTTCTAGAGCCTTGGCTGATTACAAAGTTAAAAATAATAAGCCTTGCATTTGAAAAAGCACCTGATCACATTGTTGAAACATCTCAAAGCACTTCACAGGATTCACTGTAAAGTGTAGTAACTGTATTGGGAGGCAAGGATGGCAGCCAATTTGCACACAGCAATGTTCCAGAGCTATGAAGTGAATAACTAATCCTATCTGGAGGAACGATGGCCAGGACACCAGGAGAAACTCCCTCCTTTTGAAATAGTCCATGGGATCTTTAACGTTCAGTTGACAGGACCATCCAAATGCTCCACTTCCTACACCCCAGCCCTACCCAGCATTGCAATGGAGTGTCAGCTTAAACTGCAAGCTCAAAGTCACTGTAAATAACAATTATAAATCGGATTCAAAGGATTTGCACGGACATATCCATTTAGAATTGAAAGTATTTTTAACTACACTTCACAGAAAATCCTGTGAAGCCCTTTGAGATTTCTCAAGGAGATACATACGTCCTAAACTGCAAATTGCAAAACCCAATCGCTTTTCCTGACTCCCTTTTAAAGTCTCCACAACCACAAGTTTGTAATTTATTGTTTTGTATGTAAATTGGATTGTCAATAACAGTCTGTTTTACCTCAAACCTCTTTTTTTTTACCCCCAAACAAAACTGGTCACTCACTTCACGACTGTTAGGGGAAACACTGTGAAGTGAATTGACTGTATATTTGGTGGGCAAAACACAGCAGCCAACTGTGCACAGCAGCGTCCCACAAACAAGTCATGGATTGAGTGACCAAATTATTATTAGATACAGCAATTCAAAAGGCAATTCGACAGGAGCAAAACTAAATTGGTTATTTTATTTATTTCTACCAGGTGTGGGCAACCACTGGGTTTAACCTCCATATATGTATATACACACACACACACACAGACAGTCACAGACAGAGGGGGTGTGGATGGATGTGAACTAATCGCCAAGCAATGTGAACAACAAAAGAAGTTGAACAGCACACAGACCACAGCCACACACACACTCATCCACACACACACACACAGCCACACACTCATACACACACACACACACTCATCCACACACACACACTCATCCACACACACACACTCATCCACACACACACACACAGCCTCACACACACACACACACACAGCCACACACTCATCCACACACACACACACAGCCACACACTCATACACACACACACACACACACAGCCACACACACTCATCCACACACACTCATCCACACACACACACACTCATCCACACACACACACTCATACTCATCCACACACTCATCCACACACAGCCTCACACACACACACACTCATCCACACACACACACAGCCTCACACACACACAGACACAGCCTCTCACCCCTCCCTCCGCTCTCCTCTCCTCTCCTCGAACAGGACAAGAAAACCTCGGTTACTGATTCGCACCCGACCCCCACCCACCCACGAGTTAACCCGCTTCTCCGAACTCGCCACTCACTCGCCGAGGTCCCCTCCCCTCGCTGCTGCTGCTGCTGCTTCTCCTCCTTCTCCTCCTCCTCCCCGGCCGAACATGGCGGCGGCTCCGGCCGCCCGGAGCAGATGGAGTGACAAAACCGTGTGAGCCGTCCCCGCGCCCCCTCCGTCCCTCCCTCACCCCCTCCCCCTCCCACCTTCGAGAAGCCCAACTCCCTCCTCGGGGCGGTCTGCACATGCGCGCATGAGCCTCCCTCGTGCTCCATTTCTTTCTCCCCCCCCCCACCTCGCGGGCTGTGCTGTGCTGTACTTGCGTGCGCGCGCGCGCGTGAGCCTGCGTGCTCGCGCACCTTTCCCGCGCGGGCTGGTGCCGTCCGTCTGATGACGTATCGTACCCGCGAGCGCCGACTCACGCGCTCTTTCTCTCTCTCACTCACTCACTCACTCAACCGCCGTCTCCCCCCCCCCCCCCCGGCGGTTCGGTTTTGAAAAACGTCAGAGGAGCGCAGCGCGCGCACACACACACACGCACGCACGCTCGGACTTTTTCCGTGTCGGTCGAGGCAGCGCGAGCAACTGCGCGTGCGTGCGTGCGGCGCGCGGGCGGGCGGGCGGGAGCAGAGCGAGCGGTGACTCAGTGCAGCGGCGCTTTTTTTTTCCCCCTCCTCCTCCTCCCCCCCCCCTTCCCCTCCTCCAGACACCGACACCGTCGTCTGGTCGCCGGGGCTTCCAGTGCTTTCGAAATGGCTGCCGTCCGGCGAGCGCGTATCTTTTTGGCTTGTGTCGTCCGCTTCTCCGACCGCGAACTGCAGTAATCTGAATTAGGAAATATATATATATATACATATTTTTTTTTGCTTCCCCCCCTTCTCTCTCTCTCTCTCCGGTGTCGTCGTCGTCGGGTGTGTTGGTCGTTTGATTTTCATGCACTTTTACTCAAATAAGAGAGCGACGATATCTCTTCGGTGCTGGAAGTCGACAGGCAGCTAAAAGCATGGTAACAGCCCGAGAGAGGAGGGGTGGGGGGGGGGTGTGGTGGTTGGGGAGGGGGCGGCGGTGTTGTTGGTTTTTTTTTTGCGGTTCTTTTGAACTATTTCTGGGGGTTCTGAGGGAGTTTGCGGGACCTGCGGTTTTTTTAAAAAAATTTCATTTATAATAATAATTAATAATAATAATTATTATTATTGTTATTATTGTTATTTCATTCAGGGCGCCACTTCCGAAACGGGGCTCACGATCCCTTCGACCATCAATAAATAATAGTGATGATGATGGTGGTGATGATGATAATGTGGTCACTCACAAACCACAAACCGCTTGTGGGACGTTGCTGTGCACGAAATATACAGTCACTACGCTTTGCAGTACATTCCCCCCCTCCCCCTCCCCCCAACGCTTTGAGACGTCTCGAAGTCGTGCTAAGGCGCGGTATCTAAATTGCAAAGATTATGTATTATGGTTCGCTTTTTCGTTCAAAGCTTCCCGGCCGCCCCCCCCCCCCTCCCCCGAACATGGTTTAACTCCCCGTCTTCAAAATCCCTTCGCCTGCGTGTGTTTGTGTGTATCGCAAGCCTCCAAATAAGATCGGAGGGCGATCTGCTATCAATCTCTTGTTTATTTTGGTGGATAATGATCCAGGTTCAAAGGGATGACGATGATTGGGGGGGGGGGGTTGGAGGAGGGAAGGGAGTAACCGATTCTGATTGATTGAAGGAAATCCACCAGGATTTTAGCTTTTCATTTCAATGGCTGTTTCGTTGGGAGATTCCTGCGGGCAGTTGCAAGGCGGTTGTTGCTTTTGCCTACGAGTTACGCGGCAGTGGCTTACACTTCACGGTGGATCCCGTGAAGCGCTTTGATCCAGCCTTGTAACGTGAGATGCGCTGTGTCAAATGCGAGGGTTGTTATTGTTATTTTATAAACTAAAAGATTAGCTCTCCAGGGAAATACAACAACAATTTGCACTTACATAGCGCCTCAGAGGGTAGTGTCCCAGAGCGCTTAATAGTGGCGGAGCCTGACTCCCAAGCCGGTGGGGGGAAGGTGCCATAAGCGAGGTTGAAGAGGACGGTTGTCAGGTGTGATTTGAAAAGGGAGAGAAGGGGCAAGGCGGAGGGATTGAGGGAAGTGTTCCAGAGTTTCAGGGCGTAGTGGCTGAAGGTGCGACCTCCGATGGTGGGGCGGAGGGTTCGAGGGATGAGCAGGAGGCCGGTGTCAGTCAAGCGGAGGCGCCGGGTGGTGGATTGGGGGGTGCGGAGGTGAGAGAGGTAGGGAGGTGCCAGAGAGTGAAGGGATTTGAACATGGGTTTGAGGGAATAATAATCCTTGCATTTGATATAGCGCTTTTCATGTCTTCTCGATGTTTCAAACACTGTAAAGTGAATTGACTGTATATTTGTGGGCGAAACGCGGCAGCCAATAGCGCAAATGCATTGTCGTAAGGGGTAGTTAAATTTGGGGGAATATGAGGATCATAAAAATAGAAATTGCTAAATCATGTGCTTGGCCTACTCCAAGAAACAGTGTGAACTACAGTAGTGCCTAAGGATATATGCTTATTTAGTAGCTCATATTGATAATTCTGCTAAAAGTTTACCAACTAACCCTCTGCTCTGCAGGCACTGGTCTGCTCCATGTTCTCCGCCCTGCCTGTCCCACCTTGTTCTCCACCGCTCTTAATTCCATCCCCAGTTGGTGTGCAAACCCTTGACTATTGTTCTTATGGGTGACGTTGTTGTGAGATATTTTGGTTGCTGTGCTGACTTAACTGGGATCAACATTTTAGAGCCTACAAGATGTATATTTTCTCCAAATGTTATCTACTTTATTTTTCTGAATTTATCCCCGAATTAAGATTTATTGGATATTCATCTTTGCTTTTTCTATAGAATGTTATTTCATTATGTAGAACACTTTGACACATTTATGTGACAGTTGCTGTATAAATGCAATCTGTTGAATTTTATTTTTAGTGTGTGGTGCAAAGGCAAAACTGTTAGGTAAATGGATCCTATTTAAGACTAATAATACCTTAGCTTGTTAGTCTTACATAAGTTACAAAACTATGCTGACATGCCTGGCTCAGTTGCTATCACTCTTTGCTCTGAGTTGTAAAGATGTAGATTCAAGCCCTATGTCTGGACTTTTAACTTCTGATCTATTGTACCACCAATACAATGCTGGGGGACAGCTGCATTGCGGAGGTGTGTCCTTTGAATGAGACATTAAACAAAGTCCTGTCTGCAAAGATCCCATGGCACTACTCAAAAAGACAAGGGAGTTTAACTCTGGTGTCCTGGGTCAAGGATTCCCTTGGTAAAGTCTTTCACTTTGTAGTTATTTATGTGGCAATGATGTGTGAAAATTGGCTAATTAATACACACATATCAAATGCAAGGGCAGTATTATTATAATTGTTGTACTTCCCAATATAGCTGGTCCTTGGCATCTGGTTTGACCCTAACCTCAACTATCCTTTCAACTCCACATCCGTGCCATGACCCGCTCTGCCTTCCCCCACCTCCGCAACATCGCCTGGCTCAGCCACTGTCTCATACCGCAGGCCGCCGAAACCCTCATACATGCATTCATTACATCGAGGTTTGACTATGCAAACTCCTTGCTTGTTGGCCTCCCCAACTCCTCCCTGCGTGGGCTGCAGGTCATTCAGAACTCTGTAGCCTGTGACCTCTCCTGTGCCAGGCTCTGTGACCCTATCACCCCCATCCTCGCCTGACTCCACTGGCTTCCCCTCAATTAGAGGATACAGTTCAAGATCCTGGTCCTCACCTTCTTCTGCGACCTAAAACCCTACCATCCTCCCCGCTTTCTCCGATTCAACCTCTGTTTAAGGCAACGAGTTCCACGATCTCACTACCCTTTGCATGAAGTAGTTCCTCCTAAATTCTTTTGAATCCCCTAGTTGCTACCATATATTTGTGACCCCTAGTTATGGGCTCCCAAACCAGGCTATTTATGTTAACCTTATTAACCCTTTTCTAATTTTAAATACTTCTATTAAAGAACTCTCTACTGAAAAAAAAGCCTTCAGCTATCCAGTTTGTCCTGATCGCAGACACCTGTCATCCTCATAAACCTACTCTCTTTCATTCATGCTATATCCTTATAGTGTGGAGAGCAGAATTGGACACAAATGTGACCCATCTAAGGTTTGATATTACTTTAACATCACCCTCAGTTTTATATTCTATCCCTCTGGATATAAAGCCCAATCCCCAATATTTTTAATATTGAACATGATATACTGTGTATGTCTGTATATTATATATAATATATATTTTAATTACCCTTGACATCCAGACATGAGTAATAATAACTTGCTTAAGTCCGGACAAATGCTGTTTCTTTGAAATAGTTGTGTTTCCTCAGTGGTTGCTGCTCGCAGGTACTTAGGTACTGCAGGTACTGTGAAATGTTGTTTGGGTATGCATTTATGACCATCATCTATCAACGTGGTAGGATTACTGCCCAGCCATTATGTTGCTGCAGTTGATGATATGCTGGGACATAGAAGAGCAGGCAGAATACCTAATTACAAGCACGCGATGTACCAGCCTCATTTTAGAGTAGATTTTTTTTGTCCTTTGCCCTTAAAGCTGCCGTTGGTTGTCCATATCACTGACACCAAATGACAGCCATGGTACAGAATAGGATACAGTAAGTACTTAGTCAGGGGAAAAATTGCAAGAAAATAATGGTTACCAACCTATTGACACAAGACTTTCAGCCCTTTAAGGGTGTGATTTAAAATATTTTGTTTCAACTTCAGTTCTCACTTGGGTATTTTGTAGATACTCTACATTCTGTTTCTCCTCTAGGTTATCTTGCATTTTCTTGTAAAGTGCAATATATTGAATTTTCAGTTTGGTTTGGCTACTCTGAAGGATGGTGATGGGTTTCTGCGTATGTCAGACATACCCAACTGACCCCCAAAAATTAGCAGGGAAATTTTAACATCTTTGATCAATGCTTATGCAATATCATAGCTTGTTTATAGGAAATCAAATACTTTTGTTTGTCAGAGAATACTCAAATACTATCCTGATTATCGCATGAGCGGTGGAGCTATTGGGAGGCTTCTTTTTAAATTTGATTCAGATGATATTGTAAACTTGTTCAAGTTTGAGTAGTTAATCTGATGTTTGAGAATTGAGGTGTGTGTTGCCCTTGGAACACTGTCTGTTATTCATTTAACAGTAAAGTTTGTGAGAATGTTGTTTTAGCCTGGCTCAGCGGTACCACTCTCGAGGATTGTCGGAGTGGCCATCCTTGGATGAGACATTAAAGCCAAGGTATCCTCTTCAGGTGGACCCAAAGGTCCCATGACACTATTTGAAAAGAGCAGGAAGTTTCTCTCTCCCAGTATCCTGGCCAACGTCCCCCTCCCCAAATAAAATTGGTCACTCACTCCATGGCTGTTTATGGGACATTGCTGAGCACAAAATGAGTGTTGCCTTTCACCCACAAAATACAGTCAATCCACTTTACAGTGTATCCTGTGAAGTGCTTTGAGATGTCTCAATGACGTAATAAGGTACTATATCAAACGCAAGGATTATTATCAATTATTCTATAGTGATATGTTTTCCTAGTATTGGGTGTGATGCTGCATAGAGCAATTTACCAGAAGCTTTAAAATTAAGTGATATCCGAATAAATCTCGCTATATGTTGTAGCATACCATGTAGTTTCAAACTGGAAACTATTACATTTCGTACTTTGCACTGTACTTTTTCAGTTTTATAAGTGACCATTGACTGAATCAACGTGTTCAGTTATTTCTTAATTTTAAATTAATATTCAAAATGAATTGTTACAGAGCACCAAAGATGTGTTATTTTTATTTCTAAAGAATATCTGTATATTCAATATGATGTATCTAGTGCTACAAAATGTGGTAAAATACACATACTACAAGAGACATTAGCTGCCTAACTAATGCATCTGGGCTGAATGGAAGTCCAGCTCTTGCGTTATAGTTTAGCTATGGGCAGGATATCCAATTTCATGGTTTGCTACAGTATTAATGGTCTGTTAAGATCTTTAGCATACAGAAATTGCTAAACATTAGTTTGTATAGGAGCAGCATGAATTTAAAATGTTTTAATGCATTATGTTTATTGCGTTCCTGTGTTGTGGACATACAACATTTTTTATTAACAGTTCAGTGAAATTTTGGTAAAGGAGCCAGGCTCTTAGTTCAGGAAAAGGTTGAAAGGATTATAAGTTGTGCACTCATGGTTAAGCGATATTAAGGTGGGCTTTTAGAAGTATGCTGAATTGTAGGATTTAAGTCATGTTATGATTAATGTAGTTAATTAATTGACTATCAGAAATAGACCTATAATTTGTTTAATTCAGTTGGCCGTTGTCTGTTTATGGAGGCCTGTAATTAAGGCTGGTTGGAGTATTTCAAGTAAAGTTGTTTTGATGCTTGTGTGAGTGCAATGTACAGTTTGAACTCTTGAAGTGTAAAAGATTGTTCAATGAGATGTGAAATGTGCCCAAAAGTCAGACATGGGTGATTAAATCCTTGGAAAAGTATTGATTTCTTGCTGTGCTGAGCAAATTACTGAATGCTGTACACTCTAAATAAAATTATTTGATAGTATTTATAGCATAGTGGATCTGGCTACTTTCTACCTCAGGGTTTTCCTGTTGTTAAAATAACATTGCTTTCTGCTTTCCCAGCTGGACCTTAAAGGGCCTCCCTGATTGACTTCTGTGCAGAAGTCAATGAGGCTGAGATCTTCAATAAATATTTGTTTGCATTCTGTGCCAGGGAATTGAAGCAGAAATATCTTATGGAGGTCGAAAAGTAAAATTCTCTGCCATAATCTATAGTAAGGCAGAATTGATTCATAAATTATTTTGAAAGAAAATTAGAGGCTTGTAAAAGAGTGCTGTTGGACAATCCAACTGGATGCATAAACTTTGAATAGCTCGTATGACATCGGAAGACAGTTGTATTGCACCATTTCTGCTAGTGACAATTTAAGGTCATTCGTGCTAAAATACAGTATGTAATTATTAACTTAGATTGTCATAATGATGTAGCAGTTTGAGGGCAAGTTTTCCTCAAGTAAGTGAGCAATAGTTTTTCTTAGAATCTACATTTCTAAGCACTTTTTTGCGAGGGAGGGGAGGAAAGTCACCTTATTCATCAAAATGTATGTGTCCACACACTAGAAACGTATTCAGTCCAGTCAGTTTGTGTCGCCAGTTTATTAGATCTTATTGGACCGGCACAGGGGTGATGGGCTAAATGCCTCCTGTCCTCCTTTGTTAGGATTCTAGGATGTGTGGGTGGGTGTGGGTGTGGCGAAGGGGGTTGGTGGTGGTGTAGAATTGAAGAGGTTGACTGATAGTTTGATCAGCCTTACCATAAAGGATGAGCTTTGTCGGTGGTGGGTATCGGGGGGGAATAAGGAGAGTCTCATCTTTCTCCAGCATCTCCCTGAGCAGATTGACCAATGAGCAGCATTATTTACTGCAGTACAGTGCGCGGCATTGTCTGCTGTCTGAGTTTAGGATGACATAATAAGGGATTTGATCGCTGAGTGGAGAAGATTAGGTTGCACTTGGCTGTAGTTTAAAGATTTTGAGTGCAACCAATGATTTCAACCAGTGAATTTTTTTTTGCTAATAGCAACAACTGTGTTTCAATCATATTTCAATTAATATTTTGTGGGGTTGGCTGTTGAATTTATACCAACGAGACTAGAATTAGAATGATTTATTCAAATCCAGGATTGAAATCTAGGACCGGGATCTTGAACTTTATCGTCTGTGTGATGGGAAGCCAATGGAGTCGGGCAAGGATGGGGGTGATAGGGTCAAGGAGCCTGGTATGGGAGAGGACATGAGCTACAGAGTTCTGGACGATCTGCAGCCTATAGAGGGAGAAGTTGAAGAGGGTGACAAGGAAGGAGTTTGCATAGTCAAGCCTCGATGTAATGAATGAGTGTATGAGGGTTTGGGGGTTAAGGGAGGAGGTCTTTGGTTTCATGTGGGTTATAGTGGTGGGGAGAGAGGAGTGGGAGACAGGTTTGAAGATGCGGAGGGACGGAGGGGTAGGGCTTCCAAGATTGTCTTGGAGTAGAACAATGATTTAGCAGAGGGATGAGGGCAGAGCGGTAAGATTTGCCAAGGTCCAGCCAGATCTGCCAATGGACCGTTAGGTTGGATTTAAGGTAGGTCCATTCAGCGGCACGCACTGTGCCTTAAGAGAGCAGAGGTGGCTGGTGTACCATAATGACTTTCGTGAGTAGGAGATGGTTCAGGAAATGAGGGGAGCAAGGCATTGAGTGAGGTGGAGAGGAAGTTGTGGAGGAGAGTGACCAAGGATGGTAAGTCATTGTGGGAGTAAGCCCAGAGTGGGAGGAGTTCAGATGACTCCAAGGTAGTGGAGAGGGAGGGGGGAGATTTTTTTCTAGGGGTGGTAGGAGATGGAGGTGGGTTGGGTAGTGGTGGGGAGAGGGATTAAGGAGATAACGGAGATGAAGTGATGGTCCGAGGTGGCTTTGTCGGTGATTGTGAGATGCGAGACAGTGAGGCCCCGAGTGGTCACCAGGTCGAGGGGGTGACCGCGGACATAGCTGGCGGAGTGGATGTGGTGGGAGAAGTTGAGGGAGGAGAAGTCAGCAGAGGTAGTTCAGGAGGGGATGAAGTGAAGGCTGAAGTGGTCTAGGATGAGGAGGCATTCGGAGCAGAGGGAGAGGGAAGATAGGAGGGTGGAGATGTTGGGGAGGAAGGTATTTTGTGTTTAGTCGGAAAGAAAACTTTGGTTAGCCTCACACGCTGCTTAAACCAGACACCGCGGCAGGCTCCAATGTACCAGGCTTAAGCATCTTCCACTGTACTGTTGTTTTATGGTATGTCCAGCAATCCCCCAAGAATTCTCTCCAGTCTTAAAACACATTTCCATTCAGTACGTGTTGTAAATGACAGTTTGTTTTGCTGAATCTTTAAACTTTGCATTTCTTTGTAGAAATTGTATCTATCACTTTTCCGTCTAAAACCCTAACGTCTCCAGATCCTGCTGAATCCTCGTTCTTATCTTTATGTCCGCCTTAAGACCTTTCTTTTCAACTGCGCTTTTGGTCATCCTTTCTCACCCCAGCTTCCCACGCCCAGCTCAGGCTCACAGTCAACTCTGAAGAGTTTTGAGATGTCCTCCCAATATGAAAGGTGCTAACTAAATGCATAAACGTATGCTGCCCAATTTATTTCATCTCCTCGCTTTGAATTAACCTGTTCCATTGTAAATGAATATTATATCCTGGATCTTTTACTTATAAATCACAAAGCTTTTTTCTGACATTCTCCAAACTACATTTTTGTTGATGACTTTCTGTCAATAAAAGAAATGTGGCTATTATAGTTAATTGAGCAATTCTAATAAATTCAAGATGAAAAATGAGGGGCCAGCATGTGTTAGTGAGTTTAATTGCTCAGATCTCGCTTTCATTTTCCAGGAGGAACTCAGTGTGTTTAGAGCTCAATGGATGTCCGAACTGAATCCAAGTGCAGGATCACATGGGTCAGATATAGAGCCCGGTAAAGTCTCTATCAGAGGACTTTCTTCAAAATCATCAGATACCAAAGGAAAACAGGAAATTGCTCGTGAAGAAAAGGTGATGCTTTGGCTATGTTTTTTGTTTCAACTACAAATGCCAATTCTGAATTATTCTTTTAAAAGTATGTTTGTCCACTGTCAATTCATGTCCCTGTATGATATTTCATGATAAGTTAGTGAATTATTATTGTGCTGTGATTTGTAAATTAGTGAATACTATAATTGTAAAGAAAATTCAGCTTTAAAATTTACCAGAAAAATCCAAGGGGCAATTCTAGGCATGGCCTTCAGGCAGTCTTCCTACTTCGGTTGTGGCTGCCTTTTCAGAAAGAGATATTCCTTCTGTGTTGGCTAAACCTTTTATCAGCCAGATCAATACCAGATCTGCAGAATTAGGGAGAATGGACTTGCTTATAAATTGAGAAAAGTCCAAGCTGCAGCCAGTACAGCTGTTCATATGTGCTGGTTATGCCAAGTGCAGAACCTTGGTGTCTTGTTTGACCCCACCCGCCGGCCACGTTCTGTGCTTTCCCTCATCTCGGCAACATCCCTCTTCCACTACAAGCCCCCCCCAGGTGCCTGAGACGCTGTTCCATGAGTTCGTCATCTCCTGTTTTGACTACTCCAACGTCCTGCTTGCCAGACTCCCCAACTCCTCCCTATACAAGCTGCAGACCATTCAGAACTCAGCAGACTGTGTCCTCTCCTGCACCAGCCTATCATCTCGTGGGAACGCCTGCAGCCAATTGAATCTTCCTGCACAGTTGTCTCTGAGATGTACGTATTTTCTTCTCTCAGTGTACCAAGGTCAAGGATGAAGCTCGCTTCCTAACCTGGTTCGATCAAACGTAGAGGCAGACGTATTGAGTGGAGTACCGTTACAAGCACTTCGCTGCCTCTTTGGTGACTGAGACTTACACCACACATTTTAGAGCCATATTCATAAAGCTGCAGCTGTCTATGTTGGGAGCTGACTGTTGTATATGTGAAAATGGAGTGTAATGTCACAAGTGGTATGAACCAACCATACAAATTTTAACATTATTTTGGTTCTACCCATAATAATTTTACATTTGGTGAACTGTCTAATCAAATTGAATGGATAAATGAGTTACTTATAAGTCAGTATTTTGATCGAATTTAGCCTATAGTATTTTAGAGCTCCGATGGAAATGAAAAATGTTAATGCTGTTCAATATTTTACTGAATAAATCTCGGAGGCTATCTTTTCATGAATTTGCTCATGTATATTTATGTTGCAATATGAAATCCAATGATGGTCCTGGTAAGTGAATAGATTTGATTATAGGATTATTTAATCTTTTAGGCCTTAGTTGTTCATTTTAAGTCATTAATGTAACGTCCAGTATATTTATGGTGCAGGCCAAAGAACTGTTCCTGAAGGCTGTTGAACAAGAACAAAATGGAGCAGTCTATGAAGGTAAAATTATGTGTGTTTGCATGTGTGTATGCATAATTTAAACAAAAGTATTTACGATAGACGATCATGAATGCATTTTGTAGGCGAAAGCAGCAGCCAGTTTGCCCACAGCACTGTTCCACAATCAGCCATGAATTTTATGCTGGTCAGGAAACCAGGAGCAACTCACCTCTCTTTTGAATCGTGCTATGGGGTCTTTAACCTGAACCATAAGAACAGGCAGATGGGACCTTGAATTAATATCTCATCTAGTGGCCGTCACCTCCAACAATGTAGAGCATCCCCAGCACTGCAATGGAATGTTAGGTTAGACTATGTGAGAATAAAGTCCAGTCTCAATGTAGTGCTTGAACCACAAGTTTTAGACTCTGAGGCAAGAGTGCTAAGAAATAAGCCCGGTTGACACCATTTTCAATGGGAATATCTTGTTTTAAGCATTAACACAGTAGGCCAAATGATGATCGTCTGTTTCATTAAGAAGGGACAACTCATTTCATAGACCATGAAATATCTATTTAATCATGGACTTCGTTCTATCCATTTTTTTTTGAGTAATTAACTGCAAAAATAAACTCTTGAATGTAATTCAGCATACCTAAAATTGAGGGTAAGGCACATTATTAAAGCAGAGTGGGTGGAACTTTGCTTTGAAGCCAAGCACATTCTTTACCCTGAGATGACCATAGTGTGGTGTGTGGGTGCTTTGTTTTGAAGCTGACCAGGTGGGGGTGTATTTGTGTATGCTTTGACGTTGCTTTGAACCTTTTTTTTGTGTGTGCGTGTGTATGTACTTGTGTGCGCGCATACGTGTGTTCTCACAGGAAAGCAGGTCAAAGTGTTTCATGGACTGGGAGCCCATCAGTCTGGGAGTTAGCAACGAATGGGAGGGAGATTGTTGAAGGCATAGTTAGAGAGAGGTTTTCAGACTGGTTTTGTAATTGGAGGAGAGGAAGGATTTAAATGAATAATTAGAACAAAAGAACATATGTTTAGAGTAGTGAAGGGTAATTTCAGGACAGATACCAGGAAGTTTTCCTCTATGCAGAGAATAACCGACGACTAGAACAGGTTACCAGGAAAAGTGGTAGAGGCCAAGACACTGGACTCATTTAGAAAGCAGCTTGATGCTGAGATGGGGGAGACAGACAGTAAGGTGGGTGTTCGGGAGTTTTGAGATCGGATTGGGCCAAAGGACTTTCTATATCCAGACCAATCTTGTGATGGCAGAGGAGAGGGAAAAACAAGAAGAGATTTAACATCCACCTGAACAGGTGGAGAGGACAGTTAGAACATTGTGTCCAGTTTTGGTCACTCCTTTATGAAGGGCATCAAGACCATAGAGGGGTTGCAGAGTAGATTTATTAGGATGATGTCAAAGGTGAGTGGTCTGGCCTATGAGCAGTGACTGGAGAAACTGGGAATTTTTTCTGCCAAAACAATAGGGTGTAATTATTTCCACTGGTCAGTGAGTTCTTAACCAGAGGGCATACATTTAAGACAGCTGTGGAATGGGAGATGAAGATAATTTTTTTCACACTGAGTTGTTAAGATATGGGCTCCCCTGCTGGGAGCGATGCATAAGGCAGAATCCATATTTGCTTTCAAAAGGATGCCAGTCTGGCTGTGCTGTCATCGGCAGAGCCCTGGATTACTGAGGACCCACCTGGCTCAGGACCTGGACTACTGAGATCGCCATAGAGGGTTGGCTCGATTCTGACATTCTGTTGCCAAAAATATCACCTTGGAGCCAGTTAAACTCTTAAGGAGACCCTGCTTATCTCCCCCACAAGGAGGATAGTCACTGGCCATTTGACATCCAACAAGCACAGGTTTGAATCCTCACTAAGTGGATGGCAAGTACCAGGAACTCCCAGGGAGCTTCCTTGTGGGCAATGCAGCTCAGCATGAAATGCATGAGAACATTGCCACCATCTTCTGTTCGCAGCTCGGATACACTTCCTATTGAACGATGGTCCCACCATTTGGCGATGCAGTTGGGTAAGCGGCATCTGCTTACCCTTCTACAAGCTAATCAAGGTGGATTCCAGGCTCTGAATTTACAAATGTGTATTCATGAACTCAGACTCCAGGTATCTTTCCAGCAGCTGTTGCCCCAAGCCTCAGAATTTCCTCATTAGCTATTTGGTGGACATGTGGCTTCAGAATGAGGGGAGGATTTTTACAGCTCCAGAGGTGGGAGTGCTACCAACTGAGTCTGAGGCTGACATCAAAGCCCAGAGTGGCTGAAAGTTCACCCAATGTTGTATAGAGGTTTAGGGGATGTGAAGCTGGCTTGAGTTAACTGAGTGGAAGAAGTTGTTGGGGGGGGGGGAAAGTCCATCCATTGTGAATGTAACCTACAAATATTATTGGAGCACATGATTTAGGGCTGCAAATATTCTTTCTTGTCCAGTTGAAACCACAATCCTAATTAAAAACCCTTTCATCATCTTTGTCTTGCTGAGAAATATTTTTTCTAGTTCTACATTTTACTTTCCCTTTACGAACAAATGTTTTTTCAATGGAATGCTACTTCCATTAAAGAAATATGACTGTTGTATTAAATTGCAAACACAAGTTTAGCAACAAGTCAAAACTGCTCCCTGTCATGTAAGTCGCAGTAGGAGGCAGGTCTCAGGCCAAATATTAAAGGAATCCTTGTTTTCCCAGGGTCGGGAGACTTGATTGAGATTTGTGGGGGCGGATAAATTTGATTGGCCTGGGAGACACTTGACCTTGGGAAGTTCAGGAGTGGCAACTATACAACAATATCCAGCTGGCAGTGAAGTTTCCCAGGGTCCGCAGTTTTATATTTGCTCCTAAGCAGGTGCAAAGCTACGCCAACAAAGCATGCAGCTGGCTCTGTTATTAACTCATGGGTGTGACCAAGTGTAGTGGAGGTGGAACCCAGCTATGATATTAAAACAAGGATTCCTTGTTAGACTCCACATACTTCCACTGGAAACAGAGCATTTATTGTTATTTCTCAGCATCCAAGACTATTCCTCGATAAAGAGAAAATAATTTTGTATATTTTTAATGGAATATTTGAACAATAAAAAGGGAAATCGCTCATGGACAGCTTTGTTTTAAGCGTAAATTATGTTTTGAAGGATGACTTTTATGCAAAGTACTTTCCTTAGATATCAATAAAGAAATGATCATAAAATAGGTCCTGTCTTCCTATTCAGGTGGACATGGCCCTATTTGAAAAGAGGAGTTTCTCCCAGTGTTCTGGTGATCAAATCCCCCAAATAAAATTGGTCACTCACTCCATGGCTGTTTGTGGGACATTGCTGTGCGCAAATTGATAGTCGTGTTCACCCACAAAATACAGTCAATTAACTTTACAGTAGATTCTGTGAAGCACAAAGACGTGATTAGGCACTACGTTAAATGCGATTATTATTATTATATCCTGGGAAGCGCTTTGAGGCGTCTCTTTGGCATGATAAGGCGCTATATCAAATGCAAGGTTTATTATTATTAGTTGAGGTGAGAGCTTTGGATCAGCCTGGATGCTCTAACCCCAAGAAAACCAATTACTGGCAAAAGTGGGGAGGTTGACTAAATAGGGATATGTAACAGCGACCTAGATTTGGTATGTTCCTGCTCAACGTGGAACAATGCCACATCACATGGCAAATTTAATCACTGAGCTATCACGAGCCCTATTCAGAAGTATTAAATGAATCATTCCATATTTTAATTATTAACCTCAACCTTTAAACATTTTAAATTCCATCCTACTGTGCTATGCTCAAAATCTACCATTTCTTAAAAGGGAAAGTAACTCTAGGGATGTCTAGAGTGGTACAAAGTGTACCATTGGTGTTTAGAAAACGATTTCTTCCTGAAAATATATTTACTGAAACCTGGTTCCTCACCTGCTTGCCCAGTATGTTTCAGTGAAAAGTACTCTGTGTTGTGAAGGAGTTTTGTTTACTTGAAACAGCAGCTGGTGGTTGTTTATGACTGGAAGTTGTTATAGCTGTTTTATCACTGAGAAGATGGAGTACCTCTGGGTATTGATCCATAGTTGTTTGCCTACAAACACATATCCACTACACTTTACAATAAATCCGGTGAAGTCCTCTGAGATGTCCTTTCCACATGAAATGTGCTTTATCAGATGCCAAGGATTCTTATTATTACTTTGGTTTCCCATGGTTGGACAGCTCCAAATTGGCTCCCAATATCTGTGGGCAGTCACTTCTATCTTAGCTCATGTTAACCCTACAAGCCCAAACCCTGACAGGTAGGGTAATCCTAACTGGATAAGCTCTCAATGGAAAGCCATGTAGCTTTAGCTGGTTGAACTCTGCAATCCCCCAATGAACACTCTGTGTCGCCAAGCCTTGACTCTCACCAACCTGTGCCTAATACTCTCCAGAATTAAATAAGAAGTGTGCATCCCACCAGGGAAAATGTGCACTTTGCATTTCAGGCATAGAAAGTTCCATGTGTAGGTGACATGCATGTGTGGAATGATGATTTAATAATAACATTGATATAGTGCCTTTCACATTGGAGGGTGTTGCAAAGCACTTCAAAGGTTTTACGATGATGTGCAGTGATTATGCAGCAACAATGTCCCCAAATGAGCCATGAAGTGAATAAGCAATTTATCTGGGGAATTGTTGGCCAGGACACTGGGAGAAACCCTCTTCTCTTTTGAGGAGTGCCACGGGATCTTTAACATCTACCTGAACAGGCAAATGGTACTTCGGTTTAAAGTCTCCTCTGAAGGACAGGAATTTTCTGCACCTCCATCACTGCTTTGGAGGGTCAGCCAGAACTATGGGAGTTCTAACTCAACAACAAAATTAGATTTGTAAAACGCCTTTCACATCCGGAGGCCGTCCCAAAGTGTTGGACAGTCTGTGTTTCGGACCAGAGCTGCGGGTCGGGATTGGGGAGGGCGGGGGGGGGGAAGCAAGGTGATTGAAAGCACGGTCGAAGAGGAGGATCTTGAACTCAGTGTGACTATGATTATTATTTTAAGGTATTTTATCGAATGCAAGGAATATTATTATTATGTCATAGAATTATACAGCACAGAAGAAAGCCATTCGGCTCATCGAGTCTGCCAGCTCATGAAAAGAGCTGACCAATTCAATCCCACTCCCCCGCGCTCCCCCCATAGCCCTGCAAACTTGTCCTCCCAAATAATTATCTACTTCTCTCTTAAAAGTTGTTACTTGAATCAGCTTCCACCACCATTTCAGGCAATGCATTCCAGATCCTAACAACTCGCTGTGTGAAAAAATTCTCCTCACCTCCCATCTGTTTTTTTTTAACAACTGTTTTAAATCGGTGTCCTCAGGTTACCAACTCACCCACCAGTGATAATAGTTTCTATATTTTGGTAAAACTAAAAATATTTTTCTATAGCACAAGGATGTAATTTTCTGATGTAATTAGGTAGCACTTTGAATAGGAAATTCTTCACTCCCTTAAATGTATGAAATGCAGAGGTACTTAGATATACTCACTGTTTCTATTGGTAAATAATAGACTGTTGACAATGCAACAATTCCTCTGTCCAATGGAAAAACAAGTGGAAGGAACATTGACAATTGAATAGTCATAGTATTTACTGCAAAATGCACTCATCACTGTGATTTTCCACTTTATAGAATGAGTACAGCTTTTATACCAGTATAAACAGGATGCTGAAACTCATTGTTCTGATTTATTCATATAATTCTTACAATATTAACTTGCACCCATATTTCTGAAACAAAATCAGTCCTGTAGAAAATAGCCATCAAATATGTAAAATTACCATTGAACTACTGTTGCTTGGAAATTGAGTTGTTTGGCATATTCTAGATATTGAAATATAAAGGCTAATAGTTGATACTTTGAATCACTAAACATTCTGTTGATTAAACAACAACTTGCATTTATATAATGCTCTTCACACAGGGTAATTTTCAAAATTACTTGATTTTTTTGGCTGTTCAATTAAAGAATACATGTTTTAAGTGTTCCTAAATTCACCACAAGGTGGCTGATCTCTGAATTGGGATTTCTTTTAATCCCTGCATATCAAAGACTTGTACTAAAATTATATGCCCCTTTGTTACAGCTCCATATCATTTTTGTTCATCATTGAAAGGAATTCAGAATAATGATTAACACGGATAAGGGCATTGCAGAACCTTATATTGGAGTGTACTTTTAAATGACTTGTAGATGGTATTCATTTAATAAGATAATAAATCAATCCATGCATGAGGTTTGAGATGCAGTAAGTGAGGGGAAGCATCTGAATGCTTAAACCTTTGATTTATCAAATAATGGTTTGCCACTATTGATGATCTCTGTTGGACATGTTGAGAAATCCAGAAAATAATAAGTCAATAATAACTCCTGTTAAGTTCATTTAAAGAGGCTCGCAGTAACGCAGCATTTTGTATTTAAATTATACTTGGCTGTTTATATTTAGCGTGCCAATCATATAACCAAGGGATAGAGAGCGAGCAGGAGTGAGTTAGATCAGGTGGCTCAGCACAGACTTGATGGGCCAATTGGTCTGTTTCTGGATTGTAATATTCTATGATTCTAAATGCTATCCTTTTTGATTTCAGCCATCAAGTACTATCGGAGGGCTATGCAGCTTGTACCTGACATTGAATTCAAGATCACTTACACTCGTACTCCTGAAAGTGATGGGAGTGGAAAAGCTTAGTATGTGGCAACTTACTGCTCAGGCTCTACTCTATGGACTCGGGCTGAAAACCAGATGACGCTTAGAAAATATATTTGATTAGTTGAATATTATAATAATAGTCATCGCATTTGATATAGCGCCTTATGTCTTTGAGACATCTCAAAACACTGCCTATATTTTGTTTTGTGGGTGAAATGCAGTAGCCAATTGCGGACAGCAGTGTCCCACAAACAGTCCTGGATTGATCTATTATTGTTTTTTTAAAGAATTATTACCCTCGGAATCAACTAAAACCAGGGTCCTACTTATTGCTGGGTAAACAGAGGTGTGCAGTGTAAGGAAACTTGCCCAACATTTTGCCCTGCCGGGAGTCAAACCCAGGACTCTTGCTTGCGAGGCAAGCGCTCTAACCAATGAGCTACACTCCTCATAATCAGTGAAATTGTGTGGTTTAAGTGGATCAATCCAATATTTGCTTCACATTTTTCAATATAGTGCAGCCCCATTAAAACTTGAATTCATAAAATCCTACCCCGTCCTAACTGAGAACACCTGGCAGTCAGCACCAACAGCAGCAACTTGCATTTATATAGCGTCCTTCCTGCGGTGTAGCGTCCCAGAGCTATAACTAATGCATTGTGTGCTTGCGATGTAGAAAGCGATGTCAGTAGTAGCCCGATGACGCAGAAGTTAGCCATTTTAGCTTCCCATACGCTGGCCAGTGTTTTGCCTTTTGTGTGCTAACAACAGCAAACTGAACGGGATGTTATGGTTTTATTACCAACTAACTGGGCTTCACTAAAATAGCACATTGACTCCATCTAGTGGTCATTCTTTAGAGTTTCACTTTTTTGCGTAATTCCTATGTTTTTGTGGTTAAGGAAATTTTGACAAAAGGCCATACAGCGCCCCAAAGTTCACCCCTCTATATTTAACTCGCCCATTGTGGGAACTACAATGCAGAGCACGATATCAGCACTTCCTTGATGAGAGAGGGAGAGGAATTCTTCATTCAGAGGGTTGTTAGGGTTTGCAATTCATTGGAAGAAGAGACGATTGAGCTTACACATTCAATCCTGTGAAGTCTTTAAGATATCCTTTAAATGTGAAGGCACTATACCAAATGGAAGGATTATTATATTGTTCTGAATCAGTGTCTCTGGCTGTCTCTTTCTCACCAACTTGTTTTCTCTTTTTCTGACTTTCTATCTCTGATGGTCTTTGTATATTCTTCTCTCTCTCTCTCTCTGTCTACCTGTGTGTGTGTGTGTTTGTCTTTGGTTTTTGTGTAACTTTCTTCTCTAACCACATACATATATCCAATCTCTCCCTTGCACTGCTTGAATAAAATTGCAAACCTGGTTACATGGCATACATGTACAAAATTACATTTTGCTCCCACTTGAGCTCCCACTACTCCACTTTGACATCTCAGTCCCAATATAGATAAGTGGACTTGCAGATATCTGACATGTGAATAAAGATTGCTGTGATGTAATTATATTTTGAATGACTGAAGGTTTTTTTATATCTGATGGATCAATCCAAGTATGCACATACCCCTTTTTGGGACTTTAAAAAAAAGTTTTCTGTTTATTGTTCAGTAATTTCCAGATATCTTCTGTGGTCCTGCTACATTGGTTGATTTTGAAGTAATAATCTTACATTTGGTATAGCACCTTTTAGATCGGGAGGACATCCCAAAGTACATCACAGGATATATTGTAAAATGCATTTTATTTGGGGAGATTGTTGGCCAGGGCACCTCACTTTGAATAGTGCCATGGAATCTTTTTAAAATCCATCTGAACAGACAGACGTGGCCTCGGTTTAACGTCTCATCTGAAGGACGGCACCTCCAACAATGCAGCAGACGTCCCCAACACTGCACTGCAGTATCAGCCAAGACTGTATGAGTTCCAATTCTTGATAGTTTGATAGTCTAGTGCAGCGTGGTCCAACTGGTGGTTGATTTTATCCAGCCCGAGACAATTTCCAGAATTCTGACTTTCCCTCCCTCCCTGGTAAACATCCTTCCATGGCAGCATCAGGAGCCGGCAGTTGGGATGAGTCAGTGCTGAGTGCAAATAATACCAGCCGTTGCTGCAGGAAGACAAGAGTGTCTCCTTATCCACCATGTCTTTAGCAACTGCAGAAGATGGTGAGCCGCACGGCTGATTGGGAGAGAGTAAGAGGGGAAGAGAGTGATTGAATGAGAGCTAAGAGAGTGTGTGTGGGAGAGGCGAGTAAGGGGTAGTGCGAGAGAGAGAGAAAGACTAGCCCACGGACCTTTTTCAAATAGGAAATTCAGCCCATGGCAGCCAAAAGGTTGGACCACAAAGTACACACAATCACAACACTTCATAGTAAAATCCTGTGACGCGCTTTGAATCTCGAAGGCGCTATATCAGTTGCAAGGATTATCATTAAAGCCTAAAGGCTGTGAATAACTAATATAGTTATGTTATAGGGTAAACTTGTTGATTTTACATTGTGTTCTAAAAAATAGTGATTTCTCTTTTTTTCCAGCAAAGAGGATAAAGGGAAAGCCAGTGAAATAACTGATCTGTTGCCCTACTTTCAACAGCAGCTCACCTTGCAGGACTCTCCGCTCAAAATTTGTCAACCGGAGTTTGAAGTGAACCAGATGCACATTTCAGGTACACACTGGAGTTACTGCAAGAGACTTTTGTTTGTCGATATTTTACCTGTCACTTATGCTTTTGTCTTTGCACTAGAGGTTGCATCCAAAATAAGAAATTGAGAACCTTATCGTATCAAATTATCCAGAGTCGTGACTATTTTGGGGAGCGAACACAGCAGTCTCTTTGTGCACAGGCTCAAAAATAGCCAATTTTATCTGGACGACTGTTGGCTAAAACATTGTAAGAAACTAACTTCTCTTTTCAAATAATGTCATGGCTGACGGGCAGTGTTTCAGGTCACTACTGAGAATGCACAAGAAGTTGGCTGGTCACATTGGAAACCGTAACTATTCCATGGGTCTGGTATAGCTTGATCCACAGTACACTGTCGCTGTGAGTGGACGCACTAAACTAGGGTATGTTCTATGGGATCAGCTTTGTGTGTGTGTATACATGTTTGTGTATGTGTTTATAAATACATATATGTGTATTTATTTACAGTACACATTTTAACTGAACTCTACTGAATGGTCTTATCGGTAGTTTGAGTTGAAAATATCTTATGAGCAAACCTTATGATGGAGTAAGTTTTATTGTCAAGGAGGATGGCAGCTACAATTGTTCAGTGTGCTATCATTTTATGCTAGATTGCATTGTCGCCGCCTTCAATTTTGCTTAATACTACCATAGTAGTTCATGAGTAAATCGTTTCCGGAACTAAGAGTTGCACAGAGACAGAAAAGTAGATTAATATTTTTTCCAGCATAGACTGTGGATGGCAGTTATTTAATTTCCTGTTACAGTTCTTTGGGGGCTTGTTTGTTTCGTAAGTTTTCATATTAAACATTAACCAACAATCCTTTTATTAATTATGCTTGAAATGCCAGAAGTGTTATAACTGTAGTGTAAATTAGCTATATTTGCAGTATTTACAAACTGGATTTGAAGGCTTATTAGAACGTTTGTGAAAATTGAAAGACATCTTAATAACAATAATCCTTGCATTTGATGTAGCCCTTAACACATCTTTGAGACATAGAATCATAGAACTATACAGCACAGAAGGAGGCCATTTGGCCCATCGTGTCTGTGCCGGCTCTTTGAAAAGAGCTATCCAAATCAATCCCACTCCCCCGCTCTCTCCCTATAGCCCTGCAAACTTGTCCTCCCCAAATAATTATCTGCTTCTCTCTTAAAAGTTGTCATCTCAAAGCACTTCACAAAATATACTGTAAAGTGAATTGATTGTATATTTTGTGGGAAATCTAACTTATTAAGTTGGCAAAACAGCTGATGGTCATTTTTCAAAGCTAGCAAAGTGTTTTTAAAAAAATCAGGAGAGTTAAACGTTTTTGATAGTTGGGCTGTGAGTTGAAAAAGAAGGATTTGTTGAATCTAATGCCGTTTGCTATCGTGAAAATGCTTACAGTATGTAAATTGCCATTAAATTGACCCCCATGAATGAGTGAAAAGCAAAACATTTACTCTGGTACAGTTAAGACGCCTTGTTGGGATAGAACTGAGGGAGCTTTCTTCTTTGTCTGGCTATCTACTTCTTGTTGCTAATCTCAATGCAAAAAGTGTTTCATTCTTTAGCACATCACGCAGCAGTTCCCTCAGTAATGTTTCATAAAACTCTTCACCCTGGCTGGGAAATCCAGGCAAAAGAGGGAAATAACTAGTGAAGGAGAGTCCAAAAGAAAATGTTTACACAAAAGGCCATGAGAACTTGGAACAGACTGCCTTAAGAGGGCCATAGATACAGAGTTGGTTGAGGCATTCAAGAGCCTTGGTCTCTTATCTCTCACTTTGACAACCACAAAAATTCACCCCCAAATTTAAACACATTTAAGATACTCAGATTTCCATTTAGATTAAATTTTTGTACCATTGCCGCATGATCCAAGCAGAGAGTCTTAACAAAAGATAATGTTAGAATTTTTTTATTGCATGGCGATACCTTAATGTTATCACTACATATGTTTTAATCTTTTTTTAAAAGAAACACAAGATTATGTTCACTTTTACACTTTCAGATACTGTTTTATTTCACACTCCATCTCACAACTTTTGATACTCGTGTAGCTCAGTGTTTAGAGCGCTCGCCTTGCAAGCGAGACACCTGGGTTCAATTCCAGACAGTACGAAACCTTGGGCAAGTTTCCTTACTCCACACGCCTAATAATACTCCCTCCAAAACAAAAAACAATAATAAATTGATCATTTTCAATCCACGACTGTTTGTGGGACATTGCTGTGTGTAATTGGCTGTCGCGTTTCGCCCACAAATATACAGTCAATTCACTTTACAGCATATTCTGTGAAGCACTTTGAGACGTCTATAAGACGTGAAAAGCGCTATATCAAATACAAGGATTATTATTATTAATTGAAATCTTAGTTGATTAAAACTAGACTGGGCGGCAGTGCTCTAGCCTAGAGAGTCCTGATCTACCCTTTTGTTTCATGTTTTCCTGTAATGGAACTAATGTCACAGTTCATTGTTTTTAGCTCAATTCTAATTCGTAGGTCAGTAACTTATTGAACTGAATAATATTGAGCATCAAAGTGAATCGTTTAAAACCTAGGCCTTTGCAGTTAATTTCAAATAGAAGCCTTAACCTTCTTTGCCCTTAATGTATCGCAACATCATTGTTTAGCGTTTTTGTCATAATTCAAACATGAATTTCGAGATAGAAACCTGATGCATTCTGACTCATAAGTTGTTTGGAAGTACTGAAAGCTAGCTCTTAATATGATAACATCATTATTTACTTTCCAGCATTGAATGGGGGATATTTCAAAAGCTAGACGAACCTGAATTTCATGATGGCTTTTAGATCTTTGACAAGATTAATTGACAGCTTCATTCAAGCGTGTTTATGACTGGCTATGGAGAATAACAACTGGTGCCATCTTTTGCTATAGTTATGACTAGATTACATTTTTGAGAAAGCACACAAGATGAGTAAACAGTCAGTTCTGGTATGTAACTAATAGATGCAGTGTAGTTCCCTTGTTGCACCGTTCTGTATGAGCATGTTCAAACCACAGGATATGTAATGCTGAGAAAACAAGCAAGTTAATTGGAGCCTTCAAGCACAGATTTTGATTTGCTTCTTGACTCCACACAAAAGGCCATCTCTTGCCATAGGTCACCCATACACAGAAGAAATGTTTGAAAGGATGTGTCGGAAGCAAAACATTTGTGCATCATCAGAGGCAAAAGGGTTGGATAGTCTAGCTTGAAGATGTCATTGTTACTATAAATCATAATGTTCTGGTAGTGTCCTACTTACTGTGCATTTGTAGCGGGTGAGATAACAGCTGTTTCCTTCCACTTTTCTTTGAGAGTCAGAATGTACCCCAGTGAAAAGTAGTGAAACTGACGAACGTTACTGGTACATTTCAGTAATGTCTCTTTGACTTGAATCTTCAACATCGATGGAGTTTTGGCTCTAACACTTCAATCCTTCATACAATTTAAAAAAAAGGTTCAAATGAAGAAGCTGCCCCATTTGATTTCACTTTCTTTAAAATAGATTCATTAAACCATCCAGTGCATTGCTTGGACCTCAACTACTCTTTCTTGTAATCTGTTATAACTGTTGAGTGTCCCTGGTTTGAAGAAATACTTACTGGTGTCTGTCTCAAAATTGCTCTTTAAAACCATAACCCTGTTCCCACTTAACCTACTGCCTTGGCAAACCATAAAAGTATTGTTCTAAGTTTACTTTCTCTATCCTATAAAGAATTAATGTATCCTTTGACTACCCTCTTCTTTTTTGCTTAAGCCAGTTACTAATCCATGCCTGTCTTATACTTGATACTCACTGACATACGTTTATAGAGGATCCTCTTATGCAGTATGAAGTCTGGTTGATGTTCAATGTTTACTCAGACTTGTCCGTGAGCTGATAAAACCATTCAAATAAAGCCTACAATGAAACCACCCAAATTAAGAGAAAAGGCCTTTATAATGAAAATTTCTAGCCAATCCCATTACTTCTGAGTGAACCAAAAATCCTTAAATGTCAAGAATTTGTTCTGAATTATTTGATGATCACGTTGACTAATAATTGAATTTTGACAAACAAGAAAAATGAGTGTAATGTGGAATATAAAGCAGTCCTGTCTCAGTCTGGCCCAAGTGAATCACAAGGTTATGGGTTTGAATGCTACAACAGAATTTGAACTCATAATGTAGGTTGACAGTCCAGTACAAAACAGAGTGAAAGTTGACTTGCTTGAGGTGCTCTCCTTGAGATTAGACTTTTAACTCATGTTCCCTCTTGCCATTTCATGAGGTTTAGGTGAACATTAAAGATCTCCATGGCACTATTTTGAAGCAGAGCATGAGTTCTGGTGTTCTTCCCTCATCCAAGTTTAGCCATTTCATTGCTGTTTCTAGGATGTTGCTGCTGGATTTAGCTTCATCACAACATCCCCTATACTTTAAAGGCAATCATGGTGTGAACCACTTTGGAAATTTTTGACCTAAGTAAGGCACTATATCTAATGCAAGCATTTATTAATAATTATCCTTAAAAATAAATGTGGATTCAACTGTAGCGGTGTTATAAAATTTTCATTTATTAATAGCTCTTCAGTATAACTAATTTTAAGCACTTATCATACAATTTTATTGTACATGGTTTACCAGAAAATGCTGACTACATGAGGTTAATTTCATTTGTTGTTGATCCATTTGCAGGGCTCCCTCTTGAAGTCCTGGTGTATATATTTCGATGGGTAGTGTCGGGTGACTTGGACTTAAGATCCTTAGAGCAACTGTCTTTGGTCTGTCGAGGATTTTACATTTGTGCAAGGTATGATCTGTGAATAACCAAAATACACAAGGGGGTTATTTCCTTCTACTGGTGGAGAATTTCATAGATGTCAGTTGCCTTCCAATCCTTCATTCACTTAATGGACACTTGTCTATTATTCATGTGTGAGCCCTGACAGTAAGGATCAACAGGTATTGGACTCTGTAGGCCTAGGAATACTACAGACCCACCTGGCTCAGGAATAGGATAACCGAGACTCCCAGAAGATCAACTAATTTCTGATATTTCATTGCTAGAGGGCTGATCCTGGGGCAGCTCAGCCTCAAAGAGATGCCTTTACTCCTCTCCCCCACCCTCAAGGGTGTTAGTCAGTAGATAGTACAAAATAGTACAAATATCAGCAGAAGCTAACTTTTACTGAAGGTTTTATTTTATTTGACAGAGATCCTGAAATCTGGCATTTAGCCTGCCTGAAGGTTTGGGGTAGAAGCTGCAGTAAACTGCAGTATGCCTCTTGGAGACAGATGTTTCTGGAAAGACCTCGTGTCCGATTTGATGGTGAGTTGAGAATATATGTAGTCATATAAAGTAATTGTAATCATGAAATAATTTGCATACATGTTGAAAAAATTTAATTTTGCACAGGTCACAGCAAAAAATCTAGGAAATCCAATATATAATCTGACAATGACTAGATTGCGGGTGGGGTAAAGAGTTGCACATGGCAGGTAAGGCTGCTGCTCTCTAAATTGGATTGGCCCTTAACAAACAGTCCTAATTAGAGAGTACACTGGTCATAGACAGTTCCTCCTAACAAATGTAATATCCCTACCCTGGGCCAAAGGGGCTAACTGGCTAACTCGTAAAATACAGTCTTAAACATTTTGAAGCAAGTTTCCTGTAAGTTCTTGTAATAATTATCGAAAACTGACTTGAAAGTTAAAACTGAATTCAACAATTTGCTAAATTCTCCACACTCTGAAATGCCATGTTAATAGAGTAAATCTAGATTGAAGTTGAATTTCTATCTCATAGGCTTGTGTAGATGGTCAATCAATAAATTCTATGCAGCTTCATACATGCAATGCAGTAAGGCTATGTATTTGCAAATGGAACTTGCCAAAGGGGAAGCTAAAAGAGCCCTAGGAATGTTAGTTGACAGCTCATCATGTCAAAACAGTATGAGATGACACAAACAAGGCAACCAGGATGCACAGCTGTTTTGCCAAATCAGTTGAGTTCACATCCCCATATGTTAAAAACTAAAGGGATTTTTAAAAACTGAAATGTTTAAAGGATATGGAGATAGTGCGGGTAAATGGAATTAGGTTAGAAGATCAGCCATGATCTTATTAAATGGCGGGGCAGGCTCGAGGGGCCGAATGGCCTACTCCTGCTCCTATTTCTTATGTTCTTATGTTATATGTAAGCTACATATTGCATAGGGCAATTTCAGAACAAGAGTAAGTTGCAGGTGGACAGAGCTGTCAAAAAAGCTAATGGAATCTTAGGTTTCATAAATAGGGGTATTGAATACAAAAGCAAAGAGGTAATGCTAAACTTGAATAGTTAGACCACAGTTAGAATATTATGGAGTTTTGTAGCTCAGTGGTTAGAGCAATCGCCTCGCAAACAAGAGGACCTGGGTTTGATTCCTGGCAGGGTGAAACTTTGGGCAAGTTTCCTTACTCCACACGCCTCTGTTTATCTAGCAGTAAGTAAGAACTTGGTTGTTAGTCAATTGGCGGATCACTTTTCTGGGGGTAATAATCCCTCTAAAATTAATAATAATAATTTGGTCACTCAATTCCCGACTGTTTATGGGACACTGCTGTGCGCAATTGGCTACCGTGTTTCGCCCACAAATATACAGTCAATTAACTTTACAGTATATTCTGTGAAGCGCTTGAGACGTATCAAAGACTTGACAAGGCGCTATATCAAATCCAAGGATTATTATTATGTCCAGTATTGGTCATCCCACTTTGGGGAAAAATGTCAAGGCAATTTAGGGGGTGCAGAGAAGATTTACTAGGATGATACCAGGGATGACTGGTTTGGTCTGTGAGCAAAGACTGAAGTAAATGGGACTTTTTTCGCTGGAACAAAGAGGTTGAGAGGTGACCTGATAGAAGTCCGTAATGTTATTAGGGGTTTTGGTAAAGTCAATAGGGAGAAATTATTCCTACTAGTCAGTAGTAGGAATCAGTAACAAGGGTGCATCAATTTAAGATTCTAAACAAGCAAATGAAGAGGTTGGGAGATATTTCCATAAGCACAGAGTAATTAGCATATGGGAGCGGTGGCACAATCCATATTGGCCTTCAAGTGGAAATAAACAAATATTTTAAACAGTTAGTTAGAGTTATGGGAATAGAACAGGTAAACGTAACTGAAAAGATTGTTCTTGTTGGACTCGACACCGACACGATGAGCTGAATGACCTCCTTTTGTTCCGCAAATTTCTATGGTTTCTCTTTACCCAGAGGAAAATTAATGACTGGAACAGGTTGCCAGGAAAGGTGGCAGAGGCTAGGGCATTGGACTAATTTAAAAAGCAGCTTGATACAGTGATGGTATGACGCTAAGTAGGGTATTCTAGAGGAATGAGATCTAATGGACCAAACGACCTTCTTCATCCAAACTCATCTTGTGAAATGAACAAGTACAATCAGTAAATTTTAGTAAAGCTATGTCATGGTTTTTCAAAAAATAATATAGAACCCTCTGAACCTTTTTATTCTAGCAAATGCAATCAAAACTATTTTGATCTAATATAATTGGAAGCAAAGCACTAAACAAACGAATAACATTCCAGTTCCTATTTCCATTGCAGTGGTACTGTTGAGAGCTAACTTTGAAATTAAAATGTGGTAGCTAGCCTCTATGGAATGAATGTGTTTTTTTAAACTATCTTACTGTTTTGGAAATTCAATTGATGATGATAGCTTATCCATCTTGACATACACGTACTTGTAAACCAACTCTTGATACCTGATAGTGCTGGTATTTCTGTAGGTGTGTATATCAACAAGACGACCTACATACGTCAAGGGGAAGAATCTCTGGATGGTTTCTACAGGGCTTGGCATCAGGTGGAATATTATAGGTAGATGTTCTTTTTCTAAATCAAAAAGAAAATTGTGAGAGGAAAAAAGTTTATTGGTTTATCTTTAAGCTCTCTGCTGTTTTTGATACTGTCAATTCCATCCTTTTCCTCTGTCTTTCCTTCCTGCTCCACTTCCAAAGCTCTGTCTTTTCTTGGTTTCATTCTTACTTTTCCCCAAGTTTTCACTGTCTCCTAAAATGGCTTCTCCTTCCTGTTTCCACAAGTCACATACAATGTACTTTAGAGCTCTATCCTTGGTTCTCTCCTTCACCATCTATGTGCCTCCCATCAGTAAAGTCATCCATAAGCATGGGGTCCACTGCAACATGTACATAGATGATACCCAACTCTCTGCCTCTATCCTCAATTCCAGCATAGAGTCGTTCTGACCAATTGTCTGTCACATCAAGTCCTGGAGGAGTTTCAACTTTCTACACCTCAGTGTCAATAAGACTGAGGATGTATTTTCACTGCAGACGCTAACCAAATAAATCTGCATAGTTGCAGGCTCCACTTTAAGGAGCCATTGCAGAATCTCTGTGTTCTGTTTGATGCCTAACTATGCTTCAAATGTTACATTCAGGCTCTCGCTTGCTCTGCTTTCCCTTTCACAACTTCGCTGGTCTCCATCACTATCCCAGCCATTCTAGCCATTCCTCAGCAAGTCAGTCTGGCTCATTGGTAGCACTCTTGCCTCTAAGTCAGAAGGTTGTGGGTTCGAGCTCCATGTCAGGACTTGGAATAGTCTAAGAGGATACTCCAATGTAGTCGAAACACAAAATACTACAGATGCTGGAAATCTGAAACAAAAACAGAATTCACTGGGAACACTCAGCAGGTCAGGCAGCATCTATGGAGAATGTAGTGCACTCCAATATAGTGCCCCTGGGGGTATGTTGCATTGTCAGAGATGCCGTCCTTGAAGGATAAGATGATAATCTGAGGTCTTGTCTGCCTGTTCAGGTAGTTGCTGAAGATCCCATGCCACAATTTAAAAAGATAAGGGAGTTTCTCCCGGCAACCTGGCCAACAAATTCTCCAAATAAAATTGGACACGTGGCTGTTTCTGGGACATTGCTGTGCACAAACTGGCTGCTGTGTTTCACCCACATAATATGCAGTCAATCCCCAGTACATCCTGTGAAGTGCTTTGAGACATCTCAAAGACATGTCCTCTCCCCCTAGACCTCCATCATGCCGGAGTCCCTCTGTCTTGAAGCTAATCTGTTCCAATAATGTAGCAATCTGCAGCAAATGAGCTGAAATATCAATGCAAGGATAATTATATTTTAATAAAGAGACCAATGAGCATTAGTTGAGTCACTTTCATCATGTCCAAGCAGTGAGAGATAACAATGAACTAAATTGGCTAAATTGGCAAATAAGAGGATCGTTGGAAAAGTGCAGAAGAAAACAGCAATACTGATCCCCAAAATGTTAGTTGGATGAGCTACTTGAAACAATAATTATATTCCTTGCATTTGATATCTTCGAGACGTCTCAAAGCGCTTCACAGATTATACTGTAAAGTGAATTGAGTGTATATTTTGTGGCCGAAATTAGGTCCCGTTTGCCTGTTCAGGTGGTCAATAAGGATCCCATGGCACTGTGAACAGCAGTGATCCTGGAATTGAGGATAGAGGCAGAGAGTTGGGTATCATGCAACTGTTCAGTTGAGGCTTTTCAGCCTCAAAATGTGTTGGTATTCTGAAAGTATGAGATCAAAGAGCCTTTTTCATCTCTATCTCTTGTGATCATGGTTATCTATTCGCCCACAAATATACAGTCAATTCACTTTACAGTATATTCTGTGAAGCGCTTTGGGACGTCCTCCCAATGTGAAAAGCGCTATGTTAAATGCAAGGATTATTATTATTATTATTGCTGTGGATTTACTATTACAATCTTGTTTATTTTTCTTGTTGCACGTAAACCAGGTACCTGCGATTTTTCGCAGATGGGCAGGCAATGATGCTGACTACACCCGAGGATCCTCAAACTGTAGTCCCCCGTCTATGCACCAGGAATCCAAGGTAATGATTAAACGTTGTTTAAAAGTTCTGAAAACGCCACAATATATGACTTAAAGGCAACTTAAAGGAAGGAAGCCAGTCTCATTGGCAATTTTTAAACATGTTTGCGGAACACTGCTGAAGCGTCTCACCCACAAAATACACAGTCAATCTACTTTGCAGTACATTCTGTGAAGCACTTTGAGATGTCTCAATGACGTGATAAGGTATTATCAAATGCAAGGATTATTATTATTAATTCCTCATCTTGCTCAATAATTTCCATAAAAACCTGTATACCTTCACCTGTAGTTGCAATTCCTATCCTGGCTGCATATATGATTGCTATGTTAGACTGTCACTAACTACCAACCCCAGAGCAAACAGGAATGGATGGTTTCTTGCCGATAGGATAATAAATTTGGGCTTTTCAGTGATACAAATCTGTCACAGCAGTTGTCTTCAAAAATCTGATCTAGGGAGTATGTTGCAGCTTAATTTCTTCTGTAATCTTCAAACAAAGCATTTATTTGGCTCAAATGTAAACTAGGAAAAATAGTTCAAAAAATGTTAATTTGAGTGCAAAGTATGATTAATGTTGAGTCACAACGCACCAACAGATTCATTGTCAGTGATGAAGTATTTCGGATGAAACCTCTCCTTTCTTAGACCAATAACTGAGTTGTTTTCTGCTCCACCTTAGAATTGATGCTGTCCTCTTTGGTCATTATCGTCTGTCACCAGAAACCGATAATCAAACCAAAGTCTTTGTTGTTCTGGCTAAGAAGAAGGAGGAGGTAGGTATGGACAAAAAGACATTGTCAATTGGTGTGTGGACAAACCGTGTTCTACTGTTGCTAGAAAAGTGAAAAAAGTAATCTGAATACTGTGGCTACAAGACTACAAAATTCTGATAAGATAATTTACCTGTTTATAAATATAGAATTCCATTTATTACCAAGTTTAGCCACTGTGACCGGTGTTTTTCCATTAGAAACACATGTTTTTCTTATAATGGAAATGGTATTTTTTTCATTATAAAGACATTCACAAAATATACAATCAATTCACTTTATAATATACTCTGTGAAACTCTTTGAGACATCTCAATGATGTGAAAAGGCGCTGTATGAAATTAAGGGTTATTGTTACAATTATTTAATGGCATGAGGAATTGTTCACCTAAAATACAACTATCTGTTCAGGAAGAAGTGCAGAAGACAAGTTATAAATGTATTTATTTGTTTAAAGCAGAAGCTGCCAGAGTATCAGAAAAACAGATATTACCGTCGTTCTAGTCCTGCTGCTGAAACTGAACACAATTTTCACGTGGGATTACAACTCTGTCCCAGTGGTCGACAACGATTTAACAAGCTGATCTGGCTTCATCATTCATGCCACATTACCTACAAGTAAGTATTATAATCAAGCATTGGCAGCAAAAAAAACGTGCGATTTAGCAGTTCACATCAGAAATTATATGACCCTTAAAGTGGATATATTTAGCTTTTTGCCACTTATAATTTCGCCCACAAAATATACAGGTGAGGTCAGGCTTGGCTGTGATGGCCTTTACAGTCAAGTGGCTCGCTAAAGCTCACACATTATCATTGGCTACTTGGGCAGGGTATTGGAGGGCAGTCGGCACCTGTGCAACTGCACCAAAGCATGAGGTGGCTGGCACCAGCAGCAGGTATAAAGCCAATTGGGAGAAAAAAATTAAAAGTTTTTGACAGCAATCGTTTTTTTTAAAAAAAGAGAAAATTGGACCACAAACCTGTTGATGATCAATGTGGACATTAATTTCAGCTTGTGATATAAGGTAGGGATGTTTGTGTTCAGAATGTATATTATGGCATTTAAATATTTTCGAAAATGTTGGGTAAGCCATTCCTTTGTCGTGTCATGTTTGATTTAGAGAACACACTGTTTCTGTAAAGAAATTACTATATGTAATCTCTGAAATTTGTTTTCTTTCAGATCAACTGGTGAAACTGTTGTGACTGCATTTGACATCGATAAGATGTACACGCCATTGTTCTTTGCTCGTGTGAAGAGCTTTACAGCGTTTGCAGAAACCCCTCTTTAATTTCATTTGGTTAACCATTTAGTTCAGATTCATGGCAAAGCACTTTGATTTTCAATCGTTTTGCATGAGTGCAATGATGCAAGTTTAATAATGACCGGACAATGTTGCCTTGGATTTGTATAGGACATGGCTCAATCAGTGTGTAGTTTTAACAATTGTTGAATGGCAAGAAAAATGTCAGAATTATTTAGTTACATAAAGTCACTGACTCATATTTTAAAGTGATCTATGTAAGGGAGTTTTGCAATATCTCCATTGAGCCTGAGAAAGCTTAAATATTTGGCTTAAATAATAACATGTCATTTTATGAGCTATCCTTGGTAGCGTTGTTTAAATTTACGGATAATGTATTGTTATTGTCAGAATTTTTGCACAGGTTTACCGATGTAAACTTGTGTGAGCTGGCTACTTTGTACTATAAATAGATTCATTCACATCATCGGTGACATCGCAGGAAGATGAACATGGTCCCTTCATACCTTCTGACGTAAATGCTTTTACAAATTTAGAGATTTTTTTATTTACTCAATCTGAAAAATTATTCAATGGGTAACGAGGTAAATAAATGTTTTCTTCCAATTGTCTCTGGTGTTATTTATTGCCTCCTCTGACAGACTTTTCCACCTTACTAAAACATAGTATCATGTGCCGAATGCTCTTTCAATTTAATTTTCTTTTTAAAAAATTGCCTCTTCCCCAATATGCTTGGATCCAAGTCTGATCCTGACCTTGTCCAATTCTCATTTCAGAGTGGATTCTAACACCAGTCAAAAGTAGGAACACTGGCAGATTTCTCTAAACTTCAAAAGGAAAGCAAAGTTTATGAAGAAGATTTGTAAGTAGGGAGAATAGGAGTTACACTAGTTTTCCAGCACCTTTTATGAAACGAAGGGGGCTCCAAGAAAACTTTCTGAAAGATTGTGATTACTCCAGTTTCCATTCTCATAGCCTGTGCACAAGCATTACCCCAGTGGATGAACTTTAAGATACTTGCCATTATCTTCAAATACCTTTATGGCATCCTCACCCCTTCTTATCTATGCAATCCTCCAGCTCTACTTTGCTCTTCTGATTCTTAAGACCTACTGTTCCATTGTTAGTGGACAAGCCATCAGTCGCCATCCCTGTGACTTCCAGAACTCCATAGTGTCTTGCTGCTTCTCTTCCTACCTTCCAACCCTCTTAAAACTTATCTTTAGGACTACTGCTGGCCAAATTCAGTTTGTTGCTCTCTAATATCTGTTCAGTGCTTTGAGTTGAATGGAAGGAAGTATACAAGTGCAAGTTGTTGGAAGTTCAAAATTACAGGCAGAAGATACTACAAGAGCAGGGATTGTCTACAATTGTGCACTTTTATGGACAATTCGAAACCATTGGCAACATTAGTACAGAGAATGACAGACTTTTTTAATCCACTCGATTAGCAGGCTGTTAAAGAAAAGCCTGATGAGTTTAATTAGAAGTAGAGTAGCAAGATTTTTCTGGTAATGGAAAGATATCTGAGAACCCAAGATTTTACAAGCATTTTATTGGATTTTTAAAATGAACAAGTTTAAAAGGAAGTGGACATTTTTTATTTTTGGTGACTAAAAATCCAATGATTCTTTCCTGATCCCAACTCCCAGCTCGGGTGAACATCCTTGACGGTCCAGCGCTTTCAGACATTCTCCTCAGGTGAAAGGTGTTATACAAATGTAATTTATTGTTGATCTTTCTGGCTCCATTTTACATTGAACAGTGTCACTGCATAACTCTTACAATATGCACAGCTAATCGCTATTGTGAGACCATCTCCTGTCTTTTACCACAGCAACTTGTATTTACATAGTGCCCTTCACAAGGGTTAGCATCTTAGAGCGTTGAGAAGAATAAAATTCAAGCTTTGTGTCATTTTAATACCACTTCACGATCTTAATTGAATCTGATCTTCCCCCCCCTAATCTTTTGAGCCTTTGTGCTGTTATGAATGATAGGTTTTTGGACCTAAACCTAGATTTCTCAATTTAAAAAAGCCTTATTGTAAGTAACTAGGAATCTAGTTCTGTTTTTACAGAAATCTAGATTTCGTTTTTACATATAAAATGTCACATTTATGTATACAAATAACCAGAGGCAGTAAGAGTTATTTTTATGGCATTCTAGCAGTGCTCAAAAGTATACAATAAGAATGTGTGTGTTGCCATCTAATCATTTTACAGACCACATGGAATATTACAAGTTCTTCAAAGACTGACTACCCATCATATCACAACCCTGCTATCATAGTCATCAAACTTATTTGAGTTGCAGCTTGCAATACATTCTATATAAATAAATCCTATACAAATTCACTAAATAGTTGCTGCAAAATCCAGTGAGTACATTTCAACTAGGGCACTACCAATTACTGTTTGGTAAGTAAGATTGTTTTTAGACACTTGTCGTGGTAAGGTTAACAAAAACATAATAATATAAAATAATAATCCTTGCATTTGATATAGCGCCTTATCACGTCTTTGAGACATCTCAAAGCACTTCACAGAATATACTGTAAAGAATGACTACATTTTGTGGATGAAACAAGGCAGCCAGTTGCGCACGGCGGTGTCCTACAAACAATCGTGGATTGAACTGACCAATTTTTTTTCAAGGAATTGTTACCCCGGAAAAGCGATCCGCCAATCGACAAACAACCGAGTTCCTATTTACTGACAGGTAAACAGGTTTGGAATAAGAAAACTTGCCCAACATTTCGCCCTGCTGGGAATCAAACCCAGGTCTCTTGCTTGCGAGGTGAGCGCTCTAACCACTGAGCTACAGGACTCCACATAAGGTTGGAATGGTAAAATGCCATGCCGTCCATCAAATTTCACCTGCCCAGTGTGGTATCTGAAAAGGCAGTGGGTTGCAGAAAGATCACCTATCACAATCAGGTAGAACTAGTACCTTTCTGTCCTCGATGTTTTCTTTATTGTGACTGTATCTGGCGGTCCCTACACTGAGTAAAGAGCAGCAGTAGGATAGCTGTTGCTTTGACTTTGCAGGAACATGGCATCATATATGTGATCACTATATTCATCCAGGTTGGACTTTGAGGTCTGGAACACAGTTCTGTTCATGTCCATTGCAATGTGCGAACTTTGTGATGGGTCTCTGAAGTTTTTGAAACGGGAAACATCATTACAGGGATCTGAAAAACCTTGAGAATACCCAATAAAAGAGTTGCTGTAAGATGTCTTGCCTAAAGTAAGTTTATTCCAGCCGGGATATTCTCCATACTCCACAAAATTTGGATTGCAGTTTTCTCCAGGCCCACTAAAATTCCCGTGATTGTGGTACGCTCCGTTGAATTGGGCGCGTCTCTCATAGAATCTGCTGATATCCATTTCATCAGGTGAATCGTAAACGTAGGTAGGTTTTCCAAAGTTATGCCCATTTGAGTATGGCAGGCATGGGTTGCTGGAATTGTTCTCAACTACGAAATGGTCTCCCAGGTTTCCATTTACATAGAGAGTAGATAAAATACCTGTTGTTGGCTGAATAAAGAAAACGTAGTTTAATATTTGATGATTTTAATTTCTGCGCTCAAAAGTGTATTCGACACAAGCACAGCACTGCACGTTTTATTCTATGAACGTGGGTCCAGCCTTCCAGTTCCCTCAAAGTAACAAATTTATATAATATAAATAATAAATAATAATCCTTGCACCTAGGCACCTAGCGCCTTTTACATTTTAAAAAATACAGTCACAAAGTGTTGTCACAAAGTTAATTAGAAATTATGTGAATGTTTGGAAATGAGTTATTAATTTGTACCAGAAAATGTCTTGACAAAAACAAGCTGATTGGTTCCCTGTTGGCCCATGAGTAGGTGGTACTATCTGAAACGAGCAGCATGAAACTTGCCAGACTACATGGCAAGCTACGCGGTTTTAAGCTGGTTAAACTCCAGCAGTGCCCAAATATAGTGGAGACCTGTAGCTTAGTGGTGAGAGCACTCGCCTCGCAAGTGAGAGCACGTTTTACTTTGTTGTGCCTGATATTGTTGGCTACAAAGGTGGGAATAACTGCTCACCTTGGAAGATAACCACTCTGAAAACAACAGTGCTGCCTTGAGTATATCTCAGAGGGAATATTGTTGAAAGGACTATCAAGCACCCTTTGGGCACAGAGAAGCCAACGACATAAAGATTATCATCTCCACCTGATCATTCGGGAGTTTGTGCTTTGCAGCAACAAAATATGTAAAAGATACATTTTCATTCAAGGCATTTTGATCTCTGCTATCAATTGACACCTGAATTCCTTCTGCTACCAAATATCTCTTTATATCCCAAGGCTCCTTCCTTAGACCATCCATAGGCTTCCATTTTACAGAGGTTCCTGGATAATAATAATCCTTATATTTGGTATAGTATCTTTCAAGTCAGGAGGACGTCTCAAAACCCCTGAGAGATAACGCATTCCATTCCAATAATCTAACTGGAATTTCCATGTAAAGGTGGGTTGAATGTAATTCCCAGTTTAGTTTGGATACTCTTAAGCATGGGTTACTGCACCTGTCAAGACACCCGGCTGACCCCCCAAAAAATCCCTGGAATGGATTGATTGATGATGTGTATAAAACTGATTCCCACACTTCAATTAGGCCTTGAATTTGATCCAACACAACCTGGCAACATGAAGCTGTTAAAACTGCTCCAGAACCATTACACTCAGTTTTGTTTAAACAAATTGAAGTTTGCAATTGCTCAATTTTAAAATACTGGTTATTTAACCTTTTTCGGCAGATAAACCAAAGATCATGGCCAGGCTAATCTGTTTGGCGACCCAACGAAACCATGCAATGTAAGCCACGGCCCAAAGTGAAGTTAATTAGTTCACGACTCCAACATGCAGAAAACGTACGCTCATGGTTTCATAAGTTTTCCCAGTGTCCAGGCCAACAATCCCCCAAATAAAATTGGTCAGTTATTCCAATAACTGCTTGTGGGACATAATAATAATCCTTGCATTTGATATAGCGGTTTTCATGTCTTCTAGACATCTCAAAGCACTTCATAGAATATGCTGTAAAGTGAATTGACTGTATATTTGTGGGCGAAATGCAGCAGCCAATTGCGCACAGTCGTGGATTGAAAATGACCAATTTATTTTTGTTTTTGGAGAGATTATTATTAGGCATGTGGAGTAAGGAAACTTTGGACATTGCTACTGCATTCATCTACAAGATAGATAGTCACTGCACTTCACAGTACTGTATATCCTATGAAGAGCTTGGAGACATCCGCCTAATGTGAAAGGTACTAAATGTGAGGATTATTATTATTATATTCCTCATGTTACAGTGAGTTATGCCATGTTATAGTTATCGTTACATTGGGTATTTTCACATTGGGAGAACATCGCAAAAGTGCTTCACAGGATATACTGCAAAGTGTAATGTCTATTTGTTTGTAGGCAAACATAGCAACCTCTTTGCGAACTGTAATGTCCAATAAACAACAGCAACAACTTACATTTATAGTGTAAACTTCTAGACGTCTCAAAGCGCTTCACAGAATATACTGTAAAGAATTGACTGTATATTTGTGGGCGAAACGCGGCAGCCAATTGCGTATAGCAGTGTCCCACAAACAGTTGTGGATTGAAGTGACCAATTATTATAAGGGGTGTGGAGTAAGGAAACTTGCCCAAGGTTTCGCCCTGCCGGGAATCGAACCCAGGTTTCTCACTTGAGAGGCGAGTGCTCTAACCACTGAGCTACAGGACTCCTGAGGGAGGGAGGTAGGGAGGAGCCAAGGAATGAAGTGATTTGAAAACGAGTGAGAGGATCTTGAAGTTGATTCCCGTTGAGTGATTGGGAGCCAGTGGAGTCTGGCAAGGACTGGTGTGATGGGGGTATGGAGTTTCGTGCGGGTGAGTATCCGGGCAATGGAGTTTTGAATTAATTAGATTTTGTGTATGGTGGAGCTGGGGAGACCAGCGAGGAGGGTATTGGAATAGTCCAGCCGGGATGTGACGAAGGCCTGAACATGTATATAAAATGGTTTCAGAATTCCAAACAGTACCTGTGGTTCTCGTTTCCTCTTCTCTTTGTAGCAAGTATTTTCAACACATGGTCTCTTTTTGTTGATTGATCTCCTCGTTTCAGCTTCTATCTTTGTCTCTGGCCTGGGATGGTCGTGTACACCTTTGGCCTGCCAACAAAATACTTTTGAAATTCAGTCATGAATTAAAACTACAGGGTGTCCAAAAAGTCATATCTACCCTATTATCGAACCTCCCTCACCCCCCCCAAAAAAATCATTTATTGAAAACTCATTAGACATTGTAATGGTATCACAACTTTTGGGTCACCCTGTATGTGGGCGCTTAAAACTATTATTTCTTTGGATGCAGTTTCAGATTCCAGAGAACTTTTACGGCAGCAATGTTGAGGGTTTTATCATTGAATAAAACCCTCAACATTGAGGGTTTTATCATTGAATACTTCAAAATTCCCAATGCGTGGAATGTTGCTCTATGTTGCGTGTACCAATGGATTCTGTCTACCGAGTTAGATTTACCAACAGTTGGGGCCTTCTCTCTCCCATTTCATCTGCCCAACTCTTCCAGAGGCCAGCACATGTCTCTTATGTATCCACAGCCATAAAACATAGTCACTCCAATTTACCTGTGAAGCTCTTTCTCCCAACGTAAAAGGTCCTACATCAAATGTAAGGATTATTATACACGAAAACTGGTTAACCGGACGGACTCGGTGGGGAGGGGGTGGAAAGAGATCTGGAAAGAGATCTAAGTGTAATTACTACTGGTAATGCATTTACTGGCATTTTTTGGCACTGAGTTTTTTTTAATCAGCGAATTAAATGTTTGTTAAACTTAACTATTAAACAGTTAAACTGTTCACGGGGTTTCCAACCTCACTAAACAAACAATCCGAGTCAAAATCGATAGCCCATTAAGCGGCAGTACAACGCCGTAATCTAAAAGTGGTCACTCCCCAAAGCATGTGAAGGTAAGCAAGGTCAGTGAGGCAGGAAGCTGTGGGCATCACGTGGGCTGCTCAGCATGACATTGGCAAGTGCTAGGAGAGTTGGGCTGGGGAGAATCCACATGCGGGTTTGGGAATTTTTTTTAAATTAGTAAGATGGGGGTTCACTGTACCTCTACTGCACCCATTGTCCTGGAAAATTGACTCCATCTAAATATGGAGCCCTGATGATTCCATATCTAATGTTACTTTCCAGTAATGTTATTATCACTTGATAAACCTAGTGATTACCCCTCAATCATTAATCCTTTGCTGTGAATGTCTTCATCTCTCCCTTCCTGAGAGAGTATTCAGTTTGCCTCATTTCTCCATAAGCTGAGGCTCTCTGTCAGAATAGAGGCCAGAAGAGTTCTTGCCCTGAAGCACATCTTCTTTCAGATCTCATATTAATGTGATAACAGCTGATGTGTCTGACACTGAAGATAAGTTTAGTGATTGCATTGATTATTATACGTTTATCCCGCACCAGGTTTGGTTTAGTAAATATGTTTATTATTATTATCCCATGTGGCCCATCATGATAAAGGAAGAGCAAAGCTGATAAAAAAAAATCTAAATTCATAGAATTCCTCCATGTCTCCCGCCCGACCCGCCCTATCATCGGTGGCCGGGCTTTCAGCCTCTCTGGCCCCACATTCTGGAACTCCATCCCACGGTCCCTTCGCCTCGCTTCCTCCCTCGCATCCTTCAAGGCCGGTCTCAAGACTTTTCTCTTCGACCGTGCCTTTGGTCTCCCTCCCATCTCTCTGCCTTCCCTCACCCCTACACCACCCCTCCCCCATGCTCGGGCCCCGACACCTGACTGTTCAGCGCTTTAGGATGTCCTCCTGACGTGAAAGGCGCTCTATAAATGTAATTTTATTGTTGTTGTTGTTCCTCAGTATGGATTCCTGGACAAGTGCTTTGCCATTCTGGTCACAATTAAATACTTTGAAGGGTGTGTCTAAGGACAATCCTGTAAATGAAGAACCTTCCACATGTGTCATTCTGGCTCAGTTGGAAGCACTCTCAGTCTTACCTCTGAGTCAAAAGGTTTACAAATGTAATTTGTTACTGTTGTTGGTGGTCATTCAAGCCACATACCAGTTTTTTGAGGTACTGTCCTCTATACATTTCAGATAAACCTTTAAACCAAGGTCCCAACTATCTATTAGATGGACATTACAAATCCCATGGCACAATTTAAAAAGAGAATGGAGTTTCTCCCAGTGTCCTGGCCAACAATCCCTCGGATGAAAATTGGTCATTGCCTTCATGGCTGTTACACATTGTTGTGTACAAATTTAATGCTGTGTTCACCTACAAAATACACAGTTATTACACTTTACAATATATCCTGTGACGTGCTTTGGAGGCGTCTTCCTGATGTGAAAGGTGCCAAAATGCCACAAAGCAAGAGTCACCTCCTTCAGGGAACTGGGGGAAAAATATATTGTCCTACCATATTGTAAAATTGTTGTAGATTTTAAGAGGTGTTTCCTTCAAAATGAACTGAGTTAGTATTAAATCCTATATATTTTCAGATAGCTATGCATTGTAACAGACTCGCTGATAATGATAATAGCAGAAAGGAAGAGATGGTTTAATATTTGCATAAAACATTGTACGTAAAGCTTTCTTATCTGCAAGTTTAAATTTACTTATATCTGTCATCGTTTCTCCGACCTTTGACACAATGGTTGGCCTGAAGAATTCCGTGCTCCACTGCTATCTCCAATGGAGGAGACTAAAAACAGGATATCTATCGCCTTAACTCAACCACTATCCTGTGAAATAGCACTCAAACACTCTGCACCACAAGATGATGGGCAAACAATTTTGAAAAGAGATTTCAGTGCAAACTACTGTGATAACTTTGGGGCGATTAGTGGGAGGAGCAGGAGGTTTATTCCCAAACCTGTCGATAGTTAAAGACAGACTTGAATTGAAATAACTATCATGTTATAGCTGTACAACAACAACAAGATTTCATTTATAGAGCGCCTTTCACGTCGGGAGGACGTCCCAAGGCGCTGGCCAGTTGGGTCGGGACCCGAGCAGGGGGGAAATGGTCAGGGTGAGGGAAAAATCAAAAGGGACAATTTTAAGCATTTTATTAAACTCAAACTGTATGCACTTTTAAGATCAATAAACTTAATGTTAATAAAATAATCCTTGCAATTGATATAGCGCCTTATCATGTCATTGAGATGCCTCAAAGCGCTTTACAGAATATACTGCAAAGCGAATTGACTGTATACTTTGTGGGCGGAAATTCGTCTTTTATGAAAACTTTTTTTAAAAATGAACCTCAACAAAACATATAACCTATTTCAAAACCCACCCCATGTTTTTGTCTTACCTATAATTGTTGAAATTCTTTCTGCAAGTTCCTTACGGGTAAAACTCCAAACGCTCCTTAAAGGAATGCGCCTATATTTAAAGTCGTTTGCTCAGGTGTACCCATCTGCATATACTTCAAAGAAGAGAAAATAACTGACCTGAAAAAAAATGTATTTTCCTTCCCGTCTCCAGAAGTTGGTGACAGGGTAACCTCCGTGACCATGGCAAGGGATGAGATTCAAAGGTGCACCACAGTTTGAGCAAGATTTCTCTGCAATTAAAAAAAATCCAAACCTTAAACCAGAATTACAGATCTCACAGCTTTCCTTTGCTGAAAGCGTGTTACCCGCAACACAGATACGATACTCAGATCATAAAAGGATTGATATATTTGTGCTTTGGTGGCTGACCCAACCGTAATGTAGTTTTTTTTTGTCCTTCCTTAGAATCCTAGAAATTATCGATTTCAAGATCCTCACACTCAAATTCACGATCTTCACACTCGTCTTCAAATCTCTTCATGCCCCTGGCACCTCCTCACTCCTCCGACCAGATTACTCCCCATCCCAGTACCCCTCTGCCTCCGCTTGACTGGCTCCGGCCTCCTGCATGTGCTTCGTGCCCTCCATTCCACCGTCAGTGGCTGCACTTTCAGCCACTACGCCCCAAAACCCTGGACCACTCTCCCTCAATCCCTCCGTCTGGCTCCCTCCCCCATCTTCAGGTCACGCCTGAAAATCTTCCTCTTTGACCGTGCCTACAGTCACCTCCCCCCTCTCCCTGACTCGGCATCATTCTCCACCACTGTCAATTACTCTGGGACGCTACTCTGTGTGAGGGGCGCTATATAAATACAAGTTGTTATTACAGCACAGAATGGAGGCCATCTGCCAGTTAAGCCTATAATAATAATCCTTGCATTTGATATAGCGCTTTTCACGTCTTCTCGACGTCTCAAAGCGCTTCGCAGAATATGCTGTAAAGTGAATTGACTGTATATTTGTGGGCGAAACGCGGCGGCCAATTGCGCACAGCAGTGTCCTACAAACAGTCGGGGATTTAAATTACACTTAACTTCAAATACTGTAACTTACTACGACGCTTATGATAAGTTATGATAAAATTATGTGCATGGCAATAAATAAACATCAAAGATAAACTTTTTAAATGACGTAACCCACCATTGTAAAATCTTTATAATATGCACATACATCTTAATGAGTCACTGCTGACTAGTTATCTTTCCTCTTACCTCACATCCTGCTTGTACTACATGTACATACCAAACTATATTTGTACAAGTGTTTTTTTTTGCTGATAATAAATTCCGTATGAACATTTAATGGGTGTTTAGGTGATCAAAGCTTTAAAACATCTGTCTCATACACTTTGGATTCCCTCCACCTCAAAGAGTGGGAAGTAGGAAACTAGGAGAAGAAAAGCAGGTTAGAGGTTAGAGCTACTGAAATGTAGGTGAGGAAAGATGTGTTGTCCTTTGATTAAATCCCAAGGATAGCAAAGCCACACGTTACTGAGCCACCTTGTAGAAAATACATATCGCTCCTTGGCCTTTTGGCTAAAATTATAATAATAATCCTTGAATTCAAGATAGCGCTTAATCATGTCGCTGAGACGTCTCAAAGAGCTTTGCAGAATACACTGTGTAGTGGATTGACTGTGTATTTTGCAGGCACGCAGCAGTGTCCCACAAACAGTCGTGGATTGAGTGGTTCCAATTTTTTTTCAGGGGGTGGATTATTACCCCCGGAAAGCAATCCCCCAATTGACTTATTACTTGGTAAACAGAGGCATGTGGAGTAAGCAAACTCATCTATGGTTTCACTCCGACCGGGACTTGAACCCGGGTCATCTCGCTTGCAGGACTCCTGAATAAGCAAATCAGCTAAGATCAAGTATAGTATCTATTCTTGTCAGTTACTCCTTGGGCTGTGTGCCTGCAGGTCCCTTGGAGGTTCAGTCGTATAGGGAAGCCATGATCCTAATCTTTCCATAATTTCTTTGTGGGAGGGGGAGCTATAGCCAGGAGAGTTATGCCTTTGGCTGAAGGGGCAATCTAAATTCCCTTCTGAGGAACATGGTTTGGTTTAATTCGAGGGAGTGGGGACAACCTCGCTCACCAAAAAAACACAGTAGACCACACCAAAGAACAGCCACCTGGGCTCAAACCTGTTAAAAAAAAANCCTACGAGGAATTGTGTAGTATTGCAATCTACATAACCCCTCACAAACTCTAGTGGGTTTCTGTGTGTCAGAAAAAGTCATATATGCTTTTGGTGAACGTGTTTGCAAAATCCTCACCCACTGAATTTACCCGGGGAATCTATTAGATCATGGAAAAAAAAACTTTGCTTTTTAATTTTCTTTTTAAATAAACATTCGGAATCAGTTGAAGTAAAAAGTGCAGCAATTGATAAAACGGAATAATAAGAAGAAGAAGCCCTGCATTTGACATAGAGCCTTATCAGGTCGCTGAGACGTCTCAAAGCACTTCACGGAACATTCTGTAAAGTGTAGTGACTGTGCATTTTGTGGGTGAAACTCCAAACTTTCGTAGCAAAAGTGTTTATGTTTCCAAAGATGAAACTTTGGTTACTTACTCTGTTGTTTCTGACGCGCTTTGTCGCAAATGGCGGGTCTCAGATAAACCTTGTTAACGTCAGGCAGGATGCAGTCATTGGTGCAAACTACTACTCCAAGACAGGATTTCTTCAGAATGTGACAGTTGTGGTTGTTGGTGTTCCTCATGGCCCAGCCACTCTGATGCCTCTGTGCATTTTTGTCATCCGCATTGTAAATATATTTCTCATAGGAATCTGTCCACTCCTGGAATCTATCCAACTGAATCACATCCTGCGAAGAGAAATTCAGCAATAAATAATTCTTCTCCAATTTCTTAGATTTAGGTTCCAATTTCCTCCTCAAACCCTATCTCTATGAAAGCGCCATCGGAGGTCAGGCCTTCAGCCTTTCTACCCCCACCCTTTGGAACGCCATCCCACAGTCCCTCTGTCTCGCCCCCTCTCTTGCCTCCTTCAAGACCTGTCTCAAGACAATCCTCTTCGACCATACCAAATGTAAGGATTATTATTATATATATTATGAGGAAAACATGAACACTGCAGGTCTAACTAGAAGACAATAGCAATAATAGATAATAATGAATACATGTTTAAACTTAACTTTGTATAATACTAATTCAGAATTTCAATTTGAAGAAACAGAACTTTTAGCATTGAAAGATGATTCCGTTTTCAAGAGTTGGTTTATTGAGTATTTTATAAAGCAATATAATAAATGTGATACTATTATAATAAACCTAACCAATCCTTGCATTTAAAAAGTGCCTTTCATATCAGGAGGATGACTCAAAGGGCTCCAAAGGATTTACTATGAGGTATAGTGACTGTGTGTTTGTAGGCGAATGCAGCAGCCAATTTGCACGCAGCAATATCCCACAAACAGCCACGGAATGAATGAACAATTATTTCTGGGAGACTGTTAGCCAGGAAACTCCCTTCTCCTTTTGAATAGTGTTGTAATCCCTGTCTTCAAATCACACCTGAAGATTTTCATCTGACCATGCCTTCAGTCACCTCCCCTCCCTTTACAGCTCAGTGTGATACCACACTGTTAAGTGCCTGCGTGAAGGGGGTAATATAAACGCAAGTTGTTTTTGTAAACATCCCTATCGATTCCACTTCCACAGCTTTCTGGGGCAGATCATTCCACATCTTCACAACTCTCTGTGTGAAGAAATGCTTCTGGACCTCGGTTCTAACTGTCTCGGTTCTATTTTTAAGACTACTTCCCCGTGTAATGGATCCCACTATCAGTGTGAACAGAAGTCTTTCATTGTCTTTAAAAGGGAATTAGATCATTGTTTGAAAAGGAGCAATGTAAAACCATGTCGGGAGAGGAGAGAGGGCGCAGAGGAGGAAACCACCGGGGCATTGAGGGTCAATTGTAGTCAAACCTGCTGGTCCTGGTTGAGATCAATAGATTCAGTGCAGACCAGGATTCATAGGATTCATACCTGTGACTTTCTATTTGTTTTATGACCTGGGATAGAACCCGTGGCAGGACTTTAACCCACTGAGCTGTGCATTATGGTTAATATGTGGATCCATTGGTCCCCCTTATAACACCCAACACAAACACTCCCTCCCTCAACCATCATTCCTCCATGAAACCAACACACAGAAAAATTAGATCAGAAATGGCCAGTGGGGGTGCAGGGATGGGTGGGAGACAACTATGAAACTTACCCTCTACATTCTTACAATTATTTGAAAAATTTAGGCCATTAGCTGAGTCCAAACCCAGATCTCATTATGTACCCTGATATAGAGTGCAGCAATCTCCTTCTCCTCGTTCTTCCATTTCCTCTGTACATGTTTGACACCACTGCAATTACTCATCTTGTATATTTCATCTTATATAATAATAACAATCTTTGCATTTGATATAGAACCTTATCACCTCGTTAAGACGTCTCAAAGCGCTTCACAGAATATACCGCAAAGGGAATTGACTGTATATGTTGTGGGCGAAACGCGACAGCCTATTGCACACAATAGCGTTCCACAAACAGTTGTGGATTGAGTGATCAAATTATTTTTTTGAAGTATACAAGGGAAAAAAGTGTTTTATTCTGAATGTATCAAAACAAATGTGAGAAATGTTCTGTATTAATAACTCAGCTTTGTTTCCCACAGGACTCGACAGTTTTAAACTGGGCTATCTCTGTGACCTGCTCACCCAGTCCCCTCTCTCCGCTCAGTGGACTTCGGCCTGCTGTTGTCCTGCGCTCTGCTCCCACCCTCCCGACCCCCATATCATCGGCATTCGGGCCTTCAACTTCTCTGCCCCTACCCTTTGGAACTCCATCCCACAGTGCCTCTGCCTCGCCCCCTCCCTTACCACCTTCAAGACCCGTCTCAAGACTTTCCTCTTCGACCGTGCCTTCGGTCACCCTCCTATTCCCTGCCCTCCAACACTCCTGATCCCAACAACCAGCTCAGGTCCAAATCCTTGACAGTCCAGCGCCTTGGGACATCCTCATACAAATACGCTACACAAATGTCAGAAAAGGAAACGAAAAGGATCAAAACAATTCTTGTGATGCATTCCACCCTTCATCCATCCACCAGTAAAGAGGAATAAGCTTCATATTCTTTAACGTTTTATATTGCATAGTTATTTCTATTCTGTAGAGCGTTAAGTTCTAAAACATTCTACAGATTCCCTTAGGGCTGAGCTGGTTCCAAGGTGACCTGCTTGGCAACAAAATATCAGGATTGGGTCCACCTTCTGTGGCAGTTCTCGTTAGTCCAGTTCCTGAGCCATGTGGGTTCGCAGAACTCTAGGGCACCGTTGATGACAAGACCAGCCAGGCTGGCTCACTTGGAGGGGCAGACCAGTGGGACTCTTCCCACTCAGCTTCTGCTAACCCAGCAAGTTAAAGCCCAAATGGACAAGGTGGTTCTCGTGGGAAGAGCAATGGCCGGGGTTTTCGATAACAATCTATGCCATTTCAGCTCCAATTCACACTCTGAGATGTCCAAGCTTTGGCGTTTGCTAACCTGCTTCTAATACTTTCTGGAATTAAATAAGGAGAATGTGTATCCCTCCTCCAGGGAGAGAACGCGCACAACAACAAGATTGTATTTATAGAGCGCCTTTCACATCGGGAGGACGTCCCAAGGCGCTGGACAGTTGGGTCGGGACCGAGTAGGGGGGAAATGGTCAGGGTGAGAGGAGGGAAGGGAGGGAGCGAGGAGGGGGTAGAGAGTCGAGAGGGGAGGTGAAGGCACGGTTGAAGAGAAAGGTCTTGAGACCAGCCTTGAAGGAGGAAAGGGAGGAGGCGGCGAAGGCACTGGGGGATGGAGTTCCAGAGCCTCGGGGCTGAGAGGCTGAAGGCCCGGCCACCGATGGTAGGGTGGGGGGGTGTGGAGCAGACTGGAGTCAGAGGGACAGAGGGTACGGGCAGGTAGATAGGGGGATAGTGGGTCGGACAGGTAGGAGGGAGCAAGGCCGTGAATGGCCTTGTAGGTGAGGATGAGGATCTTGAATTCGACATTATCGCACATTATTCCACATTATTCGGATACAGGGAAATTTCGATGCGCGTGGGGTATGCATACATGGAACTCACAGGCTGATTTAACGCTCTTAAACACAGCGATGGGTTTTCACATGGGTCAGACACCCAGCTGACCAGCCAGCTGACCCCAAAAAAATCTATAAAACGTTATACTGTACAAAATTATTTATATTTTATAAAACTTTTTAGTTTGAACTGTTATTTGAAAAGTTGAAAAGTAATCGACGACAACAATAACAACATGCATTTCTATAGCACACTTCACGTGACTAATAATAGTGTCTCGGATCACTTAGTACAATTGAAGTACAATTAAATGGTTGACCTCGTCCTTATGCCATTAAAGGTAGAAGTAAAAGAGATTGGGTACAATGGCTGGCTAAAAAATTATTGTTAACAGAAGGATAACACTTACTAAAATAATTTTTATCCGAAAACATTTCTTCACTAAAGAAGGCGGGGGTAAAAAAACAACCAGGGTTATAGTAAAAGGCGATGGAACTCTGAAAAACTAAACAACTATAGTTGCTCAGATCTGGTCGTTGGATAACAGTAATAATATTCTTTGCATTTGATATAGTAATATCTAATTCCTCCTCCCCCCAAAAAATTTTGGTCACTAAATCCACAACTGCTGTGCACAATTGGCTGCCGCATTTCACCTACAAAATACACAGTCAATATATTCACTTTTACACTTTTACAATAGTGCTATTTACAATAGCTGTGAAGCGCTTTGAAAAGTCTCAACGATGTGATAAGGCGCTACATCAAATGCAAGGATTATATTATTATTATAGCACCTTATCATATCATCCAAATGTGTCAAAGCGCTTTACTGTGAACTTTGGGGGGGCTGTTTATTTCTATTTTAGGAAAAAAGAATCTCAGGAGGAAAGAACGCTGCTGAAGAAAACCAGTCCTTAATACTTTAAGAAGTTGCACTCACCTGAGGTAGTTTAGGGTCATTAATGTCCCAGTCTGTTTGTGATGCGTGTGAAGAAATGTAGTCTGAGTAAGAAACTTCACCTTTCAACATCCTCTCCAAAGGCTTTTGATCATTCAGTCAAAGAACGCACCCTCTCCCACTTATTTCCCAGAGACTCTTCGGAAGTCAGGCAAGTCGATTTAGTCGAGAAACATCAAGTTTGCCTGAAATCCTGAGCTAGATTGCCAGGAAAGACAACAATCAAGGTTGCATCATTGAGAAAAAGTTATTCCAATGGAAAAGTTTATCTCCATTGATAACAGGTTGTAACCTGTTACTGCCTGATTCATAGACCCAGATTGGTAAACCTGAACACAAACTCTCTTATCTCTCCCCTCAACCCCACCTCACCACCCCCATGTGGATATAAGCATCTTGCGTAAAGTAATTGCACAAGTATGAAGCTTGTAGCTCTGTAAAATTCGCCTTGTTATGACTGCAAATTGGAAATGAAGCGATCGAGTGCTGCTCTGCTGAAGCCCATCACATCTGGATTAAGGCTTGTTGCAGTATTGAAACTGGGAACTAATGCAAAGTGTTCCACATTGTTAATAATATCGAAATGCCATAAATGCACATATACACACATACAGAGGATAGTGCAAGTCTCTGATGGTACAAACAGGTGAATAAGTCAAACCCAACTTTCACCATCCATGAGAATCACTCACTTCACATACTTTGGGGTTTTGACTGGAAGAGAAACAACTTTGGCTGAAATAAAACTGTAAGGCAGGCACAAGAAATCATACTGACCTCCCCGAGCATCAATTCAACGCAAAACTTCAACCAGTTCAATTCACTGGAAACTTCAGCAATGAAAGCCACTCACTCCCTGCTCCCTGAGCTGTGCTTGTTGTTGTGTTGCGTTCCCAGGTTGGAGAGGAAATAAACTTCCGCTTATAATCAAGAGGGTTTTGAATGCAAGGTTGTGATGCGCAAGCCTTGCATTAAGTCCCGAGGAGATCTATTTACCTGTCCGCAGACTGGAGTGTGTCACAGCCACTGTTGTGGATGTCCTGCCACTGGGAACAGCTCTGGGCTCTCACGTCAGCTCTCACTGCAATACATGCTCTGCCCTCAGTCCACTGAATGATCACCAAGCCACCTCCCTCCCTCTCTCTCTCTCTCACTCTCTCCACCCTTCCTCCCTCTCTTTCTCTTTCTCTCTCCGCCCTCCCTCCCTCTCTCTCTCCCCACCCTCTTTCTCTTTCTCCCCACCCTCTTTCCCTCTCTACCCTCCCTCCCTCTCTCTACCCTTACTCTCTCCCCCCACCCTCTCACTCTTTCTTCCCGCCCTCACTCTCTCTCCCCACCCTCTCACTCTTTCTTCCCGCCCTCACTCTCTCTCCCCACCCTCTCACTCTTTCTTCCCGCCCTCACTCTCTCCCCCCACCCTCTCACTCTTTCTTCCCGCCCTCACTCTCTCTCCCCACCCTCTCACTCTTTCTCCCCGCCCTCACTCTCTCCCCCACCCTCTCACTCTTTCTCCCCGCCCTCACTCTCTCTTCCCACCCTCCCTTTCTCTACCCTCCCTCTCTCTCCCCACCCTCTCTCTCTCTCTCTCCCCATCCACCCCCCCCACTCTCTCTCTCCACCCTTTCTCTCCCCCCACCATACCCTCCCTCTCTCTCTCCCCACCCTCCCTCCCGCTCTACCTCTCTCTCTCTCTCTCCCCACACCCTCCATCTCTCTCTCTACGCACCCCTCTCTCTGCCTCGCTTCCCCCCACTCTCTCTCCCCCCACCCTCCCTCTCTCTCTGCCCACACCCCCCTCTCTCTCTCCCCACCTTCCCTCCCGCTCTACCTCTCTCTCTCTCTCTCTTTCTCCCCCACCCTCCATCTCTCTCTCTCTACGCACCCCTCTCCCTCCCTCCCTCCCTTCCCCCCACTCTCTCTACCCCCACCCTCCCTTTCTCTCTGCCCACACCCCCCCCTCTCTCTCCCCAACTTCCCAATCACTAACACCATGAGTCTGAGTTTGTTGCAATACTGGAGAATCCATCCTTATGAGGATGGAATCTTGTTGTTGTTGTTGATGAGATGAGACAATTCATTCTTAAAATGGTACAAATCTTTGTATTACAAATTCTCAGCTTGGTTTGGATACCCTTAAGCATGGTGATGGGTTTCTGCACGTGTCAGACACCTGAATCCCTAAATCCGTCCATCTCACCTTCCCCTCTCCATCGTGGAGTTCTATAGCTCAGTGGTTAGAGCCCTCGCCTTACGAGCGAGTGATCTGTGTTTGATTCCCGGCAGCGCAAAAAGGTTGGCCAAATATCCTTGCTCCACACGTCTCTGTTTACCTAGCAATAAGTAGGAACCTGGTTATCAGTCAATTGGGGGATCGCTTTTCCGGGGGTAATATTTCCTTCAAAAAAAAATAATAATAATAATTTGGTTACTTCAATCCACATCTGTTTGTGGGGCACCGCTGTGCGCAATTGGCTGCTGCTTTTTGCCCACAAAATATACAGTCAATTTATTTTATGGTATATTCTGTGAAGCGCTTCGAGAGTTCTTGAAGATGTGAAAAGGTGCTATATCAAATGCAAGGATTATTATTATTATTATTATCTTGCATCTGGTATAATGCGTTTAACCTCAAAACGTCTCAAAACATTTTACAGGTGGTTACTGTCGAGAGCTGTGATTGTTATCCCGTCACCTAACTCAAGCATGATGCACAACCCTACCCTTTATTCATTACCATTGGTGCCCTTTACCGGGTATGCAAGCCCTGGGTGACGTTCTTTTGTCCTCATTATCGTTGGCCACCACCATGTCCCAACCTCTCCACTCCACCATCGGCAGCTACGAAGCCCCAAACCTCTGGAACTCCTCCATCCCCCTCATCACCCCCTCTTTACCCACTTCATCCATCCCCACTGTCACCTCCCCTTTCTCCCTGGCTCAGAGTCAAACTATGCCATTGTTCAGCACTCTGAGACACCACGTGAAGGGCGTAACATATAATAATAATAATCCTTGCATTTGATATAGCGCTTTTCACGTCGGAAGGACGTCCCAAAGCGCTTCACAGAACACACTGTAAAGTGAATTGACTGTATATTTGTAGGCGAACGCAGCAGCCAATTGCGCACAGCAATGTCCCACAAACAGTCGTAGATTGAAAATGACCAATTTATTATTGTTTTTGGTTTTGGAGGGATTATTATTAGGTGTGTGGAGTAAGGAAACTTGCCCAAGGTTTCGCCCTCTGCCTGGAATTGAACTCAGGTCTCTCGCTTGCAAAGCGAGTGCTCTAACCACTGAGCTACAGGACTCCACAAATATAAATGCAAGTTGTTGTTTGTGACTGTCTATTTCTCCCAGCTTTTTTGGGGGGTGGGGGTGGAGGAGGGGGCATCACCCGGGTGTCTGACACGTGCGGAAACCCATCACCATGCTCAAGGTGGTGATGAGTTTCTGCATATGTCAGACACCCGCTGTCCAAAAAAAACCCCCAAGGTAAATTAAAACCAGGAAAAGGAGCAGGAAGAGGCCATTCACCCTATTCTGCCAGTTTATTGGAGCATGACAGATCTTTAAATCTCATTCCCCTGCTCTTTCTCCCTGTCCCTTACTTCCTATGTATGTATGTATGTATGTATGTATGTATGTATGTATGTATGTATGCATGTATGCATGTATGCATGTATGCATGTATGCATGTATGCACGTATGTTGCATCGCCAACCTTCTACGCAGTATATTCCACATTTCATGCAACTGTATGTCAAGCAATATTTTCCAATCCCAGCTCTAGCTCTGATTTTAGGGTTACACCTCTTTGTTTTCGACTAGACTGAAGAGTCGTCCCCTATCCAGCTTGTCAATTCCCCTCATTACCCTAAACACTTCAATCTGATGACTGATCAGGGCTGAAAGGTTGCTAAAAACATCAGCATTATCTTTCCCTACTATGCTGGTTGCACACTGTACAGGGACACAAAGTCCTGTTACCCCATGTACCAACAACTAAAACATATGGAAGAATGATGGTAATCGTATCCAGAAGTACTTAATTATATTCAGTACAAGTGTTTAACTGTATGTAGACGCCCAGAGGATCGCTATGTGTAAGCAACATCATTTTCATGGCAGATAATGATCGATCGCCATGTTTGGTGCGATCTTTCTGTAACATGGATGGAGTGAGCAGGAGAAATGCATCTCTGACAGCTTGTTCCACTCCTCTGTAGTTTTATATCGCTGTTATGTAACAAGGGTTAAGAGGACTTTGTGGAACCCATGTACTGCTGAATAGTCCAGTGTCCTCTCTTCCAGCAGAGCAGAGTGGAGTGGGAAGCTTGATTTATACTTTCACCCCTCATCATAACGCACTGCGATCAAAGAGAAACACACAATATTCTGCACCTTAACACAAGGCCAGAATTGCACATTCATTTTTTTAATTTGCCTCCGCTCGACTGGCTCTGACCTCCTGCTTGTCCCTCGTTGCCCTCCATTCCACCATTGGATTCCGTGCGTTCAGCCATTACTTCCCGAAACTCTGGAACTCTCTCCCTCAAGCTCTCTGAGGCAGCCAATTGCACACAGCCATGTCCCACAAACAGTCGTGGATTGAGTGAACAAATTATTGTTTCTTTGAAGGCATTATCACCCCTCGGAAAAGTGATATGCCAATGGATTAACAACTAGGTTCCTACTTACTGCTGGGTAAACAGAGACGAGTGGAGTAAGGAAACTTGCCTAACGTTTCACCCTGCCCGGGAACCGAACCCAGGTCCTCTCGCTTGCGAGGCGAGTGCTCTAACCAATACGCTACAGGACTCCACCTAATCCATGTATTTAAGCGTAAAGCTTCTTAAAGGTACATTTAAACATATCAACCTGTGCACCTAATGAATCAATTACAGCAAAATGTTTTGTTCACTCCAGCCAGTGCAGGTACCTCTCAGTTTTCACAACGTTTAACAAAGGTCCTTCATTCAAGGGATAAAAGGCACATGGAAATAAAAGAGTAAAACATTTAAATTATTTTTAGGACAATATCGTATTTCATACAACAAAACTCAAAACTATAACATCAGTGAAGGATGGAAATTCTTTCCAGCGTCAGGCGATGGAAACCTTTTGTTCGTCTGGTGTTGTTTTAATTTCAAAAGAAAAGTCGACTTGAGCTGCTGTTAAAACCGTCCAGGAAATAGGATGTGCACTGCAGCCACAAAAGGTTTTTCTTGACGCGTGTTGCTGGTATGAAGACATGATATCACTCACTGTCCATCAGTCTTGCTTTCTCTCTCAGGTTGCACCTTGTGATTGTTGACAAGCTTCGACAAGCCTCAGCTGCCCCTTTGCAGTGACTCAGCGCCTTGGCGATGTGCATCCTGCTCCCGGTGGAACTTTTCCACAAACAAGAGCGGATTCTTGCTAGAATCATAGAATCATAGAATTATACAGCACAGAAGGAGGCCATTCGGCCCATTGCGTCTGTGCCGGCTCTTTGAAAAGAGCTATCCAATTCAATCCCACTCTCCCTCTCTCTCCCCATAGCCCTGCAAACTTGTCCTCCCCAAATAATGATCTACTTGTCTCTTAAAAGTTGTTATCGAATCGGCTTCCACCGCCCTTTCAGGCAATGCATTCCAGATCCGAACAATTCGTTGTGTGAAAAGCTTCTCCTCATCTCCCATCTGTTTCTTTTAACAACTATTTTAAATCCGTGTCCTCGGGTTACCGACCCTCCCGCCAGTGGAAATAGTTTCTCCTTGTTCGCCCTATCGAATCCCCTCATCATTTTGAAAACTTCTATTAATTCTCCTCTTAACCTTCTCTGCTCCACGGAGAATAATCCGAGCTTCTCTACCTCTCCTGATAACTGAAGTCCCTCAGTCCTGGTACCATCCTGGTAAATCTCCTTTGCACCCTCTCCAATGCCTTGACATCCTTCCTAAAGTGTGGTGCCCAGAACTGAACACAGTCTCTCGCTGAGGCCTAACCAGTATTTTGTAAAAGTTTATCATAACTTTCTGACTTTTGTATTCTCTGCCCCTATCTATAAAGCCTTGTATCCCGTATGCTTTTTTAACAGCTTTATCTCCCTGTCCTGCCACCTTCAAAGATTTACTTATATGAACCCCCGGGTCTCTGTTCCTTCACCCCCTTTAAGATTGTACCA